AGTCTTAACGTCAAGTATACTGCAAAGCGTTCCTGACTAACGGGGAAATCAGGAAAAAATAACGGGGCGGACGATTCGGTGGTCGACGTTGCTAAATTTCAAGCTGGATAAAATTTAACGATATTTTAATCCTAATAACCTCCTCCTAACAAGACTTTTTGATTTGCTTTCGTTCCTTCTCGGATTATTATGAACAAACTTCTTTTGTATTTGTCATCTCTTGCTAATTGTTACTTCAATTTATGGTTTTGTTGTACGATCATCTACTTAAATCAACTCTCAATAAGACTTGAAAATTGACACAGAATGACACAGAATACTGTAACTTTGTCTCTTAATTCCCCCAGGACAGGAAACCATTATTTCCCGCCCACACTATATCCATGAGTGAAACAAGTTTTCCCACACTTAGTTTCCCGGAAAGAAAGTATAGATGACATTCCCTCACACAAACATTTGTTACTGTCTTACATTACCCTCCTCGGCCGCCATCTTTCGCTACCATGTATTTAAAGAATCTATTTATACATTTGAAAGCGAGCGCTATATTCTTGGTTTGGCACCAAAAATATAAATGAATGAATAAATGAGTAGTTGCTTAATTGTACACTCCTGGAGGCTATAGATGTGAAACAATACTGATATCGTTTTACATAAAAATTCATGATTTATGAAAGGAGACGTGAGAAAATTATTCGATTGCAAATAAAGAGGGAAGTTGGGTTATGAGCTCTCTGAATATAGCCAGTCGGAGCGTAGAAACTGTATCTAGCCACTTTAAGATATCGGAACACTTGATCAAAGAGCTATTAAGGCAATTAACTTGACTCCTTCAAGTTACCCTGGAGGCAATATCAAGATGATTTAAAGATTGTGTCTCCGGTGGGCATGAATTCCTGTTTCAAAATTGCTCGCCAGTACTTGAACGTACCAACTCAATTGAAAACGCAGGCTGAAGTGGAGGAAATTGGTTAAGAATCAAGGAAATAACTGGAAAACTGTCTTTCTAAAGATAACTCATGTTTCTAAGATTTGGTTCAATGACTTTACAATAGGCGAGACAGTTTTTTAATAATTTCATTGCCACGAGTTTCAACCTTGATACTACATCACTCATGCACTAGCTCGTTTAGCTATTTTGTATTGCAGATTGTTTAACCAATGAACAACTTGATAGCGGCTGCGCTTAATAACAAACTATTCTCTCAACAAAAACGTACAGATCTTGTAATTCATTGTAAATTGTGTTTCATTCTTTCATAAGTCTTCGCCCGGAGTTAACCAGCCGTTTAAGTTCAGCTTGCAAAATAATTAATTTTTGTCTGGTGATTTCCTTACAGTAACACGTACTGGAAACACCATTGACTTATACTGTCGCAAAACAAATTTAACCAATTCTTCTGAAATGCCGATATCCATTGTTACAACAGTGAGTACAGCTAATGCCGTGACTTAACACCTAATCAAGCTCTGCTTTTCTTCACGCACGCCAAAACTCCAACTTTCCATAACGATACCTTTTGAAAGCCGCTGATTGAATGAACACAACAGTTTTAAAGGATGATTTTTTTTGTCGTGATATTTAAGCAAAAGCATTTAAATAAAGCTCTTCTGCGTCTTTCGTTTGCTATTAGCTTATTTTCTTTGACAGAGAGGAAAAATCAACAATGGAAGTCCCAATCCGAATGCTTAAGCTTGCCCATTATGCTTTTTGTTAATTTTCTGGTGAGACCTCAATCTTTACGGTCATTTCAAACGTGATCATTCCATTGATTTATACGATTAACAAATACCGTGACACGAATGCTGTCATTTTGAATTTTTCTATTGTTTCCAAAAATCATTAAATCATTTGAATCTAGGAAGGAATAACGTCTTGCAATCTTGATGTTACCTTCAAAGCGTGAATACTGCGGAGTCGGTCCCTGTTGGTGACTCCTCACCAATATACGTCTGATACGCGGAAAAGGACACTTGAAATACGCATAGTTTGACAAATGTTCGAGACATTTATACTCTAGCATACAAAGCGCGGATTGATAGGATTTTAATCCATCTTGTTTTAATTGTTGTTTAACAGACCATAACATCAGTAATTAGACCAAACTAATGTCATGAGCAGAAGACTTCATGACAAAAAAGAGATCCGGTGAATAGATAAATTGAGACTAGTAAAACAATGACCTCTAAACGTTCAGCTTAATTACTCTCTTGCAAAATCATTACACTATTACTAGCAACATTGATCGAAAGGCATGGAGAGCTCTGGTAACCTCTGTCTTTGGTAGGTTCTGATTTCCCACTCAGTTAGTAGATTTTCCGAATTAGACAAAAACATTTAAATTTTCGCCAAAGGGTTCTATGAGCAATCTCTCCACCCCTTCAGCTTTTGAACAAAAAGGTGGTTGACTTACTGACGGAAACGTTATTCACCGCTCCCATACCAAGTCGCCGTGAAGTCTTGCATCTTAGAAAAGATATATTGGTTCACAGTGTAATTTTGGAGCCAATGAATTCAATTCATAACAAAGACCTTCAGGCGTCAAGAAATCTGGCGTATGCACAGTAAGACTGATCATGCATAACAGAAGAAGCAGAAAACTTGACTCCTATAACTATGGAGAATTGGCGTTTTCCCGTAAGTAAGACAGTTTGGTTGATCTTACGGCTTTGAGTTCTGATTGGCTTCTTGATATATTTTCCTTTGTTGCGATTGGCCGCCGTCTCTGCTTTGATTTTTGAATTCGCGACACTCAATTGAAAATTGACCTTGATCATTGCCTCCTGTTTTGGGAGCTCCAGAATAATCTAGGATTAACCAGTGATTTAGGTGGTGTATAATTTTCGAGAACTTGGCCCTGTTAACTAGGGTTTACTTTAGACGTATTCAGCTAAGGTTTACTTTTGTAGTATTCACTCAGTACAAAAGAGCTACTCCTATCACCTGGGAAGGACACTTGATGTTTGTGGACTTTATAGTAATACATTAGATAATGTGATTGGTGGTTGCTAGGTAATAATCAGACAGAGTCAATCAGTTCCAGTAGCTAAAGTGTTCATTGTCTCTTGATGGTTGGACTTATTCTAAACATCGGCTGTCAAGTAACATGAAGTCTCCGACACATTCACTCTCCACTTGACTATCGAGATTAGTCTTATTTAATTGTGTTTACCTTTTTAGAAAAATGCTCAAGACAATCTATTTCTATCCTTTTATTATGTTTTTCCAAGAACCTGAGATATTTTAGAGGAGTTTTATACACTATATTCCTAACATGTGCAAGGGTACTCTGTTCCCCAACCGTTTACCAACCGTCCATTTATGAATTCCTCAACGAAGACTGCAAACCCGATAAAAACCGCTGAGTGGCAAATTGATTGATTATTTGTAGTCCATAAAACCTACCTTAAAATTGATACGATGCTTCGGAATTATGATGCGGTAAATCATAACCACGTGGCATCTTATATCCAACCTCCAGTTCGCATTCCGCATTTATACTTAGCCTGAACATTTCACAAGCCTTAACTAAGGATGCAGGGACTTTGTGGTTAGTGCGCTAGACTGTTGCAGGACCGTTTTCCTTCACAGTGCCTTACCTCACTCAAAGAGTATAAATACGTACTTTTAAAACGTTAGGGAAACATGACAAAATGCTGAGGGTAACCTTGTTTTATAGACGGGATTCTATTCAGGCGGGTAGAGCGATAGTTACTGTCCATTCATGCTACTAGAACGAGGCTAAGCATCAACGAGATTGCTATCGACCCTCCGGCTGCAGTCGGCATTTTATTCTGATGGTTTGAAAACCAGAAACGTGACTCATACCTTGAGGGATAGGGGGATATCGTGTTTTAACAACTGAGTTTACGAAAGGAAAAGTAAATTCGGAAGTAGATGGATCATGGCTGCCTTTATATAAGGACAAAAACCTTGACAATCGTCGTAGGGAAAGACAGGCCGCCACGGTAAAATTGCGAATAAAATAACATTTCACGACAATAACCTACCACTGTAATCCGGTATGTTGCTAAAGGTTAGGTCAGTGCGTGCCTGCATGAGTGCGAGTAGCGTAGGGTATACATCACAAGAATGTGTTCAATTTCAAAGCTGGCAAGTTTAATCGAATCAAAATTAAACAATACAGCAATCAGTGCAAACAATCAAAGTGCTAAATTAACAATACTTCAAAAGTCACGCAATGTCATAATGATCTTAAGATAAATAAAACATATCTAATTATGTTTCTGGCGAAAGAAATATCTACATCAGCCTTGCTTGATGAATGATCTACCGTAAACTCTGCTATTAACGATCACTGTAATATGTCAAATGGATTAATTCACTTGTTTTTTTTATTTGTTATTTTATTTACATTAAATCAAAGAGAATCAGGGAATACTACTTATAATACTTGCAACATTACACAGCTAATGACCTACCACTGTAATCCGGCATGTTGCTACAGTTTAGGTCTGTGCAGCCGGTGAAAGCATCATTTATATTCAAATGAAGTAATGATCCTCCTAGAAAAACTTCAATCTCAGAAATTGCAGTATAGAAGTCTAAAAAAGAATAATAAAATCCAGGCTTCGAAGGGTTTCAAACCCGTGCCTCGGGGCTACTAACAACTGAAGTTCAAAGCCACATATTGGGAGCAAGACAAATACGATTTACTGCTTAAAAAGAAATTTGTATCATTTGTCTCCTATCGTGTCAAGATGGCAATGTGGCCGTGGTGGCTTTATCCAGCAACATGGCGGTTTAATTTTCACGAAGGGTTTCATTACATTTTATCATATCCTGATACCTATCTTTTGTGAATGTATCTACTTATTTTATAGCGAAGAGTATTTAAAACATATTCAGTTCTTTATGAAATAATAGTTCTTACACATGATGCTGTCATTTTCTACTAAAATGTTAATTCACAAGTCTTTGTTATTTCTCGCTTTCACGAGGGTATTCTACCTGATTAATTTAATCAAAATAAAGGGAAATAGAAGCCCAGTAGATAAATAGTGAAGCTCGTACTAAACGATACTTGCCATCAAACCTGGACAAAAATGACTGTATCCATAGTTTTGTAATATTTAGTTGTACGTGAAACAGTAACGATACGGACATGGGATAGCTCCTAAAAGGTAGACGTAAAAGGAACTGCAGTTCTTCACCGTAATGAAGTAATCTTTCTCACAGCACCGGCCTAAGCCCCTGCTGAAGCAGACGGTCCTTATTACTTCTCCCTCATCCACTGTGGGATGATCGCCTATCAACCAACCTGGATATATTGTACCGCAAGTGTAACGAGGTGGACATGTAGTCGGCATTGTTATTCCTGAAATGTTCAGGAAGCGATACCAACCGGAGTTCAGATTATCGTCACATTTTACATATCCAGACAGGGTTTCGTTCTTAACGTCTCTGTCATAATCTTCCAGAACAGTGTAGAATTGGCACACATCAGCTGAAAGGTAAACAAAAAAAAAATTACAATTAACACTTTTACACCATTAGCCTCAGTAAAAACAGATCAGAAACGTTTATGAACCACTCTCTCCAAGAGAGGACATGCTCCTCTCTCCTGCTGTTCCTTTTCCTCTAGAAGTGAAAATTAACTGCAGTTCGGGGAGGGCTTATTATTGTTATTCAATGGTTACGAAAAAGGAAAGTGACAAAAGAGAATCCATCTGAAGCCAATATTTGTTTGTGTGTGTGTGTTTTTTTTTTTTAACAAAATACCTTGAAGTAAGCAAGAGTGAATTGTCACTCTATGGCTATTTTTATCATCAGATTTAAACTCAGCATGCCACAACTGTAAGATCTTGGTTATTTTCATAACACTCGAGAAGAAGTAGAAGAAGACAATTGAATTACCATTGCAAGTGGTGCCGTCCCCAATGTATCCAGTGTGACAACGACAAACATACGATCCAATGGTGTTTAGGCAGTCAGCATTTACGTGGCAAGAGGAAAGATTTCTTTTACATTCGTCAATATCTAAGGAATCACAGATGTTAGAAATATATTTTAAAAGTGAAAAAATGAAAAGGAATAAATTATTGCGATACTGCCGATAAAATGCCAAGGCGAACGTCATCACACTGATAGAAAGGGAGATCGCCAGAATGCTATAAATTTGGCGACTTTTCACTTTTGCCGCCAGAACTGGGCTGAAAGACGAGCAAAAGCCCCATCTTTGTTATAAGGGCATAAAAACAAAAAAGAGACTGTTGGCTGCGTCTGTCCAATTTCGCCTATCTCTGATAAATCCAGGTTTGCAGGTACAGACGAATGTTATTATACGTAGCTTCACGTGACATTTGCGAGGAGTTGCTCAGGCGCATTCGTCGATGCTTGTTACAAACTGAAAGAAGGAGAGGAGGAGGGATAAAGAAGGAAGAAGATATTTTTTATTAAAGGCGCTAAAGTCAGTCTGTCATTTTTCTTCCGATAGCCATACAGCCTATGCAGATTGCACTCAAAAGAAACATGGAAAACAAAAATTAAAACAAAAAAACACTTGATAAAATTAAGAAAATTTCAAAGCTACGTTAACCACCATAGTGGCAGTCGTGTATATTAACATAAAAATGCTATTGAAATTTTTGCCAAATGATTCTGAAACGTACCTTTTTCACAGCGTTCACCCTCGAATCCAAGAGGGCATGAGCATCGATATCTCTTTAATGTGAAACCAGACTGACAAGTTGCATTATTTTGGCACGGTAAATTCTTATCGCAGGCACTCTAAAGGAAAATAGAATTACACCAAGATCAAATGAATGACTGAAAGGGTAAAGAAAATGACGAAAGAAAGATGAAAATAACGCATGAAAGATTAAATATGAAGGCGACGGAACCTTATAGCGAAAAGATGTAAGAATGCAAAACCAAAAAATAACGAGTCAATGAGATTGAATAACAAGCCTGTTATAGCTTTCCCAAGAAGACCAAAAAGTAATCACTCACCTTCGAACCGTGATAATTAAAATTCCCGTCAGTTATCAGATCGAGGTCATATTCAAGATAAGTGGCATTATTTACTTCACAGATGTAAGTTATTCCCCCATTCTCTGCATATTTCTTGAAGTTTAGACTGACGCAATTGTCGTTCAGGTAGCAAAAAAGTACGCAGTCATCTAAGTTCCTCAACCTCGCTTTGTGGATGACATGATTTACTAAGCGTTTTCCGGGAAAGTTGTAGTACTGTGGAAACAGCATTGTCCGATCTCTTTCTAAAATGAATAAGACAAACGGCATCATAAGAAAACTACGTGATATGATGACAATTTTTCGTCAACACTGTTACTGCACTTTATGGACTGCGAACAGCTACGAGGTTTCTCCCTCCAGCCTCCATCCTAATCCAACCAATCAGGGGGCTTTCGGTAAACTCCTATGTGAACATAAGTCACATAAACCAAAGAAAAAGAAAAACATAGTACCTGTACAGTTTCTTCCATCAGTAACTACCTCAGCCTGACAAGCGCAAAATCGTGATCCCCTGATGTTTGTGCAGCTGCTATTTATTTGACAAGAATGGTTTCTTATACACTCGTAAACATCTACGGAATAAAAGCGGTGTAATCAGAGAAAACAAGAAATAAAAAAAAAATAGAGGAGAGAAAGACGGAAGGAAAGGTGAAAATAAAGAAAGGTAGGAAGAGAGAAACTTAGCAAGCAAGCGAAAGCATGCAAGAAAGAACAGAAGAAATACAGGAAACAACGAAGCAAGCGCTTTCATCATCTTGATCAATAAAGGTAACTTTACCCGCACATGAGTGCCCATCACCAGTGTACCCTTCCATACACGCACAATCATAGGAACCATAAGTGTTAGTACAGTTTGCATTCGGGTCGCAGTCATGGTTGTCTCCTTTGCATTCATCCATATCTAAAATGCAGGGGAGAAACAGTGGTTCAAACCGAAGAGAAACAAAAGAAATTGAAACTGGCCTACTGAAATCAAATGAAAAAGAAGAAACCAAAACTGCGACAAAACGCTTACAGCTACTTGTTCACAGACTGCCGCTTACCCTCTTTAATCATGTCACAGTAAATCAATACTGCCTTCCTAGTGCCGGTTGGATCCAGCCAGTACTTGCCGCTGATAGTGTCTTTTCCTTCACTCGCCTTTATTTCGTGACAAGATAACGCTGGTAAATCAGGAATAGAACCCAAAGGAGCTGCAATAAAAGTTTGGCTTTTTGTTTTGATATATGTTTTAGGCGATTTTGCTGATGTGCAGTTGTAAGTTAAGTCAATGTTAACTTTAATAGGAGAAAAGCTAAGATGAGTGAGAAAATTGCAGGGAGAATTTCTATCCTTCACGTTTTCGGAATAAATTTTTTCTGTTATGTCTCTGGAACAACAAAAAAGTAAATGCTGATGAGAATCCTTATGAGAAAGATACATCGTACTCTGATCTCTGCCTACTTACCTCTGCCGTTCAACCGCCGGATGTAAAACCATGCAGGTGCTGAGAGGAAATTTTCCGGTCTTGCCTCCTTGGTGCGGTTATTTAGTTCACATATCTTGTATTTCCTATTGTAGTTATAGCTCTGGCACGTGATCTCTTGTCCACATTTCACATCGCAAAGATGTGGAGCCGCCACCGACCACCTTTTAAAGACGGATCGCTTGAGAGCCATACCTTGAATGTTTACCTCTGTCCTGCATTGATTATTAGCATTTCCATACTCAATATTAGAGAGGAAAAGGAGGACTGGTAAGTGGCGAAATATCCACAGCATAATTCTTTTCACCTGCTGAATCGGCAAAATTGAATATTGTAAGTAAATAAACATTGAAAAACTAGTTCCAAAGGTTCCAGAGTCCTTTCCAGGGTGAAGTCCAAATGGCGAAGTTGACAAGTAACTATCTATTCAGCACCATGGCTTGGTCTAAACTAGCTGTTTGACGTCGTTTAACGAGTTGTCCTTACAAGTACTGTCAAACTAATATAAGTTAGATGTCTAGATGTTTAATTATCTTAAGCTAAATTGTAAAACCGTGCGCTATAAAAACAGACCGTTACCGAAAAAAATGACAAGGATTCCGAAAGAGAACTTCTTGTATTTGTTTGAACTTTGTGCTCAGAGATGAATTCGTATCAAAAGTGTTCTGTTTGATCCTCATCGGCAGGTCTTTGGTCTGTTGGCCGGTCGTTAGGGCAAATATTTCCTAGTGCGCCGACAAAACTGGAAACAATGGCGAAGTCTAAGTTAGGCTGGTAACCAATGTCTGTTTTTTTTTTTTGTGAGACCCATGCAGCTAAAAGTCCTCTTCAAATTGTAGTAATACATCACTGAAGTTCTCTGTATACCGCTTTAGCAATAAATCATCAAGGCTGCAAATAAATTTTATGAGACTCGTCGCTTTTCACTAAGAGCAGAACCCCCTTTATCCTTTAACATCCAAAAAAAAATCAAACATGTTCCCAACATGTGGCGTTTGAGGTCATTAATCTTAAAAAATGATGGCCTTAACATGATATGAATAGAGATGAGAACATGAAACATAAGGCTTTTACTTTTCTTCTCTCCTTAAGGCAAAATTGCCTGTCTGCCATGCAAATAATCGGATTGTTTGTATTACCAGCCGATACACTGCAAGATTAGAATATGATTCTAAATCAAGCTTTTTCCTTGAGTCTGTTGCAAGCAGCGTATGCTTACTAGTTAAAATTGTTTTAGAGTGGACCGCATAAAGAACGGCATAAATCCTTATTGAACACACACACACGAGAAAATTGTGGAACAGAAAAGACGCCCAACGCGTTGACATGGAAAAGATTAATTTACCTCAGCTTCCAAAGTTTTGACCATACCGCAATTACAATTCCCGTCGACAAAAAGCTTCAAAATTTAATTTATTCGAAAAACGTTGTAAAACAAATCCTTTAAAATTTGTATTGAACACGCTTTGTAAATATCCAGGGGGGAGTAGGGCGATAGCTCTGTAATATAAAAAAATAATGATACGCCACTTTAATGAGCCCACGTGAAAATGAAAAATTCCTTTTTTATTCCCAAATGTGTGAGGCTGGGTTCGCAAGTACAACTGCAGTCCATCTGAAACCTCTTTTTCTTTCCTGACTCAATCTTTTAGCTTTTAAATTTTCCTGCCATCTTGTCAAGTAATGGCGTCAGACTAACTGTGTCGGATCAATAAGTAATCCCATAATTGATATTTTTCTTCATTCTCATCACTTGTCTGCATGATACTGTATAGATATAGTAAAGAGAAATTCTGTCTTGATCACTCATGGTAGCTAAAGGGTTAAGAAAAGAATGCTGTCCCCAGAATGTGTCGTGCTACAACTATGGTTACAGCCAAAACAGACGGTACCGAGCATGTAATTGACAGATAATTACCTGTTTCAGTGTAGTCCTCAACACTCAAAACCTCATTTTCGTAACTTTGGGGAACTGGAATTAATTAACAATCATCGCAGGTTTCTCAGTGAAAAGAATGTCACATACATTTGGGAAAACAGACACAAACTGTCACTTTTTGACCTATCGAATAAAAATATTTTAATGTATTGAAGCTAGTCAGGATAATTCTCCTTTTTCTGGAGACTAAAACTGTATTTAGCGTCAAATGCCTTTTGCCGCCCCTGTGACAACAAGAAAACATACTTGCATACAGTAGAAAGAAGTATCCAGTTGTCTCCTCCGGCTTCCTTTTCTCTTTTGGACTAAACAATATGTCAATGATTATACATTACAACTCAAACCCAAATCGTGAAGCGTATTAAAATTTACCGTTGTTCCTTAAATGTGACCTAAATGCTTCACTATTTTAGCTGCATTCAATTTTATATGTTTAGAAAATAATAGAACTCTTTCCTGAGACTTCTCTATGCTCTTTTACCACAAAACCCTTGCTCAACAGAGAAAATTTACAGCACAATATTGGAATATTGGCGTGAACACTGAGGGGAATACCGTGTCATTACTGTTTCAAAACCGGTGTAAACTTGAGGGATTCGCTAATCTAATTTTTTCGGGAACTTTTTTAACACTCCACTCTACTCCAAAAAGGAAGGGGTAAAAAAGGACACTCAATAATTTGTTTGAAACCTTACGACGCCAAAAACAAGCTTACCTTTTGGGATGTTATTCGTTCTTTGTAATTCCTCCTTAGGGGTGAAACACCTTTAAGAAAATAAAGCTGTCTCCTGAATGTGTCGCTCTGCAACTATGGTTACAGGCAAAACAGACAATACTAATCGTGTCATTGACAGATAATTACCTGTTTCGGTGTAGTCCTCAACACTCATAACCTCATTTTTATAACTTTGGGGAACTGGAATTAATTGACAACTATCGCAAGTTTCTCGGTGAAGGAGTGTCCGCTAGTTTTGGAAAACACAGACACATACTGTCACTTTTTGACTTGTCATTAACTGTAATTATAGAAAACTCATAAAACTTTAATCAACGAGGAGGGGAATCGCACTCAAGCCGTAGGGAACAAGATAGGGCCTCGCATTTAAATTGATTGTTTAGTTTACGAATATCTAATACCAACCTGAAGCAGATGTTCAATTCGCGTGACAAAGGCGAGTAAAAATATTTAAATGTATTGAGGGTAGCTGGGATATTTCTTCTTTCTGGAGACTAAAACTGTATTTAGCGTCAAATACCTCTTGCACGCTACTGCGACGATAAGGAAACATTTTTGCATACAATCGGTAGAACCATTCAGTTGTCTCTCCTGGATTAATTTGTTTTCTCTTTTGGACTAGACAATATGTCATTGAATATAAATTACAACTCAAACCCAAATCGTGGAGCGTATTAAAACTTATCGCTTTTCCTTTAAATGTGACCTAAACGCTTCACTGGTTTAGTTGCATCCAATTCAGAATGTTTAGGAAATAATTGGACTCTTTCCTGAGACTTCTCTATGCTCTTTTGCCCAAAAACCCTTTCTCAAGATTTAACAGAGGAGATTTACAGCGCAAAAGTAGCATGATCTCTGAGGGAAACACCGTGTCATTACTGTTTCAAAACCGGCCATAAATAAATTCTTGGTGTAAACCAGGTATCAAACAGGGGAGTTGTGGGTATTTTTCATGAAGCACGCGGCAGAGTTAAAGGGAATCGAGCATCGAAGGTGTGAGCTGACCGACACGCATTTTTATTTGTAGCACCTCGGATATGACATATCTAGCATTTATGGGGAAAAATTTTATTATTAAATATATGGAGAAAGTTTAGGTACTTAGAAACTTATACTGTTTAAATGTCGCCTTTTTAAAACGATGGCTTATGGGACTAAGCATAATTTGAAATATATCTTCAAACGAAATGCGAGATGCTCTGTAGGTGGCAACAGAACTCGAGGCGCAATGAATATGGAAGAGAGATGCTCCCTTTGAACAAGGTTGATTAACCGCAGTTAAGGAAAAATCATTGAATTTCTGGTCTATAAAGTTAACCTTTTGACCCCTATGAGTGACTAGCATCTAATTTTTCCATACAGTATCACCCTTCAAGCACACATTAAGGTCAGGAGAATAAAGGAAAAGATATATCAACTAGAGAAACTTTTGATTGTTTAACATATTCTCCTTGTCAGCACCTTAGAAAATGTTTGGAGAACAGTCTGAAGAATATGCATCTTAATGTTGGATTGTTAATTGAATGTTGAGGAACTTTCCGATATTCAATACCACAAGAAGCGAGAAGTTGTGAAGATGAAGAATTTCTATTCTTTCTTTTGATAAGGGAGAGGCAGAGCCATGTCCGCATTGAGAATTATTTCGAACGTCTTAAGCCACTCTGAACTGTTTCATATTTTTAAAGTCATTTTCGGATGTCAAGAACTACAGTCGGCCGTTTTGAACGCCTGTTAGCTACTTGCCGAGGTCTGCACCCGGCTGCAGTCAGCATTTTATTCTGACGGTTGGAAACCAAAAGTGTGACTCATACTTTGAGGGATAGGGGGATATCGTGTTTTAACAATTGAGTTTACAGAAGGACATTGAGTAGGAAAAATAAATTCGGAAGTAGATGGATCATGGCTGCCTTATATAAGGACCACAAACTTGACTTTCGTCGTAGGGAAAGACAAGCCGCCACGGTAAAATTGGGAATAAAGTAACATTTCACGACAATAACCTGCCACTGTAATCCGGCATGTTGCTAAAGGTTTGGTCTGTGCGTGCCTGCATGAGTGCGAATAGTGTAAGGTATACATCACAAGAATGTGTTCAATTTCAAAGCCGGAAAGTTTAATCGAATAAAAATTAAACAACACAGCAATCAATGCAAACAATTAAGGTGCTTTTAACATCACTTCATAAGTCACGCAATGTTATAATGATCTTAACATAAATAAAACATATCTAACTATGTTTCCGGCGAAAGAAATATCTCCATTAGCATTGCTTGATTAATAATCTGCCGTAAATTCTGCTATTACCGATCACTGTAAAATATAGACAGTTTCACTTGTTTACTTAGTTATTTATTATTTTATTTATATTAAATCAAAGAGAATCAGGGAATACTTCTTGTAATACTTGCAGCATTACAGATCTCATGACTAACGGTACTGAGTTTTCATTTTACACTCACAGTACTAAAAAAGGTCACCAAAAATTATCTTGGAAACTGAAATTATAACTGTTGTTGATTTTGCAGCTTAGAATACAACTCCGACTTCACTTTACCTGATTACTTGAGGATAGACACAGTTTGAATCTCTTTAAAGAACCTTCCATCTTACATCTGACTATAAATATCCTGGTAATTATATTTTGTGATTGTATCTACTTATTGAATAGTGACGAGTATCGATTTGTTATGAAGATATTGATGAAGTACCGAAATCTATCCTATTTGAAAAGATGATATGTTCACCGCGCGCAGCCGGTGAAAGCATCATTTATATTCAAGTGAAGTAATGATCCTCCTAGAAAAACTTCAGTCTAAGAAATTGCAGGACAGAAGTCTAAAAAAAAAATGTTAATATTTGGGCTTCGAAGGGCTTCGAACCCGTGCCTTGGGGCTACTACCAACTGAAGTTCAAAACCACGTGTTGGGAGCAAGGCAAACACGATTTAAATAAAAAATGTGCATCATTTGTCCCTTATCGTGCCAAGATGGCAATGTCGCCGTCATAGCTTGGTTCAGCAACATGGCGGTTTACTTTTCTAGGGTTTCATTACATTTTATCTTATCCTGATACTTGTATTTTGTGAATGTAGCTACTTATTTTATAGCGACGAGTATTTCAAACATATTCAGTTCTTTATGAAACAATAGCTATTACGCATGATGCTGTCATTTACTGAAAATTCACTAAAATGTTAATCCACAAGTCTTTGTTATTTTATTTTTGCGTAGGGTATACATCACAAGAATGTGTTCAATTTCAAAGCTGGTAAGTTTAATCGAATCAAAATTAAACAATACAGCAATCAGTGCAAACAATCAAAGTGCTAAATTAACAATACTTCAAAAGTCACGCAATGTCATAATGATCTTAACATAAATAAAACATATCTAACTATTTTTCCGGCGAAAGAAATATCGACATCAGCCTTGCTTAATGATTTGCCGTAAATTCTGTTATCATCGATCACTGTAATATAATATTATCGACAGTTGCTTATTATCACTTGTTTATTTATTTATTTATTATTTTATTTATGTTAATCAAAGAGAATCAGGGAATACTACTTATAATGCTTGCAACATTACAGATCTCATGACTAAGGGTACTGAGTTTTTCATTTCCAAAACTATATACAACACTCACAGTTCTTAAAATGTCACCAAAAATTATCTTGGAAACTGAAATTATAACTGTTGTTGATTTTTCAGCCTAGAATTCAACTCCGACTTCACCTTACCTCATAACTAGAGGATAGACTAGAGTTTGGATCTCTTTAAAGAACCTTCAATCTTACATCTGATTATAGATATCCTGGTAATTATATTTTGTGATTGTATCTACTGATTGAATAGTGACGAGTATCGATTTGTTATGAAGATATTTACGAAGTACCGAAATCTATCCTATTTGAAAACATGATAGGTTCATTCTATACTGACGGTTTGAAAACCAGAAATGAGACCCATACCTTGAGAGAAAGGGGGTGTCGTGTTTTAACAATTGAGTTTACGGAAGGACATTGGATAGAAAAAATTAATTCTGAAGTAGAGGGATCATGGCTGCCTTATATAAGGACTACAACCTTGACCATCGTCGTAGGGAAAGACAGGCGGCCACGGTAAAATTGTGAAATAACATTTCACGACAATAACCTACCACTGTAATCCGGTCTGTGCAGCCGGTGAAAGCATCATTTATATTCAAGTGAAGTAATGATTCTCCTAGAAAAACTTCAATCTAAGAAACTGCAGTATAGAAGTCTAAAAACAAAAAAAAATAAAATCCAGGCTTCGAAGGGTTTCAAACAACTGAACTAACAACTGAAGTTCAAAGCCACATATTGGGAGCAAAGTAAATACGATTTACTGCTTAAAAAAAATTTGTATCATTTGTCTCTTATCGTGTCAAGATGGCAATGTCGCCGTGATAGCCTGGTTCAGCAACGTGGCGGTTTACTTTTCTAAAGGGTTTCATTACATTTTATTATATCCTGATACCTGTATTTTGTGAATTTATCTACTTATTTTATAGCGACAAGTATTTAAAACATACTCAGTTCTTTATGAAACAGTAGTTCTTACGCATGATGCTGTCATTTTCTACTAAAAAAGGTTAATTCACAAGTCTTTGTTATTTCTCGCTTTCACGAGGGTATTCTACCTGATTAATTTAATCAAAATAAAGGGACAAAGAAGCCCAGTAGATCAATAGTGAAGCTCGTACTAAACGATACTTGCCATCAAACCTGGACAAAAGTGACTGTATCCATAGTTTTGTAATATTTAGTTGTGCGTGAAACAGTAACGGTACGGACATTTGGCTAATGATGGCAAATGGTAGACGTAAAAGGAACTGCAGTTCTTCACCCTTATGAGGGATGCTTCCTCACAGCACCAGCCTAAGCCCTCGCTGAAGCAGACGGTCCTGTTTACTTCTCCTTCATCCACTGTGGGATGATCGCCCTTCAACCAACCTGGATTTTTTGTACTGCAACTGTAAAGAGGTGGACATGTAGTCGGCATTGTTATTCCTGAAATATTCAGGAAGCGATACCAACCGGAGTTCAGATTATAGTCACATTTTACATGTTCAGGCGGGGTTCGGTACTTAACGTCTCTGTCATAATCTTCCAGAACAGTGTGGAATTGGCACACATCAGCTGAAAGGTAAACCAAAAAAAATTACAATTAACGCTTTTACACCATTAGCCTTAGTAAAAACAGATCAGAAACGTTTATGAACCACTCTCTCCAAGAGAGGACATGCTCCTCTATCCTGCTGTTCCTTTTCTTGCCCTCTACAAGTGAAAATTAACTGCAATTCGGGGAGGGCTTATTACTATTATTCAATGGTTACGAAAAAGGAAAGTGACAAAAGAGAATCCATCTGAAGCCAATATTTGTTTGTTTGTGTGCTTTTTTTACAGAATACCTTGAAGTAAGCAAAAGTGAATTGTCACTCTATGGCTATTTTTATCATCAGATTTAAACTCAGCATGCCACAGCTCTAAGATCTTGGTTATTTTCATAACACTCGAGAAGAAGTAGAAGAAGACAATTGAATTACCATTGCAAGTGGTGCCTAATGTATCCAGTGTGACAACGACAAACGTACGATCCAATGGTGTTTAGGCAGTCAGCATTTACGTGGCAAGAGGAAAGATTTGTTTTACATTCGTCAAAATCTAAGGAATAAGAGATGTTAGAAATATATTTTAAAAGTAAAAAAATGAAAAGGAATAAATTATTGCGGTACTGCCGATAAAAATGCCAAGGCGAACGTCATCACACTGATAGAAAGGGAGATCGCCAGAATGCTATACAATTTGGCGACTTTTCACTTTTGCCGCCAGAGCCGGCCGAAAGGTAGGAAGAGAGAAACTTAGCAAGCAAGCGAAAGCATGCAAGAAAGAACAGAAGAAATACAGGAAACAACGAAGCAAGCGCTTTCATCATCTTGATCAATAAAGGTAACTTTACCCGCACATGAATGCCCATCACCAGTGTACCCTTCCATACACGCACAATCATAGGAACCATAAGTGTTAGTACAGTTTGCATTCGGGTCGCAGTCATGGTTGTCTCCTTTGCATTCATCCATATCTAAAATGCAGGGGAGAAACAGTGGTTCAAACCGAAGAGAAACAAAAGAAATTGAAACTGGCCTAAATCAAATGAAAAAGAAGAAACCAAAACTACGACAAAACGCTTACAGCTACCTGTTCACAGACTGCCGCTTACCCTCTTTAATCATGTCACAGTAAATCAATACTGCCTTCCCAGTGCCGGTTGGATCCAGCCAGTACTTGCCGCTGATAGTGTCTTTTCCTTCACTCGCCTTTATTTCGTGACAAGATAACGCTGGTAAATCAGGAATAGAACCCAAGGGAGCTGCAATAAAAGTTTGGCTTTTTGTTTTGATATATGTTTTATGCGATTTTGCTGATGTGCAGTCGTAAGTTAAGTCAATGTTAACTTTAATAGGAGAAAAGCTAAGATGAGTGAGAAAATTGCAGGGAGAATTTCTATCCTTCACGTTTTCGGAATAAATTTTTTCCGTTATGTCTCTGGAACAACAAAAAAGTAAATGCTGATGAGAATCCTTATGAGAAAGATACATCGTACTCTGATCTCTGCCTACTTACCTCTGCCGTTCAACCGCCGGATGTAAAACCATGCAGGTGCTGAGAGGAAATTTTCCGGTCTTGCCTCCTTGGTGCGGTTATTTAGTTCACATATCTTGTATTTCCTATTGTAGTTATAGCTCTGGCACGTGATCTCTTGTCCACATTTCACATCGCAAAGATGTGGAGCCGCCACCGACCACCTTTTAAAGACGGATCGCTTGAGAGCCATACCTTGTATGTTTACCTCTGTCCTGCATTGATTATTAGCAGTTCCATACTCAATATTAGAGAGGAAAAGGAGGACTGGTAAGTGGCGAAATATCCACAGCATAATTCTTTTCACCTGCTGAATCGGCAAAATTGAATATTGTAAGTAAATAAACATTGAAAAACTAGTTCCAAAGGTTCCAGAGTTCTTTCCAGGGTAAAGTCTAACTGGCGAAGTTGACAAGTAATTATCTATTCAGCACCATGGCTTGGTCTAAACTAGCTATTTGACGTCGTTTAACGAGTTGTCCTTACAAGTACTGTCAAACTAATATAAGTTAGATGTCTAGATGTTTAATTAGCTTAAGCTAAATTGTAAAACCGTGCGCTATAAGAACAGACCGTTACCGAAAAAAAATGACAAGGATTCCGAAAGAGAACTTCTTGTATTTGTTTGAACTTTGTGCTCAGAGATGAATTCGTATCAAAAGTGTTCTGTTTGATCCTCATCGGCAGGTCTTTGGTCTGTTGGCCGGTCGTTAGGGCAAATATTTCCTAGTGCGCCGACAAAACTGGAAACAATGGCGAAGTCTAAGTTAGGCTGGTAACCAATGTCTGTTTTTTTTTTTTTGTGAGACCCATGCAGCTAAAAGTCCTCTTCAAATCGTAGTAATACATCACTGAAGTTCTCTGTATACCGCTTTAGCAATAAATCATCAAGGCTGCAATTAAATTTTATGAGACTCGTCGCTTTTCACTAAGAGCAGAACCCCCTTTATCCTTTAACATCCAAAAAAAAATCAAACATGTTCCCAACATGTGGCGTTTGAGGTCGTTAATCTTAAAAAATGATGGCCTTAACATGATATGAATAGAGATGAGAACATGAAACATAAGGCTTTTACTTTTCTTCTCTCCTTAAGGCAAAATTGCCTGTCTGCCATGCAAATAATCGGATTGTTTGTATTACCAGCCGATACACTGCAAGATTAGAATATGATTCTAAATCAAGCTTTTTCCTTGAGTCTGTTGCAAGCAGCGTATGCTTACTAGTTAAAATTGTTTTAGAGTGGACCGCATAAAGAACGGCATAAATCCTTATTGAACACACACACACGAGAAAATTGTGGAACAGAAAAGACGCCCAACGCGTTGACATGGAAAAGATTAATTTACCTCAGCTTCCAAAGTTTTGACCATACCGCAATTACAATTCCCGTCGACAAAAAGCTTCAAAATTTAATTTATTCGAAAAACGTTGTAAAACAAATCCTTTAAAATTTGTATTGAACACGCTTTGTAAATATCCAGGGGGGAGTAGGGCGATAGCTCTGTAATATAAAAAAATAATGATACGCCACTTTAATGAGCCCACGTGAAAATGAAAAATTCCTTTTTTATTTCCAAATGTGTGAGGCTGGGTTCGCAAGTACAACTGCAGTCCATCTGAAACCTCTTTTTCTTTCCTGACTCAATCTTTTAGCTTTTAAATTTTCCTGCCATCTTGTCAAGTAATGGCGTCAGACTAACTGTGTCGGATCAATAAGTAATCCCATAATTGATATTTTTCTTCATTCTCATCACTTGTCTGCATGATACTGTATAGATATAGTAAAGAGAAATTCTGTCTTGATCACTCATGGTAGCTAAAGGGTTAAGAAAAGAATGCTGTCCCCAGAATGTGTCGTGCTGCAACTATGGTTACAGCCAAAACAGACGGTACCGAGCATGTAATTGACAGATAATTACCTGTTTCGGTGTAGTCCTCAACACTCAAAACCTCATTTTCGTAACTTTGGGGAACTGGAATTAATTAACAATCATCGCAGGTTTCTCAGTGAAAAGAGTGTCACATACATTTGGGAAAACAGACACAAACTGTCACTTTTTGACCTATCGAATAAAAATATTTTAATGTATTGAAGCTAGTCAGGATAATTCTCCTTTTTCTGGAGACTAAAACTGTATTTAGCGTCAAATGCCTTTTGCCGCCCCTGTGACAACAAGAAAACATACTTGCATACAGTAGAAAGAAGTATCCAGTTGTCTCCTCCGGCTTCCTTTTCTCTTTTGGACAAAACAATATGTCAATGATTATACATTACAACTCAAACCCAAATCGTGAAGCGTATTAAAATTTACCGTTGTTCCTTAAATGTGACCTAAATGCTTCACTATTTTAGCTGCATTCAATTTAATATGTTTAGAAAATAATAGAACTCTTTCCTGAGACTTCTCTATGCTCTTTTACCACAAAACCCTTGCTCAACAGAGAAAATTTACAGCACAATATTGGAATATTGGCGTGAGCACTGAGGGGAATACCGTGTCATTACTGTTTCAAAACCGGTGTAAACTTGAGGGATTCACTAATCTAATTTTTTCGGGAACTTTTTTAACACTCCACTCTACTCCAAAAAGGAAGGGGTAAAAAAGGACACTCAATAATTTGTTTGAAACCTTACGACGCCAAAAACAAGCTTACCTTTTGGGATGTTATTCGTTCTTTGTAATTCCTCCTTAGGGGTGAAACACCTTTAAGAAAATAAAGCTGTCTCCTGAATGTGTCGCTCTGCAACTATGGTTACAGGCAAAACAGACAATACTAATCGTGTCATTGACAGATAATTACCTGTTTCGGTGTAGTCCTCAACACTCATAACCTCATTTTTATAACTTTGGGGAACTGGAATTAATTGACAACTATCGCAAGTTTCTCGGTGAAGGAGTGTCCGCTAGTTTTGGAAAACACAGACACATACTGTCACTTTTTGACTTGTCATTAACTGTAATTATAGAAAACTCATAAAACTTTAATCAACGAGGAGGGGAATCGCACTCAAGCCGTAGGGAACAAGATAGGGCCTCGCATTTAAATTGATTGTTTAGTTTACGAATATCTAATACCAACCTGAAGCAGATGTTCAATTCGCGTGACAAAGGCGAATAAAAATATTTAAATGTATTGAGGGTAGCTGGGATATTTCTTCTTTCTGGAGACTAAAACTGTATTTAGCGTCAAATACCTCTTGCACGCTACTGCGACGATAAGGAAACATTTTTGCATACAATCGGTAGAACCATTCAGTTGTCTCTCCTGGATTAATTTGTTTTCTCTTTTGGACTAGACAATATGTCATTGAATATACATTACAACTCAAACCCAAATCGTGGAGCGTATTAAAACTTATCGCTTTTCCTTTAAATGTGACCTAAACGCTTCACTGGTTTAGTTGCATCCAATTCAGAATGTTTAGGAAATAATTGGACTCTTTCCTGAGACTTCTCTATGCTCTTTTGCCCAAAAACCCTTTCTCAAGATTTAACAGAGGAGATTTACAGCGCAAAAGTAGCATGATCTCTGAGGGAAATACCGTGTCATTACTGTTTCAAAACCGGCCATGAATAAATTCTTGGTGTAAACCAGGTATCAAACAGGGGAGTTGTGGGTATTTTTCATGAAGCACGCGGCAGAGTTAAAGGGAATTGAGCATCGAAGGTGTGAGCTGACCGACACGCATTTTTATTTGTAGCACCTCGGAAATGACATATCTAGCATTTATGAGGAAAAAATTTTATTATTAAATATATGGAGAAAGTTTAGGTACTTAGAAACTTATACTGTTTAAATGTCGCCTTTTTAACACGATGGCTTATGGGACTAAGCATAATTTGAAATATATCTTCAAACGAAATGCGAGATGCTCTGTAGGTGGCAACAGAACTCGAGGCGCAATGAGTATGGAAGAGAGATGCTCCCTTTGAACAAGGTTGATTAACCGCAGTTAAGGAAAAATCATTGAATTTCTGGTCTATAAAGTTAACCTTTTGACCCCTATAAGTGACTAGCATCTAATTTTTCCATACAGTATCACCCTTCAAGCACACATTAAGGTCAGGAGAATAAAGGAAAAGATATATCAACTAGAGAAACTTTTGATTGTTTAACATATTCTCCTTGTCAGCACCTTAGAAAACGTTTGGAGAACAGTCTGAAGAATATGCGTACTAATGTTAGGTTGTTCAGGGTAGTGGTTGCACCATGGAGCGAATCGAGAGTCAGTCAGTGGCTGATATAGGGGGAGGAGAGAGGAGATCCGGACTCCCTTCCCCATCAGACTTGTGGGTAAATTTAGTACTCATCTAACGACGAAAAATGTGTAACGACAGGATCTCATTTTACGACTCTGCTCAAGTATTTAAGATTAACTTATGTCAGACTCTTTTCAGTTCATTCAGGCTTTTGTGTACCAGCACAATTTGTGTTAAATGATCAAAACTTGGACCCCCTAAAAAATACTCCTGGAATTCAAACGAAATTTAGCTCAGCTTATGTTATCAAAAAGCACCCTCCAGTATTCCTCTTAAATTATTCGCTGATCAATTCAAAAGCCTAAACATTCTCCCACCGGGCAAAATAAACCCACGGGCATTCTTTGAACTTTGGGTTAGTGGGGTGGGTAATTTAAACCGACGGTTTAAGACAGACTTTAGTTCATGAGATCAGTTACCATGACGGCAGGCGCGAAATTGTAGAGCGCGTCAGTGGAATCGCGCGCAAAATTTAAAAACGAAAACAAGATGGCCGTCGCGGATAGAGCAGCTGTTGTTTCGTTAATAGAGGAACTTTCCGATATTCAATACCACAAGAAGCGAGAAGTGGTGAAGATGAAGAATTTCGATTCTTTCTTTTGATAAGGGAGAGGCAGAGCCATGTCCGCATTGAGAATTATTTCGAACGTCTTAAGCCACTCTGCTTTGTTTCACATTTTTAAAGTCATTTTCGAATGTCAAGAACTACAGTCGGCCGTTTGGAACGCCTGCTAGCTACTTGCCGAGGTCTGCACCCGGCTGCAGTCAGCATTTTATTCTGACGGTTTGAAAACCAAAAGTGTGACTCATACCTTGAGGGATATCGTGTTTTAACAATTGAGTTTACGGCTGGACATTGAGTAGGAAAAATAAATTCGGAAGTAGATGGATCATGGCCGCCTTATATAAGGACCACAAACTTGACTTTCGTCGTAGGGAAAGACAAGCCGCCACGGTAAAATTGGGAATAAAGTAACATTTCACGACAATAACCTACCACTGTAATCCGGCATGTTGCTAAAGGTTTGGTCTGTGCGTGCCTGCATGAGTGCGAATAGTGTAAGGTATACATCACAAGAATGTGTTCAATTTCAAAGCTGGAAAGTTTAATCGAATAAAAATTAAACAACACAGCAATCAATGCAAACAATTAAGGTGCTTTTAACATCACTTCATAAGTCAAGCAATGTTATAATGATCTTAACATAAATAAAACATATCTAACTATGTTTCCGGCGAAAGAAATATCTCCATCAGCATTGCTTGATTAATAATCTGCCGTAAATTCTGCTATTACCGATCACTGTAAAATATAGACAGTTTCACTTGTTTACTTAGTTATTTATTATTTTATTTATATTACATCAAAGAGAATCAGGGAATACTTCTTATAATACTTGCAGCATTACAGATCTCATGACTAACGGTACTGAGTTTTCATTTTACACTCACAGTACTAAAAATGTCACCAAAATTATCTTGGAAACTGAAATTATAACTGTTGTTGATTTTGCAGCTTAGAATACAACTCCGACTTCACCTTACCTCATTACTTGAGGATAGACACAGTTTAAATCTCTTTAAAGAACCTTCCATCTTACATCTGACTATAAATATCCTGGTAATTATATTTTGTGATTGTATCTACTTATTGAATAGTGACGAGTATCGATTTGTTATGAAGATATTGATGAAGTACCGAAATCTATCCTATTTGAAAAGATGATATGTTCACCGCGCGCAGCCGGTGAAAGCATCATTTATATTCAAGTGAAGTAATGATCCTCCTAGAAAAACTTCAGTCTAAGAAATTGCAGGACAGAAGTCTAAAAAAAAAACGTTAAAATTTGGGCTTCGAAGGGCTTCGAACCCGTGCCTTGAGGCTACTACCAACTGAAGTTCAAAACCACGTGTTGGGAGCAAGGCAAACACGATTTAAATAAAAAATGAGCATCATTTGTCCCTTATCGTGCCAAGATGGCAATGTCGCCGTGATAGCTTGGTTCAGCAACATGGCGGTTTACTTTTCTAGGGTTTCATTACATTTTATCTTATCCTGATACCTGTATTTTGTGAATGTAGCTACTTATTTTACAGCGACGAGTATTTCAAACATATTCAGTTCTTTATGAAACAATAGCTAGTACGCATGATGCTGTCATTTACTGAAAGTTCACTAAAATGTTAATCCACAAGTCTTTGTTATTTTATTTTTGCGCAGGGTATACATCACAAGAATGTGTTCAATTTCAAAGCTGGAAAGTTTAATCGAATCAAAATTGAACAACACAGCAATCAGTGCAAAAAATCAAAGTGCTAAATTAACAATACTTCATAAGTCACGCAATGTCATAATGATCTTAACATAAATAAAACATATCTAACTATTTTTCCGGCGAAAGAAATATCTACATCAGCCTTGCTTAATGATTTGCCGTAAATTCTGCTATCATCGATCACTGTAATATAATATTATCGACAGTTGTTTATTATCACTTGTTTATTTATTTATTTATTATTTTATTTATATTAATCAAAGAGAATCAGGGAATACTACTTATAATGCTTGCAACATTACAGATCTCATGACTAAGGGTACTGAGTTATTCATTTCCAAAACTATATACAACACTCACAGTACTAAAAATGTCACCAAAAATTATCCTGGAAACTGAAATTATAACTGTTGTTGATTTTTCAGCCTAGAATTCAACTCCGACTTCACCTTACCTCATAACTAGAGGATAGACTAGAGTTTGAATCTCTTTAAAGAACCTTCAATCTTACATCATAGATTATAGATATCCTGGTAATTATATTTTGTGATTGTATCTACTGATTGAATAGTGACGAGTATCGATTTGTTATGAAGATATTTACGAAGTACCGAAATCTATCCTATTTGAAAAAATGATAGGTTCATTCTATACTGACGGTTTGAAAACCAGAAATGAGACCCATACCTTGAGAGAAAGGGGGTGTCGTGTTTTAACAATTGAGTTTACGGGAGGACATTGGATAGCAAAAATTAATTCTGAAGTAGAGGGATCATGGCTGCCTTATATAAGGACTACAACCTTGACAATCGTCGTAGGGAAAGACAGGCCGCCACAGTAAAATTGTGAAATAACATTTCACGACAATAACCTACCACTGTAATCCGGTCTGTGCAGCCGGTGAAAGCATCCTTTAACTGCATCATTAAACTGCAGTATAGAAGTCTAAAAACGAAAAAAATTAAATCCAGGCTTCGAAGGGTTTCAAACAACTGAACTAACAACTGAAGTTCAAAGCCACATATTGGGAGCAAGGCAAATACGATTTACTGCTTGAAAAAAAATTTGTATCATTTGTCTCTTATCGTGTCAAGATGGCAATGTCGCCGTGATAGCCTGGTTCAGCAACATGGCGGTTTACTTTTCTAAAGGGTTTCATGTAATGTTTAAAAAACGAGCAGGAGTGTTTTATCGGGTTTAAAACCACGAGGCGTAGCCGAGTGGTTTTTGACCCGATAAAACACGTGCTGCGAGTTTTTTGAACGGCTTCAAAAACATTCTTGGAAAAGCGTGTGTCAAGAGAGTTCATAACAATTATGCTTTTGTGAACGTTAGAAATTAGCATACGAGAAAAACATTAGAGGAGAGGTCAATTAGAGAGAGAACAGGTCATCGATCAAATGCCTTGTTTAAATACGAAAAGTCCAGTGTTGAGCAAGAACACCAGGTTAGCAAGATTTTAGGCCCCCCTGAAAATAGGGAGACTACTGGCAAAAGGTCAAACGCAGAGGTTAGCTAAAACGAGTTGGAGTCACTTCTGCCGACTGATTTTGAATTCGAAGTTTCAGATGATGTATTGTCTAATATGCCTTTACCAGATTACTGTACTAATGGAATAGAGAATTTTTCCAGATGTGTATTTCACAACTGTACTATTAATTTGGTGCAAAAGTAAATTTACTGTGTGAAATTTGTTGAAAGAACATTAAATATGTTCCCACCATTTGTTGTGTCAGTTTCTGTGTTGATAATTAATTAATATTCATAAGTCACGTGCAGTGTCTTTATATCTGATAAAACACCGCATACTAATAAGGATGAGGTTTATCGATATAAAGTCACTGCACGTGATGTATTATCTACCATTTGATAGGTTAATGGGCTTATGAATTATTAATGAGTTTTTGAATACATTTTATCATATCCTGATACCTGTATTTTGTGAATTTATCTACTTATTTTATAGCGACGAGTATTTAAAACATACAGCTATTTCAATTTACGTTGTCGGATCAAAGCTTCAAGGGTACGGGACAAGACCGAAAGGCGGTATGGGTAGATTAGAATTAATTTTAGGCGAGATGGACATGGAGGCTGAAAATACAATTAGTATTGCCTTGCGCGTCTTAACAAAGAGCAACAAGAACAGATGTGACGAGGCATTGTTAATTTTGCTGATAATTATTCATTAAGATCCCATAGGCTTGAGGCTTTGATCCGACAACGTAAATTGAAATAGCTGTATTCAGTTCTTTATGAAACAATAGTTCTTACGCATGATGCTGTCATTTTCAACTAAAATGTTAATTCACAAGTCTTTGTTATTTCTCGCTTTCACGAGGGTATTCTACCTGATTAATTTAATCAAAATAAAGGGACACAGAAGCCCAGTAGATAAATAGTGAAGCTCGCACTAAACGAGGAGCTGCTCAGGCGCATTCCTCGATGCTTGTTACAGACTGAAAGAAGGAGAGGAGGAGGGATAAAGAAGGAAGGAGACATTTTTTATTAAAGACGCTAAAGTCAGTCTGTCATTTTTCTTCCGATAGCCATACAGCCAATGCAGATTGCGCTCAAAAGAAACATGGAAAACAAAAATTAAAACAAAAAAAAAGTTCATAAAATTAAGAAAATTTCAAAGCTTCGTTAACCACCGTAGTGGCAGTCGTGTATATTAACACAAAGATCCTATTAAAATTTTTGAAAAATGATTCTGAAACGTACCTTTTTCACAGTTTTCACCCTCGAATCCAAGAGGGCATAAGCATCGATATCCCTTTGATGTGAAACCAGACTGACAAGCTGCATTATTTTGGCACGGTGAATTCTTACCGCAGGCACTCTAAAGGAAAACAGAATTATAGTGAGATGAAATGATTAAATGGGTAAAGAAAATGACGCAAGGAAGATGGAAGGTACACATGAAAGATTTAATGTGCAAGCGAAGCAACCATAAAGAGGAAAGATGAAAGAATGCAAAATCGAAAAATAAAGAGTCCATGAGACTAAATAACAAGCGTGTTAAAGCTTACACAAAAAGACCAAAAAGGTACGTTTCAGAATTTGAGTAACCAATTACTCACCTTCGAACCGTGATAATAAAAAACGCCATTATCTATCAGATCAATGTCATAATCAAGATGAGTGGCATTATTTGCTTCACAGATATAACCTATTCCCCCAAGCTCTGCATTTTTCTTGAAGTTTAGACTGACGCAGTTGTCATTCAGGTAGCAAAAGAGTACACAGTCATCCAAGTTCTTGACGTTTGCGCTTCGGATAACATGGTTTTTTAAACGTCTTCCGGGAAAGTTGTAGTACTGTGGAAACATCATTGTTCGATTTCTTTCTAAAATAAATAAGACAAACGGCATCATTAGAAAACTACGTGATATGATGACAATTTTTCGTCAACACCGTTACTGCCTTTTTAATGGACCGCAAACAGTTACGAGGTTTCTCCCTCAAGCCTCCATCCTAATCCAACCACTCAGGGTTGTCGGCCATCAAAAGCCTTCACAGAAAGCCCACTCCTCACCGCCTCCCCCACTCACCACCATTAAATCCTAAAATCCTAATCGTAGCGTAAACCAAAGAAAAACATCATAGTACCTGTACAGTTTCTTCCATCGGTAATTACCTCAGCCTGACAAGTGCAAAATCGTGATCCCCTGATGTTTGTGCAGCTGCTATTTATTTGACAAGAATGGTTTCTTATACACTCGTAGACATCTAAGGAATCAAAGTGATGTAGTCAGAAAAAAAGGAGAGAAAGAAAGAAGGGAGAAAGACGGAAGGAAAGATGAAAATAGAGATAGACAAGAGAGAAAAGCGAAAACATGCAAGAAAGAACAGAAGATAGGAAACAACGAAGCAAGCAAGAAAGGAGAAAATAAATGACAGAAATGGTTATCCCATTATTTCTCGCTACCGCTGAAAGAAAGACAATCATTGCATTCTTTACAATTTTTGCGTTGATGGTAGGGATTTTTGAGACAACCCATGTTCCTTCGCATGCATGGTAGATGCCTTTTCGCCATGTGCTTTACTCCACGTTGGAATTAAACTTCTGGTCTTGATTCTTCGGCCCGAAAGCTTAATACATTACAAACACTGCTGTTGTTAGACTAGTCTAATGTACCTTTGCATGACGACTGTCCATCTCCGATGTATCCTTCCTTACAGGTGCAGTTGTGGGAACCATTAATGTTGATACAGTTCGCATTCACATCACAAACATGGCTGTGATTGTTGCACTCATCGATATCTATGAATACAAGTGATTTTTAATATCTATTTTGGTCCAAATAAAAATCTGCAAAAGCTCCGGTTCCTAGGGCAACAGATGTTATCAAAAGTTGCTGCTTGACACGAAATAAAGAATAATATCTTGGTATAGCTTTCCTTCCCCATGACTTCCCGTTTTAAAAAAAGTAACTTAAAACAATTAAAGAAAAGCATTGATTAATAAAGGAAAGTTTACCCGCACATGAGTGCCCATCACCAGTGTAGCCTTCCATACATGTACACTTAAAGGAACCATAAGAGTTAGCACAGTTCGCATTCGGGTCGCAGTCATGGTTGTCTCCTTTGCATTCATCCATATCTAAAATGCAGGGGAGAAACAGTGATTCAAACCGAAGAGAAACAAAAGAAATTGAAACTGGCCCAAATCAAATGAAAAAGAAGAAACCAAAACTACGACAAAACGCTTTAAGCTACTTGTTCACAGACTGCCGCTTACCCTCGTTGATCATGTCACAGTATACGAATACTGCCTTTCCACTGCCGGTTGGATCCAGCCAGTACTTGCCGCTGATAGTGTCTTTTCCTTCACTCGCCTTTATTTCGCGACAAGACAACGCTGGTAAATCAGGGATAGAACCCAAGGGAGCTGCAATGAAAGTATGGTTGTTTGTTTTGTTATATGTTTTAGGCGGAATAGTTTTTTTCCGTTATGTCTCTCAGAAACAACAACAAAGTAAATGAAAAAATTCACATGGCAGGAATGAGAAAAGTATCAAGAGAAAGAACTAAACAGAGAAGGTTGACGATTGCAAGGGTAATGACATTCATTATCGTAATTCTAACAATATAATAGTAAAAACACGACGATATCCTTCAAATGAGAACCTTTTTTGTCAGGTGCAAATCTACCTTCAATTTGAAGCAGAGTACACAACAAGAGAAAGAAGCAAAAGATGGGCAATGATAATCCAAGAAGAGACGGGGTTGGTCAAGGATAGAGAGTATTGCTGATAAGAGTCCGAATGAGGAAGATACATCGTACTCTTATCTCTGCCTACTTACCTCTGCCGTTCAGTCGCCGGATGTAAAACCATGCAGGTGCTGAGAGGAAATTTTCCGGTCTTGCCTCCTTGGTGCGGTTATTTAGTTCACATATCTTATATTTTCTATTGTAGTTATAGCTCTGACACGTGGTCTCTTGTCCACATTTCACATCGCAGAGATGTGGAGCCGCCACCGACCACCTTTTAAAGACCGATCGCTTGAGAGCCATACCTTGTATGTTTACCTCTGTCCTGCATTGATCAATAGCATTTCCATACTCAATAGTAAAGAGGAAGAGGAGGACTGGTAAGTGACGAAATATCCACAGCATACTTCTTTTCATCTGCTGAATCGGCAAAATTGAATTAAATGCATTGCCCCATTGTAGATAAATGAACATTGGAAAACTATTTCCAAAGGTTTCAGAGTCCTTTTAGGGTAAAGTCTAACCGGTAAAGTTGACAAGGAATAATTTATTCGGCACCATAGCTTGGTCTAAGCTAACCATTTAATGTTGTCTAACGAATTGCCTTTACAAGTACTGTAAAGCTAACTTAGGCCAGATTGTAAAACCGTGCGCTATAAAAAAAGAACGTTACCGAAAAAAAGTGATAAAATTCCAAAAGAGAACTTCTTGTATTTGTTTTGAACTTTGTGCTCAGAGATGAATTCGTATCTAAACTGTTCTCTTTGGTCCCCATCAGCAGGTCTCTGGTCTTCATTTGTCAAATTCAAGAACTTATTATCATCACGTCCATATGATTTAGTTCTCTCGCTTTTTTCTTGTTTTGTTTATGACCAACGCCAATAAAAATTGGAAAAATTATCATATTTTTTTCATCCAACTATTGGCCAGTCGCCAAGGCAAATTTTTCCTAATGCACTGACGAAACTTGAAACAATGGCAAACTCTAAGTTCGGCTGGTAGCCAAGATTCGTTTGTTTTGTGAGACCCATGCTGCAAAAAAGTCCCCTTCAAAATCGTAGTAATACATCACTGTAGTTCTCTGTGTACTGTTTTTAATAAATCATCAACGCTGCAAAAAAATTTTGTCAGACTCATCGCCTTATAATTAAGAGCAGAACTCTCTTTACCTTTACCATCCAGAAAAACAGGCATACCCTGAATGGCGTCAGACAAACGTTTATTCGTTAGCGTTGCAAACAATTGACATACGAGGAGCAGAATTTTTCAAAAATATATACATGTATTCTGTTTACGCTTTCCATTTTCGCACTGACTTCACCCTCTAATTTAGAAAATTTCATAGACTTGTTTTTCTAATTGACGAAGCATTAGAGGATTTAAACATATTGCAAATTCTAGGCTTTCCAGAGAAAAAGGAGAGAAGAAACTCCAATCATATCAACCAATTGTCAAACTTTAGCGCCCGAAATTTACCGCTGATGAGCTAAAGCGTTTTTTAAGCTTGAGGAATTCACCAATCTGATTTGTTCGGGAACTAGAATTGTTTTTAATGCTTCATTCTACTCCAAAAAGGAAAGGGTTAAAAAAGATACTTAAAGTTTGCATGAAGCCTAACGACGTAAGACAAGCTTACCTTTTAGGACGCAATTCGTTCTGCGTAATTCCCCCTAAGGAGCTAGTGCAACACCTTTAACTCTTTAACTCATAAGATGTCATTAGTAATTCTCATTGCTGTCTATCAAATGATTCTCATTATGTTAGTTTGGAGAATTTGGTATCGGATCAATTGGTAATCCCATAATTGATATTTTTCTTCATTATCATCACGTGTCTGCATAATATTATATAGATATAGAAACGAGAAATTCTGTCTTGGTCACTCATGGGAGCTCAAAGATTAAGAAAAGAATGCTGTCCCCAGAATGTGTCGTTCTGCAACTATGGTTACAGCCAAAACAGACAATACCAAACGTGTAATTGACAAATAATTAGCTGTTTCGGTGTAGTCATCAACACTCATAACCTCATTTTCATAATTTTGGGGAACTGGAATTAATTAACAATTATTGCAGGTTTCTCAGGGAAAAGAGTGTCTCGTAGTTTTGGGAATAACAGACACAAACTGTCACTTTTTGACTTATCATCAGCTGTGATTATATATAGAAACCCTACTTTCTACATACAATCACATATATATAAATATCAAATATATATATATATATACATACAAATATCCAATATCAACTTGAAGCAGGTGTTAAAAAAACCCCTCTTAATTCGCGTGACGAAGGACGAATAAAAAAAAATTTAACGTATTGAGGCTAGTTAGGATAATTCTCCTTTCTGGAGACTACAACTGTATTTAGCGTCAAATGCCTCTTGTCGCCCCTGTGACGATAAGAAAACATACTTGCATGCGAAGAAAGAATCATTCAGTTATCTCTTCCGGCTTAATTCCTTTTCTCTTTGGGACTAAAAACAATATGTCATTGGTAATATAATACAACTCAACCCCAAATAGTGAAGCGTATTAAAATTTATCGTTGTTCCTTAAATGTGACTTAAACGCTTCACTGGTTTAGTTACATCCAATTCAATATGTTTAGAAAATAACTGAACTCTTTCCTGAGACTTCTCTTTGCTCTTCTACCCCAAAACCATTGCTCAACAGAGAAAATTTACAGCACAATAATGGCATAAGCTTTGAGGGGAACACCGTGTCATTACTGTTTCAAAACCGGTGTAAGCTTGGGGGATTCGCTAATCTAATTTTTTCGGGAACTAGAATTGCTTTTTAATACTCCATTCTGTTCCAAAAAGGAAGGGGTACAAGAAAAATACTCAATAATTTTCATAAAGCCTTACAACGTCAAAAACAAGCTTACCTTTCGAGATGTTACTCGCTCTCTGTAGTTCCCCCTTTGGAGTGGAACACCTTTAAGAAAAGAATGCTGTCTCCAGACTGTGTCGTTTTGCAACTATGGGCTACAGTCAAAACAGACAATACTAAACGTGTAATTGACAGATAATTACCTGTTTCGGAGTAGTCCTCAACACTCATAACCTCATTTTCATAACTTTGTGGACCTGGAATTAAATTAATAGTTATCGCAGGTTTCTCGGTGAAAAGAGTGTCTCGTAGTTTTGGGAAAAACAGACACATACTGTCACTTTTTGACTTATCATCGATTGTAATTATAGAAAACTCGTAAACTTTAATCAGCGAGGAGGGGAATCGCACTCTAGCTGTAGGGAACAAGATGGGAATAATAAGAAGATAATTGTTATCTCGACCTTCGCATTTAAATTAGTTGTTTAGTTTACAAATATCTAATATCAACTTAAAGCAGGTGTAAAATTCGCGTGACAAAGGACGAATACAAATGTTTCAATATATTGAGGCTAGCCAGGATAATTCTTCCTTCTGGAGACTAAAACTGTGTTTAGCGTCAAATGCCTCTTGCACGCCACTGTTACGATAAGAAAACATGCTTGCGCACAGTCGAAAGAAACATCCAGTAGTCTCTTCTGCCTTAATTCCTCTACTCTTTTGGACAAACAATATTTCATTGAATATACATTACAACTCAAACCCAAAATAGTGAAGCGCATAAAAATTTATCGTTGTTCCTTAAATGTGACTTAAACGCTTCACTGGTTTAGTTGCATCCAATTCAATATGTGTAGGAAATAATTGAACTCTTTTACCCAAAAACCCTTTCCTAAGATTTAACGGAGGAGATTTACACTACGAAAGAGGCATGAGCTTGGAGGGGAATACCTCGTCATCACTGTTTAAAAACCAGCCATAAATAAATTATTGGTGTAAACCGAGTTTCAAACAGGGGAGTTGTGTGTATTTTTCATGAAGCACGCGGCAGAGTCAAAGTGAATCGAGCGTCGAAGGTGTGAGCTGACCGACACGCATTTTTATTTGTAGGTCCTCGGAAATGACATATCTAGCATTTATAGGGAAAAATTTTCATTATTTAATACATGGAGAAAGTTTGGGTATTTAGAAACTTATACTGTTTAAATGTCGCCTTTTTGAAACGATTACTAATGGGACTAAGCATGATTTGAAATATATCTGCAAACGAAATGCGAGATGCTTTGTAGGTGGCAACAGAACTCGAGGTGCAATGGATAGAGAAGAGAGATGCTTCCTTTGAACAAGGTTGATTAAATGCAATTAAGGCAAAATCATTGGACTTCTGATCTATAAAGTTAACGATTGGGCCCCTACTTGTAAGAATGACTAGCATATAATTTCTCCTTACAATATCACCCCTGAAGCACAAATTGAGGTCATGAGAATAAAGGAAATGATATATCAACGAAAGAAGCTTTTCACATTGTAGAAGATGCTTTCAAGTGAAAACCCAACCCAAAAAATGAACTTATACTTTACCTACGAATCTCGCGATTCTATAAAGTCATTTAGTTTGTTTATCACTGTCAAAGCTTTCTCGAAACTAAATATGGAACGCAGCGTTAAATTAGAAATAGGAATTAAAAAAAATTAGCCGTCGTCGTTCACGTTCTCCAGACGACGCAAAGTTTGGTTATTACATGTTGTTGTTTTGCAAAAGACGCAAAAAAATTTACAAAGATTTATAACGCACGAGCACAGCCATTGTTCTGCTCATTAAAACTTTTATTTAGTGATGTTACCGTTGCCGTTGCCGTCGTGATTTTCTTAAACTCCTCATTAAGATAAAAGACGGTAACACCAACAACAAGTAGACGAACTTTCTTCGGCAGACTGATCATCTGTGCTAGCTAAAAAAGGCTGGGATCGATGACGCGGCCTTGAAATGTGGTTCTCTGGAGAAAATAATAATAAAACACATAGGCAAAACTGCTACCGCTGATTAAACGAACACAACAGTTTAAGATAATGTTTTTTTTTGTTATGACATCAACTGAAAGTATCGAAATAAAGCTCTTCTGCGTGTTTCTGCGTGTTGACAGAGAGGAATAATCAACTATGGAAGTCCCAATCCGAATGCTTAAGGTTTCCAATCATGCTTTTTGTTAATTTTCTGGTGAAACCTCAATCTTTATGGTCATTTCAAACGTGATCATTCCACTGATTTACACGATTAACAAATACCGTAACACGAATGCCGTCATTTTGAATTTTTCTATTGTTTCCAAAAATTATTAAATCATTCGAATCTAGGAAAGGATAACGTTTTGCAATCTTGATGTTACCTTCAAAGCGTGAATACTGCGGAATCAGTCTGCCTACTGGTGACTCTTCACCAATATGCGTCTGACTCGCGGAAAAGGACACTTGAAATACGCATAGTTTGACAAATGTTCGAGACATTTGTACTCTAGCATACAAAGCGCGGATTGATAGGATTTTAATCCATCTTGTTTTAATTGTTGTTTAACAGACCATTTTTTTTGTTTGTCCAAGTACTTGAAATATTCGTAACATGTGCAAGGGTACTCTGTTCCCCAACCGTTTACCAACCGTCCATTTATGAATTCCCTAAGGAGGATTGCAAACCCGATAAAAATCGCTGAGTGGCAAAATTGATTGATTATTTGTAATCCATAAAACCTACCTTAAAATTGGTACGATGCTTCGGAAATGTGATGCGATAAACCATAACCACGTCGCATCTTATATTCAAGCTTTAGTTCACATTCTGCATTAATTCTTAGCTTGTACATTTCGCCTAGTCTTAGCTATGTTGTAGTAGGAGTTGAGGGACTTTGTGGTTGTTGCGGTAGACTGTAGCAAGACCGTTTTTCTTCACAGTGCCTCTCCCCACTCAAAGAGTATAAATACGTACTTTAAAATGTTAGGGAAACATTAAAAAATACTGAGGGTAACCTTGTTTATAGACGGGATTCTTTTAAGACGGTTTGAGCAATAGACGCTGTCCATTTATGCTACCAGAACGAGGGTAAGCATCGGGGAGATTGCGATAGACCCCCTGGCTGGAGTCGGCATTTCATTCTGACGGTTTAAAAACCAGAAATGAGACTCGTACCTTGAGGGATATCGTGTTATAACAATTGAGTTTACGGAAGGACATTAGATAGGAGAAATAAATTCGGAAGTAGAGGGTCGTGGCTACCTTATTTTAGGACTACAACCTTGACAATCATCGTAAGGAAAGACAGACCACCACGGTAAAATTGCCAATAAAATAATATTTCACGACAATAACCTACCACTGTAATCTGGCATGTTGCTAAAGGTTAGGTCTGTGCGTGCCTGCATGAGTGCGAGTAGCGTAGAGTATACATCAAAAGAATGTGTTCAATTTCAAAGCTGGAAAGTTTAATCGAATTAAAATTAAACAATACAGCAATCAGTGCAAACAATCAAAGTGCTTAAGTAACATCACTTCATTAGTCACGCAATGTTATAATGATCTTAACATAAATAAAACATATCTAAATATTTTTCTGGCAAAAGAAATATCTACATCAGCCTTGCTTAATGATTTGTCGTAAATTCTGCTATCATCGATCACTGTAATATAATATTATCGACAGTTGCTTATTATCACTTGTTTATTTATTTATTTATTATTTTATTTATATTATTCAAAGAGAATCAGGGAATACTACTTATAATGCTTGCAACATTACAGATCTCATGACTAAGGGTACTGAGTTATTCATTTCCAAAACTATATAAAACACTCACAGTACTAAAAATGTCACCAAAAATTATCTTGGAAACTGAAATTATAACTGTTGTTGATTTTGCAGCTTAGAATTCAACTCCGACTTCACCTTACCTCATAACTAGAGGATAGACACAGTTTGAATCTCTTTAAAGAACCTTCCATCTTACATCTGACTATAAATATCCTGGTAATTATATTTTGTGATTGTATCTACTTATTGAATAGTGACGAGTATCGATTCGTTATGAAGATATTGATGAAGTACCGAAATCTATCCAATTTGAAAAGATGCAATGTTCACCGCGCGCAGCCGGTGAAAGCATCATTTATATTCAAGTGAAGTAATGATCCTCCTAGAAAAACTTCAGTCTAAGAAATTGCAGGACAGAAGTAAAAAAAAAACGTTAAAATTTGGGCTTCGAAGGGCTTCGAACCCGTGCCTCGGGGCTACTACCAACTGAAGTTCAAAACCACGCGTTGGGAGCAAGGCAACATGATTTACTGCTTAAATAAAATATGTGCATCATTTGTCTCTTATCGTGCCAAGATGGCAATGTCGCCGTAATAGCTTGGTTCAGCAACATGGCGGTTTACTTTTCTAGGGTTTCATTACATTTTATCTTATCCTGATACCTGTATTTTGTGAATGTAGCTACTTATTTTATAGCGACGAGTATTTCAAACATATTCAGTTCTTTATGAAACAATAGCTCTTACGCATGATGTTGTCATTTACTGAAAATTCACTAAAATGTGAATCCACAAGTCTTTGTTATTTTATTTTTGCTTTCATGAGGGTATTCTACTAATAATTTTGTCAAAATGAAGGCATATAAAAGACCAGTAGATAAATAATGAAGCTGGTACTGAACGATACTTGCGATCAAACCTGGACAAAAGTGGCTGTATCCACTGTTCTGTAATATTTAGTTGTATGTGAAACAGTAACGGTACGGACAAACGGTTGGTTTCAAAAAGTAGGCGTAAAAGGAAGTACAATTCCTCACCCTAATGAGGGAGAATACTTTACAGCACTCTGAATTCTTGCTGAAGCACGCTATCCCAGCAACTTCTCCGTCTTCCACTGTGGGATGACCGCCCATCAACCAAACTGGATATACTGCACCGCAAGTGAAAGGATGTGGACATGTGGTCGGCATTGTTATTCCTGAAATGTTCAAGAAGCGATACCAACCATGAGACAGATTACGGTCACATTTTTCACCTCCAGGCGGGGTTCGGTACTTAACGTCTCTGTCATTATCTTCCAGAACAGTGTGGAGTTGGCATACATCAACTGAAAGGCAAACCGAAAAAAACTTACAATTGTTTTGCGTGTTTTTTTAGAAAATATCTCGAAGTAAGCGAGAGTGTATCGTCACTCTATGGCTACTTTTATCATCAGATTTGAACTCAACATGCCACAGCTGTAAGATCGTGGTTATTTTTTTTATAACATTCGAGAAAAAGTAGAAGACAATTTAATTACCTTTGCAATTGGTGCCGTCTCCAATGTATCCAGTGTGACAACGACAAACATACGATCCAATGGTGTTTAGGCAGTCAGCATTTATGTGGCAAGAGGAAAGATTTGTTTTACATTCGTCAATATCTAATCATAGAAAGAAAGAAAATGAAAGGAATAAATTATTGCGGTATTGCCGATAAAATGCCATGCCGGACGTCATCACACTGATCGAATGGGACTGAGATCGTCAGAATACTCTAGAATTTGGCGACTTTTCACTTTTGCCGCCAGAGCTGGGCTGAAAGACGAGCAAAAGCCCCATCTTACAAGAGCATCAAAGACAAAGAAGAAACTGCTGGCTGCGTCTGTACAATTTCGCCTATTTCTGATAAATCCAGGTTCGCAGGTACAGACGAATGTTATAATAAGTAGGAACACTTGACATTTGCGAGGAGTTGTTTAGTTGCGTTCGTCGATACTTGTTACAAGGTGAAAGAAGGAGAGGAGATGGGATGAAGAGGGAGTTAGACATCTTTTATTAAAGGCCCAAAAATTAGTCTGTCATCGTTCTTTCAATGCCCACATAGCTTACACAAATTGCGCTCAAAAGAAAATTAAAACAAAGAAAGCATTAGATAAAATTAATAAAATTCCAAAGCTACGTTAACCACCATGGTGGCAGTCGTACATATTAACATAAAAATCATATTGAAATTTTTGCAAAATTTTTCTGAAACGTACCTTTTTCACAGTCTTCACCTTTGAATCCAAGAGGACATAAGCATCGATATCCCTTTGATGTGAAACCAGACTGACAAGTTGCATTATTTTGGCACGGTGAATTCTTACCGCAGGCACTCTAAAGGAAACAGAATTACAATAAGATGAAATGACTGAAAGGGTAAAGAAAATGACGAAAGAAAGATTGAAGGTACGCATGAAAGATTAAATATGTAGGCGAACGAGTCATGTAGCGAAAAATTGAAGATGAAAGAATACAGAACAAAAAATGATTTAAGAGTCAGTGAGATTGAATTATTACAAGCGTGTTAAAGCTTACCCAAAAAGATCGAAAAGGCACGTTTCAGAATCTGAGTAATCACTCACCTTCGAACCGTGATAATAAAAATCCTTGTCAGTTATCAGATCGAATTCATATTCAAGATGAGTGGCATTATTTACTTCACAGATATAACCTATTTCTCCATACTCTGCATTTTTCTTGAAGTTTAGACTGACGCAGCTGTCGTTCAGGTAACAAAAAAGTACGCAGTCATCTAAGTTCTTTACGTTTGCGCTATGGATAACATGATTCATTAAACGTTTTTCGGGAAAGTTGTAGCACTGTGGGAACATCATTGTCCGATCTCTTTCTAAAATAAAATAAGACAAACGGCATCGTAAGAAAACTACGTGATATGATGACAATTTTCCGTTGACACCGTTACTGCACTTTATGGACCGCGAACAGCTACGAGGTTTCTCCCTCCAGCCTCCATCCTAATCCAACCAATCAGGGGGCTGTCGGCCATCAGAGGCCTGCGGAAACAGCCACTCCCCACCACCACCCTTAGATCCTAACGGTAGCGATGAAAGTAAACTCTTAGGTGAATATAAATTCACATAAACCAAAGAAAAACATAGTACCTGTACAGTTTCTTCCATCAGTAACTACCTCAGCCTGACAAGCGCAAAATCGTGATCCCCTGATTCTTGTGCAGCTGCTATTTATTTGACAAGAATGGTTTCTTATACACTCGTAAACATCTACGGAGTCAAAGCGGTGCAATCAGAGAAAACAAGGAATAAAAAAATAGAGGAGAGAAAGGCGGAAGGAAAGGTGAAAATAAAGAAAGATAGGAAGAGGGAAACTTAGCAAGCAAGCGAAAGCATGCAAGAAAGAACGGAAGAAAGACAGGAAACAACGAAGCAAGCGCTTTCATCTTCTTGATTAATAAAGGAAAGTTTACCCGCACATGAGTGCCCATCACCAGTGTACCCTTCCATACATGTACACTTAAAGGAACCATAAGTGTTAGTACAGTTTGCATTCGGGTCGCAGTCATGGTTGTCTCCTTTGCATTCGTCCATATCTAAAATGCAGGGGAGAAGCAATGGTTCAAACCGAAGAGAAACAAAAGAAATTGAAACTGGCCCAAATCAAATGAAAAAGAAGAAACCAAAACTAAAACAAAACGCTTAAAGCTACCTGTTCACAGACTGCTACTTACCCTCGTTAATCATGTCACAGTAAATTAATACTGCCTTCCCAGTGCCGGTTGGATCCAGCCAGTACTTGCCGCTGATAGTGTCTTTTCCTTCACTCGCCTTTATTTCGTGACAAGACAACGCTGGTAAATCAGGAATAGAACCCAAGGGAGCTGCAATAAAAGTTTTGCTTTACGTTTTGTTATATGTTTTATGCGATTTTGCTGTGTGCAGTCGTAAGTTAAGCCAGGGCCGCGGGAAAACTTTATCAGGAGAGAAGCTGGGATGAGTGAGAGAAAATGCAGGGAGAATTTCTATCCTTCACGTTTTCGGAATAAATTTTTTCCGTTGTATCTCAGAACAGCAATAAAGTAAATGAAAAACCCACATAACAGAAATGAGAAAAGTATCACGAATAAGAACTAGACCGAGAAGGTTGACGATTGCAAGGGTAATGACAATCGTATTTCTAACAATAATGGTAAAAATACAACGATTTCTCTCTAATGAGTATTTTGTTGGCTGCAAATCTACCTTCAATTTGAAGTAGAGTACACAAGAGAAAGAAGCACAAAATGGGCAATGATAATCCAAGAAGAGACAGGGTTGGCCAAGGATAGAGAGTATTAAATGGCTGTGATTATACGAAAGTCATATATTTGACTGCGGATAAAGACGTGAATATGAAAGCAGTCATATATAATACAAGCCTGAATTTTTTTCAGGCCTTCTTTTCCCCACTGCGTAAGTAGTGTTCATAACTGCGAAGATCGCTTTCATATTCACATAGAGAGTATTGCTGATAAGAGTCTGAATGAGGAAAATACATTGCACGCGGATCTCTGCCTACTTACCTCTGCCGTTCAATCGCCGGATGTAAAACCATGCTGGTGCTAAGAGGAAATTTTCCGGTCTTGCCTCCTTGGTGCGGTTATTTAGTTCACATATCTTGTATTTCCTATTGTAGTTATAGCTCTGGCACGTGATCTCTTGTCCACATTTCACATCGCAGAGATGTGGAGCCGTTACCGACCACCTTTTAAAGACGGATCGCTTGAGAGCCATACCTTGTATGTTTACCTCTGTCCTGCATTGATCAATAGCAGTTCCATACTCAATATTAGAGAGGAAGAGGAGGACTGGTAAGTGGCGAAATATCCACAGCATACTTCTTTTCATCTGCTGAATCGGTAAAATTGAATTAAATGCATTGCCTCATTGTAAATAAATGAACAGTGAAAAACTATTTCCAAAGATTTCAGAGTCCTTTTCAGGGTAAAGTCCAACCGGCAAAGTTGACAAGGAATAATTTATTAGGCACCATAGCTTGTTCTAAACTAGCTATTTAACGTTGTTTAACGAGTTGTCCTTACAAGTACTGCCTAACTAACTTAGGCTAGATTGTAAAACCGTGCGCTATCAAAACAGACCGTTACCGAAAAAAAATGATAAGGATTCCGAAAGAGAGCTTCTTGTACTTGTTTTTTTGACGACGGCAGTCCATCTGTAACCTCTTTTTCTTTCCTGACTCAATCTTTTAGTTTTTTAAAGTTCCTGCCACCTCGTCAAGTGTTGACGACCGACAAACGTTCATTTGTTAGCGTTGCAAACAATTAACATACAAGGAGCAGAATTTTTCAGAAATATTTGCATTTATTCTGTTTTAGCTTACCCTTTTCGCTCTGACCTCACCCACTAATTTAGCAAATTTAATAGACATGTTTATCTAATTGATGAAGCATTAGAGGATTTAAACATATTGCAAATTCTTAGCTTTCCGAAAAAAAAGCAGAGAAGAAACTCCAATCATATCAGCCAGTTGTCAAACTTTAGCGCCTGAAATGTATTGCTGATGAACTAAAGCCTTATTTAAGCTTGAGGTTCCACCAATCTAATTTGTTCGGGAAATATAACTCTTTTTTATTAATCCATTCGACTCCAAAAAGGAGGTGGGAAAAAAAGAATACTCAGTAGTTTACGAGAAGCCTTACGACGTCAAAAACAAGCTTACCTTTTGGGATGTTATTCGTTCTCTGTAACTCCTCCTTAGGAGTGGAACACCTTTGAGGAAAGAATGCTTTCCCCAGAATGTGTCGATGTGCAACTTTGGTTACAGCCAAAACAGACAATATACCAAACGGTGCGCTAGAAAAACAGACTGTTGCCAAAAAAGAAATTATAGGGATTCCGAAAGAGAGCTTCTTGGATTTGTTTTTAACTTTGTTGGTTCTAGCCAAAACAGACAATGCTAAACGCGTAATTGACAGATAATTAGCTGTTATCCAATGTCAACTTGAAGCAGGTGTTAAAAAACCCTCCTAATTCGCGTGACAAAGGACGAATTAAAAATATTTCAAAGTATTTAGGCTAGCCAGGATAGTTCTCTGTTTTTAAACTTTGTGCTCAGAGATAAATTCGTATCAAAACTGTTCTGTTTGCAACACCTTTAAGAAAAGAATGCTGTCTCCAGAATGTGTCGTTCTGTAACTATGGTTACAGCCAAAACAGACAATACTAAACGTGTAATTGACAGATAACTTCCTGTTATCCAATGTTAACTTGAAGCAGGTGTTAAAATATACCCTCCTAATTCGCGTCACAAATATAAAAATGTTTCAATAATGTATCGAGGCTAGCCAGGATAATTCTCCTTTCTAGAAACTAAAACTATATTTAGCGTCAAATGCCTCTGGCCGCCTCAGTGACAATATGAAAACATGCTTACATACAGTCGAAAGAAGCATCCAGTTGTCTCTTTTTGACTAGACAATATGTCATTAAATATACATTACAACTCAAACCCAAATCGTGAAGCGTATTAAAATTTGTAGTGGTTCCTTAAATGTGACCTAAACGCTTCACTGATTTAGTTGCGTCCAATTCAATATGTTTAAAAAATAATAGAAAATAACTTAGCAAATAACCCTTTTCTTATACCTCTCTTTGCCTTTTTTTAGCCCTCCCAAAACCCATGCTCAACAGAGGAGATTTACAGTACAATTGTGGCATGAGCAATAAGGGGAACACCGTGTCATTTCTGTTTCAAAACCAGCCATTAATAAATTAAATTCTTGGTGCAAACCGGGTTTCAAACAGGGGAGTTGTACGCATTTTTCATGAAGCACGCGGCAGAGGCAAAGTGGATCGAGCGTCGAAGGTGTGAGCTGACCGACACGCATTTTTATTTGTAGCTCCTCGCAAATGACATATCCGGCATTTGAAGGAAAAATTATTATGATTATTAAATACATGGAGAGAGTTTGGTTATTCCATGTTGTTGTTTTGCAAAGGAAGCAAATAAATTTACAAAGATGTCTAACACACGTGCACAGCCATTGTTCTGCTCATTAAAACTTTTATTTAGTAATGTTCCCGTTGAAGTCGTGATTTTCTCCTCATTAAGATAAAAGACGGTAACATCAACAACAAGTAGACGGACTTCCTTCGGCTGACTGATCATCTGTGCTCTCTAAAAAAAGAACGTGGTGAAACAAAGGAGTTAATGAGTAAACAATACCTCAGCATGCGCCTTTTTAAATTATTTATATATTTCTAGCCGTCTCTGCAAAACAACAAAATGAAAACATCAACATTTGCGTGGTCTGAGAACCGGTATACTAAAATGCGACACATTTTCGTTTCTATTTTGGCCACAACGCTTCACCCATATAGTATGCTGAAGTTACGGTCTGCGCTGTTGGAGACGGTGAGTAAATCCAGCCATTTGCGAAAATCTTAAGAAAAGTATAAATTCATTTTTCAACAGACGCGAGTCTCACTACACATATTAATAAGACATGTAATGCAGCATTTTATTTTTTATATAATTTGTCGTCGCGGTTTCGGTTCGCAAACGACGCAAATTGTGGGAATTTCACTTTGTTGTTTTGCATGGGACAGCTAAGAAATGTACAAATTTTTAAAACGCACGTGCTGGGCTATTGTTTTGCCAATTAGATCTTTTGTTTTTCCACGTCCTCGTTGCCGTCGCCGTCGTGGTTTGCTTAAGGTCCCTATTAACCACTGGAACGAAGAAAATTTTAGGTGATGGGTCTTTTGCCAGTGCAGCTCCTAAACTCTGGAATGGTCTTCCTCGTTCAATAAGAAATGCAAATAACTTAATTAAGTTTAAATCTCTATTGAAGACATACTATTTCAATGTAGCATATCATAATTGATATTTAGTTTTATAGTTTTTATTCAAGTTTTTAAATTTTTGTTCTATATCTTTTATATTATTTTATCGTTTTGAATATTTTGATGCAGGGCAGAGTGTTTAAATTTTTATCTAGCATTTACATTTATTCATTTATTTTATCGCGCATTTGATCATATGCACATGTAAAATGCGCGCTACAAATAATAAATATTATTTTTATTATTATTGTTGTTGTTGTTATTATTATTATTATTATTACTATTATTATTATTATTATTACTATTATTATTATTATTTATTATTATTATTATTATTATTATTATTATTATTATTATTATTATTATTATTATTATTATTATTATTATTATTATCAGACGTTTTCCTCGGAGTTTACTATGTGGTGGTCCAGTTTAACTTGTGACCATTCGGGGTCATAAGTTAATAGTCATCAGTTGTTTTTTTGTTTTTTTTTTTGAGTGGTTGTGTGCTCTCTTTCTGTGAATCTTAAACTTATGATTAATCTATTTTTTCATTTCTTTATATCAACTTATTTTTTGTGGTTTGAAAATTATTAAAAGCAGAAAAAAATGTTAGTTTGTTGTCGTTGTTGCTGTTGTTGGTTTTTTAGGCACGGGCTCCTAATCAGTGATCACTTGGCACTGAGGTAGAGTAACGCCTGTCACGCACTACTGGGCTTAGTGACGTCATCTTCGGAGCATATTTGAGTCGTGAAGCTTTTCACAAACCAAAGTATGGTTCAATAAAACGTTAAAGTTGTACGCATCTGGGAGTTTGGATAGACAATTTGGCACAATTTACAGGTAATGTTCATCAATTTACCTTTATGGCTTGCATGGGAAGGTTTAACTTTCCGAACATAAGAGGTTTGTTTTGTTCGTTAAATATCATGCCGTCCAACGCACATACAGACACTTGAACGATTTCCTTTGTTCGGTTAAACTCATCAGAAGACTTGATCTGTTTACAGGTTTAGTATGAGGTTGAATATTTTAGCTGCGATAAACATCGGTGGAGTTCTTTGGCAAATTGCAGTTCCCAAATTGCTAAGTAACAATAATTGCTCGCGCGCATTTCATCAGTGTGATAAAATTTACTGAATAATTCGTCTCCATAGTGCAGCTGTGTTATAATATTGTATGGGTAGTCAACTACGAATTTAGGTTTTCTGCTGAAATACTATTATCCAACTGTTAAGAGAGAAATTTATTAGGTTGCTGCTCTTGGCAAATCTTTAACGAATGCTTTCGAAACGACATTTCCGTTCATGAAATTCGACATTTTTGTACGCGCCTTTTGAACAGAATTCTAAATGGCGTCCATGGATACGGCCGGTAGTTTATGCCAAAAGCGGGTCTCTTCTGAAATTCGAAGCTCATTCGATTAAAACACAGCAGAATCGAGTTGGAAAATTTTAATTTTATCAGTAAAGTTTAGTTTTGCTTCGTCCACCACGTTATGGACGGGAGAATCTGTTCCTAAACTAAATATTATGCCGGTGGTTTCCGTTTGAATTCTATATGCAGTAATTCGAAAGCATATTGATTTGACGCGTTACTCGAAAGAGATCGTCTGAATTTTCCTTTATGTAGATAAGGAAGGGACTACTGTTAAATGTGGAGATTTTTAAACCTTAAGATGCCGTTGAATCCTCTTATCATATATTTAATGTTGTAGTTGAAGCGGTTGTGTGGTTTTTACTGTAAGTTGTTTCAATCTCCTGGTTTGTTTTTTAAATGAGTGATGACTTTTAGGAATCGAAGTAAGGTTTACATTGCTTTTTCTGATTTGATTTGTGTGTTTCTAGTATAACTGTATTTATCAATGTATGGTCATTAATTTTGTTTGTGGTTTCATAGAACTCGTAGTTAGGGAGGAAAGCCTTAAGGTTACTTAAGCTGGAATGACAGCTAAATGTAAATCTAACCCGTCTCTTACTTAAATATTAAAAATTCTCTCAAAGCTGGCAGATGATGTCATTCTCCAAATATTTCATAAAAGTGAGTTATACACTGGTATGCAGCTCACAATAATTGCATAACTACTTTTTAGAAGTCAATGTTACGCTTAGTTTAGCACAATTTTCATTAAAAAAATGAAATGGTTTTTTTTTTCGTGGAATGAAGAAGTAAAATTTACATAATTATGTGCTTGTGAACTTTATAATTCCAAATTGTGTTATTTAACCTGTTTTGTTCAAAAGCCAGAAAATAAGCTCTTCTTTTTGAGAAATGAGGGAAATAGCTAAGAACAAGTCACATATCCCTACCACTTTCATGAAGCTTGAGAAGGAGAGCCAGCTCTCTGCTTATTTAAAAAACTGATCTTGTCATAGGAAACAAATGATAATTTCAACTAAATGTGGTTTTGCCGATCCTTTCCTTTCAGATCCAACAAGCAAAGCTCAAAACAAATTAAAAATCAGGTCGGTCTGAGTGTTGTGTGATTAAGACACAAAACTGACAATAACAGGAGTTGCTCTGTAATTCTTCCTAGAGAATTTACTACTACAATGATTTGGTTTCCCTGAACCCTTACACTCAAGATCTGATCACTAGCTTTCCCCTCTAGCTGCTACATTGTACACATCTCCTTGTAAATTAGTTTCAAGAATTTGGTGTTAGATCAAGATAAAAACTTCTACCAGATAACTTTTCAAGAGTATTCACATCAGTTGTTTTTCTTTATGATGTACACGTATGGATTCTATTATAGGGAGAAATTGCATGTTAATCACTTATGCAATTTAGAGGGGAATAGCCTAAATCTTATCTTCTTTGCTCCACAGAGATGTATCATCTCTTGACACTGGTGGTGCTGTTATCAAGTGCAACTGGTGATGGAAATTTTCGTTTTTCAAACACACAAATTGTATTGTCAGAAGTGCGCTTTAATCAAGCATCATTTAAAATATCCAGGACAGGAGCGATGACAGAGACTGTGCTTCTCAATTGTCAGGTTGGTTTTGCAATAACCAATAATGTTTGTTAATTTGATGTAGCAAAGCATTTTATTTTTAATTATTAAGTTGGTGTCACATATGTAACAGTCTTAAATAGAATTTGTAACATGGCTAGTAAATTTGTCTGACCAAATTCAATTATGTGAGCGTGCTTCATTTTCCTATTGTGCACTCTCATGACATCATCAAAGAAATCCCTTGGGAAAAAAATTTTCCATTGGATCAAAAATGTTAAAAAACAATTGGTTCATACGTCAGCTGTGTGTTCATTGAAATATGAAGCACTTGGGAAGTTTGGAGAGCACTCGAGAAGCTAGAGTTGGTTGAGGTGTAGCCGAGAGTTACTCTTACACATCTTTCGTGCTCTCCAAACTTCCTGCGTGCTTCATATCTCAATGAACGCATGCTGATGTATGGAACAATTGTTAAGTACATTAATTGTAGAACAAAATTTTACTGTTCATGGGTTATTGTCCTCAGATTGTCATGAAATGGATATGCAAAGTCTTTGATGGATTGATTTGTTATACTCATGCATGTACAGTGTAACTCATGTAATTTGTTTTTTCTACTTTATTTACAAGTTACATGTAATTGACAGTTAAACAGTTTGAACTTGGTAGGGTATTCTGTTTAGTAGCCATTGTTACAAGTGCATGCTCACCTGCATTTTTGTTGCAGCAGACATCTTTGAATTCTTGAATGGTTTAGTAGTGTCCATTCCTCAATACTCCTAAGTGCTGTTGTAGCAGCTGTTTTCAAGGGTTTTCCTATTCTTCCCCTCCCACCTTTTTCATTCCTCTAATGTAACTAGTGTTGATGAGCCACCTACCCTAGTAGTACTGGGTGGTAGGGATTTCTCATTCACAGGAGCAGTTTTCCATCCAGGTGCCACCTTGCCATGGTTGAAACTCCCTGGATGCTTCAGGCACCTACATCTTCACATACAGTACCTGTAGTCCTACCATTTCAGCAAAGCAGTAGTTACATATAAACTTTTGATTGTCATTTCAGATTAATGATTCAGCCATAGATGATGTGGATGGCCTCTCACAAGTTGTTGAATTTAAGCCAAACCAGAACTCTGGATCTTGTGTCTTCACAATAGTAGATGATGCAATACCTGAGGGGAATGAAACATTCTCTGTTGACCTGTCTATACCTGGAGGAAACGGAATTACGGCATCACCATCAGTGGCATATTTAACAATACTTGCCAATGACGATGCATTTGGTATCATTGGATTCAGTGAGGTAAATAATTACAGTTCTCCTGTCTCCTGTTTATTATTTTGAAAAATTGGTTGATTCATCAATTGTATATATTCATGAAATATGATAGTTCTGAAAATTGGTTTAAGTTTTTGAACTTGATCATTAAAGAAAGGAAAATGAAATTTACTCTGTCACAGGTATCAGACAAAAAAAAACAAAACAAAACAACAAACAGAAGCATCTGATTCCTTAAAGGAATTGTTGTATAGACTTTTGTTATTCAGGGTTCAATTCCCAGATTTTTTATTGTCCTATACTCAAAACAAACCAAACAATGTTTTTAATGTTTGTGAATGTTCAAATTTATTTATAGAGAAATTTTATTAAATTTTATTTAAAATCAATTGACATCACATGATCTATTTTAATTTTACAGACTGGGCCAATTGTGGTGGACGAACTGTCAGCAGAAGAGAATAGAAAGAACATCAAACTTATTAGAAAAGCTGGTCTGATAAGTTCAGTACAAGTGCCTTGGAGGGTATGCAATTTCTTAGCTCTTTGGATTATGCTCTGGCTTAAAGGTTTTTTTTCCTGGTTTAAACTACTTTAAATAACAGAATGAGTTTAAGTTTAAATAATCAAAACCAGTTTAATGTTTGTCTTTTGTTCATTTTGAACCAAAATCTGAAGCAAAGGAAAGTAACTGTAAAAGTCAATTCTCATTATCAGATTCCAAAATTCTTGATTCTAATGATGAGTTTGACTCAAGATCAACAATGTAAGATTCTTGACTCTGATGAAGAATTCTCTTCCAATCTTTGAAAAGCCAATTACTGCTCTCAGCTACAGTTTATTCAAGACTTTTCTCTCCCAGATGATCAGACTATGCAATCAACAGTTACTTTTAGGCTCAAACCATTTACATGTACTATAATAATTAAAAAAAAAAACCTTTTATAAACTTGTCCTCTGTTGTTTGGTAGGTCTCAAGTGGACCCAACAGTGGATCAGATGATTTTACTCACACCAGTGGGGTGGTTGTTTTTGATGCTAATCAGGACATGGCTAACCTTTCCCTCTTAGTGAAACCAGATAATGTGAGTACATGTAGATCTTAGATAATGTAAATAGACCTTTATGTTTTTAGGTAACACCAAGCAAAAAGAAACTGTAATTTAGGCAAGGTTTAAATCAAGTTAATGAGATTCAAAGGGCCCAAGGGTGGTTTCAATGCTTTTGCCATGTGATTTTGCTTGGTTTTCTTGACTTAATTTGCTTTAACTTAATCTGTTACCCTCCCTACCCTACCCTCTGTACCCTCCCCTCCCTACTTTAAGCCAAGTATCCATTGCATACATGTGAACATGTATGTGGATGTTGTGTTGATAGGAGCCTTTTTAATGGGTTTGGCTCAACACCATATTCACCACCTTGCTGTTAATGTCCCCCTCTGTTGCTAACTCTGTACCCTCTAGCACTGAATATTGACCATTAACACAAATAGAGTCCATACGTTATCATTCACTTTACATGCTCAGTACCACAATCATAACTGAATGGTGTAAGTTGATAGATGCTTGATGTTTTAAATTTTGGAACATCAAGTCTTTAGTGCCCATGGTTAATTTGTTTTCAATTCAATTTTCTGAAGCAGAAATAATGAATTTAAAATCAACCTTTTCACCTCAAGTTCTATTACTAGTATGCATGAATATATTTACATATGTACACTGTATGTACTGTACATTGGTTATGGTTTTTATTTCATATTGTAGGTGCCCGAAAATGATGAGACATTCACACTGACTTTAGAATCACCAACTGGTGGAGCAGTACTTGAGGCAGATGCTGATCAAATTAGCGTGAGAATTTCTGCAAATGATGCTCCTTTAGAATTTCCAATTCAACAGCTTACAGTCCCTGAAAATCAGTCTACAATCGAGATTGAAGTTTACAGAGGGATTGCTGATGATGGCATCACGCGGATTGGACCTGTGAATGAGGTCACAACTGTAGAGTGGTATCTTGCACCAGGTCTTGCCAAACCAGGGAAGGACTATAGAGACGGTAGAAGTACACTAACATTTCAACCAGGTGATACCAAAAAGAAGATAACTGTTCAATTAATTGATGATAATGTACCAGAGCAAGCAGAGAATTTTACTGTCCATCTAGCAAATGCAAGTCAAAATGCTTACATCAAGCCACCTGGAATTGCCATTGTGGTTCTTTTACCAAATGATGATCAACATGGGGTCATCTCATTTGGTGATCATCCTGCTAGTTTGGATGAAGACAGTGCTGCAAGGGGAGGCATGTTTTATGTGAATCGTAGTGCTGGAACGTTTGGAGTGGTGACAGTTTCTTGGAAAATCCATGGTGATGGAGTAAGTTCAGTTTTTGAGAGCACATCTGGAATGGTAGCATTCTCTGCAGGAGTGAGTCAGACATCATTTCAAGTCTCTGTCCGCTTAGACTCTGTGCCAGAAGAGGCTCAGCAGTTCTATGTTCAACTCTATAATGTCACGGGTGGTGCCAGGCTTGAAAATTCTCTGTCAGCACAAAGAGCTGATTTCTTTGTGCAAGACAGTGATGACGTGTATGGTGTCTTCCAATTTGCTGGAGATAATGAGCAAAAACTAGATATGGTGAGTGTGTAATGTTCCATGCTAAAAAGTTAGGGGATTTCAAGTCTACTGGGTAAACATGATGACCAAACTGTGATTAACTTCGAGTTATGAAGTTTGGTTTATCATTTGATGAATGCTTATCATAATGGTAGATGTATTGTGCAATATTTATTTATTTTTCTTTTGTACTGTATTGAAAATGAGATAAAATGAAGTTCTTTTCATTAGAAACCTCTTTACTTAGTAGTTTTTAATGCCCCTGCAGAAAACTTAATTGCCCTTCAATCAATCCTTTTTTCTTTTTCGATCTTTTCTCAGGATAGTGAACCTCGTCATCTACTTCTTAATATAACAAGGACTGGGGGACTGGTTGGAGATGTTGCTGTAAACCTGAGTGTTAGCTACATTCTACCAGGAGGCAGCAGTAGTTCAAATGAGGAACAACAAGAAGTAACACTACTTGCTGGCTCCAGTAGTATCCCTGTTACAATACAGATTGCCAATGATCAATTCATTAAGCTTGGTGCCGCATTTAAAGCTGAGCTGATGGGAGTGGCCCTAAGAGGAGGAGGTGGGTGCATGAATTTAGTACCAAGTATGCTTGAAAGCATTAAAGAAGCAAATGTAGTGGTTCAAACACAGGGCAATGACCCCTGCAAACTTGCAGTTTAGTAGATTAGAATGCATACTCTGGGAGATATGGTTTGTGTGTATCTAGAGGTATGGGTGGGAACCTTACACTGCAGCTGGGTTTGTGTAATGCATTCTGGGGAAGGCTTTTACTGTCACAGTGCCTCTCCATACTAAGAAGTTTGAATGAATACAAGAAAACTGTTGGCATTTTGGCATGATAGCTGTCTCTACACTTACCATGCATAAATGCCACACCTTTAGAAGAACAAAAATTGAATTTCTTTTAAAAAAATATGTTCAACAGCTTCTGCCATAGTGGACTCAGTGAAACCCTCATCGCCTAGGATTGGAAACAGATCTATCATCTACCTAAACATAACAGCGGCAGATGCCAATGGAGAAGTTGGATTTTCCACAGTGCATCAGAGAGTTTCTGTTCAGGAGGCAGAAGGTCCATCGTCACAGTTTGTTCATTTGCTGGTAAAGAGAACTGGAACTGCCGATAGGGTTGTCGTTTACTGGAATATCACAAGCACTAGTGCCACATTTTTTGCTAATGATACTGGTCCTCAGAATGGAAATGTCACATTTGAAGAAGGTAATATTCCTTTGAGGAAAATCTTTCAAATTACATGTATTTCCAAACATAGTGGCTTTCCATTTTCAATAATTTTTGTTTGCACCTAAAGTATTTTGTTTTAAGGCAGGATTATGATTCTCTTAAGTATTGTTCTCACATTTCTTACATTTCCTACTTTGTTGAAAGCTACAAGGGATGGAACCAAAAAAAAACCTCTAGAAAAAAAAAAAAAAAAAAAAAAAGAAAAAGAAATTCTTCATAATGGCATCTCAGTTATGGTAATGAAGTATATTATTTAGAAAAAGAAGAAAAACAAAATCAGATTGAGGTGAAGTCATTTTAACCTACTCTGCAAACCTTATTCAACCAGCAAAAGGATGAACACATTTTGATTTTCTGTCTTTCATAATTGTTGATTTTATCTTGAAGGTCATGATGAGGTTAACATTACTATTGAAATCAAACCAGACAGTACTCCAGAAGTAGCTGAAACCTTCACTGTCAACCTCGTCAATGTGTCAAATCTTGACAGACTCCAGACAGGAGCAGTAAGTAAAGCTACCATTACTGCCACTTCATTTCTCACTCATGAACAATACCTCTGCATGTATAATGTGGTAATATGGTATTATAATGGGGTAATATGGTATTGAGTGTATACCATTTCATTTTGATGTTCAGAGCCTTATCCCTCCATCAGAGCAATTGATGAAGGGCTAATGCTTGAACCTCAGCTTCTAATCTCTTTATAGAGTCCAATTTATGTTATAAACTCAGTTGATAATACTAAATTACCCTGTTATACTCTTCCACAAATGCAGAAAATTTACCCCCTTAGTTTATTCCTGTGTATAATGGTTGTTATCTATGAATATGTTTTACAGAGTAGTGCACAAGTGACCATTGAAGAGAATGATAATCCAGGGGGGACATTTGAGTTCAATAATACAGCTCCCCTCTCTTTAAAGGTAGGTTCTCGTTCAACTCTTTTGTCATTGCATGTTTACTACTGTATAAATGTGTGAGGTTTTGTTCCAGAGGAAAATCGATCAGTGATTTCTTGTGATTATCTCCAGTTTTTGTGATGTGGAAGTTCTTAAAGTTTGTCTCTTCATCTTGGATGAGAAAGTAATCCATTGCAGTTTACCAAATAAACCATTAGCATTACATCAAGTGATTGGTAATCATTTTAAATTCCCGTGTGAAGAGAGACACTGTGAGAGGAAAGTGTCTCTCCCAAGAACACAACGCAGTGACATGGCTGGGCCTTCAACCTGGACTAGTCTGGAGCTGGCATAACAGCCATTTGGCCAATTTGTCTGCTATTGTATGATAACCAGGCATTACTGAAATTGTGTCATGCCTAACTGATTCAGTTCGGTAATTCAAAAGTTTATTATTGATCAAAGTGCGAAATGATACTGACGACTATGACTGATGGAAAACTGAAAACAGAATCCAAAAATGTTTTTGTCTTTTTGTGGGCACTGTCTGCTATTCTTTATTTTCATCATGACTTAAGTTTTAAACTTTTGCTTTAACTTAAGCTTTAAAATTCTCTGCTTAGGAGCGGGATGCTTTTAATGTTGTCATAAAGCGAGTGGGAAGTGCATTGGACACACGCTGGGTGCAGTTTAGAATGGTTCCTTCAGGTAATGGGGATTAATAATGAATGAATAACTTTATTTATGGGGGTGACACATTACGGTTAAGAACTGGTAAACTTGTGATCCTCCCCTAAGATATAAAACTAATTTTAATTATAAATATTAAAAAAAGGAAAAAGCAGTGGCAAATGGTAAAAACGGGAAGGAAAAAAAAAACAGTAAATGTGTTTTGAATATTAAGAAGGGATCAGAAGGTATAAAAAATTATGAAATGGGAAAACTATCGAAGCCAGCATAACCTTCCTTTATAAAATTACAATTATAGTTCTGTTTGAATACTGGTGCCAGATCTTATTTTAATAAGTAAAGAGTTCCAAAGTTTTGCGTCTGTAACGAAAGGAGTTTTTTCACCTTCTGTGTCACAGTTATACCTAGGACAGTGTATAGTTATATCATCATAGCGTTAGGTTCTGGTCGTAGTTACCGTAGCTCTAATAAACCACAATCGATATATTTGAACCTGTGCTAGTTTAAATTGAGTGGAGTTTACGGATACAAATGCTGTATAAAATGCATTGAAAAAGCAAATAATAGTTTTTCCCGTTGTCTGTTTTGTCCCTTGATAACTTTTATTCTGAAAAAGGTTCCTATTGTAACTGGTCTTGTCCAAACATATCAGGATTGCCTCTCCTCAGTAAAAACAACTTGTCTCTTACTAGGGTGTATGTATCTTCTTTGCAACCCTTAGTGAGCAATCAGCAAATGTTCTTGAAACACCCCCCTCTTACAATTGAATTATTTGCAAGAGGCTGTTTATCAACAACCAACATTGAAAAGGAGGGAAGGTTGTTCTCAAACATACATGTAATCATGTTATCATTTACTTAAACCTTCTTAATTTTGGTTGGCTTCATATGTAGGTGTGATATTTTCCTCGTTTAGAACTCTCTAAATTACTTGGACTTCAATATTTCTGTGTGTCAGTCAATGATAAATAATAAGAAAAAATAGACAAAATACAGTATACAATGTTCCTTTAATGTAGTTTTATCGTTTCAACCTTCTTGATGGTCATTCATGGTAACCTCATTCATGGACAATGTGTTTTTTCTATTTCAGGAGTTGATGATTTTTTTGGTAGCAAGAAGTTAGTCAATTTTCTGCCTGGTGAACGAGAAAAATCTTTTTCAGTGATTGCAAGAGTTGATAATATTCCTGAGGTATGCTTGGAAACTCTTTATTAAAGAATTGTTACTGACAATCAATGCTTTAGACAAGATGCCTGAATCCACGAGAATTTCAACTAGCATGTAGTCATCTTGACCAAACACGCTTGGTCAGGGTTTTGGTCAAACCGTCTTTTTGAGAATAAACTTGGGTAAAATGAGTGGAAAATCCTTACTGTGCAGAATACAGAGGACTAAAAGATAGAATTGGCAAACATTGTTTACACCCAATACAGATCAAATTTAGATTCCTTGCACTGGTTATAATTTTGTAACAAGTTACATATTTACAAGTCTGTATATATGAATATATGAAATAACTGAAACCTTCTAAATGAATTACAACAAAATCTAATCTAGGTGTCAACAAGGATGTAAACATTTCAGGCAAATTCATCTGTCTTTCTTGCTTTGGTATCTAATTGGGATACAATAATCGCTTCATATTGCCTATTCATAGAGCCAGTCATAAAAATATAACTATGAATGATATTCTTTTTGATATTTTATAGATTGATGAGAAGTTTACGTTGGGTCTATACAGTGAAGGACCCGATGGACAGAAAGGTGTTCTGGGAAGCCAGATAACAATCAATGTGACCATTGAGAAAAATGATGATCCTTATGGTGTGGTTGGCTTCAAATCCGCTAATATCATCAAAAATATCATCAAATTCATAGATTGGGAAAAATTGTTCGATCAGTGGTTTTTTGACACTTCATTAAATTCATGAAAGCGGCGCTCATACACTTGCATGTTGTTCTATGGATAAAGTGCGTGGTAATATTAATGGATTTTCATTCGCGACTTCTCCGTGTCCATGTAGAGGACTGATTATTTAGTGCATGTTTAGTATGTTCCAGCCGGGTTACGGTCGTACGGTCGTACGGTCGTACATCCAATTTTTTTCGGCTTGATGGGTTATTACTATTTTGTAATAATTATGGGCTACGCTTTGCGAGCTCCGCTAATATTTATGCATGTTTAGTATGTTTCAGCCGTGTCGGGGAGTTGTTTTCAGCTTTTTTTCTTCCCCTTTTTTTCTTGTCTTTCCTCTGATATTTCTGTGTAAAGGTTCCTTGTTCCCTCATCTGGGGACTCATGACTGATTTACTAGGTTTTACCAGTCATTGGGGCATCATTCAATCAAGCCGCCAAGTACCAAAAGTAGAAGTTCCTGGTCATACCATATCCTTGCTGCCAATCTTCATGGAACCATGCACATGCGAACTTAAGGATTTACGTCTTGAAAGAAAGCATTTACACGTTGTGCTTTTTTTTCTGTTTACTCAGATGAATCCGAGACCAACACAGAGAGTGCTCGTTTTGAGGTTTTCCGTAACAAAGGAACCTTTGGTGTTGTATCAGTTTCCTGGAATATCACTGCGAGTAATGGTGGCGACCCAGCCAGCGATGTGTCTCCAGTGTCTGGTCACGTCACTTTCTCAGCTGGAGAGAATTCCAAGTTTATTACCATTGAATCTCTGCCAGACAACGTGAGTGCTTTATTCCGAACGTATTTGTGTACAAGTCTTTTTAGAGCCGTTTTCAATTGACTGTCGTAAGTAATATAGGATTTCTTTCCGGCGCTTCAGGTAAGTTACTTGTTTTCACATTGAGGGCCTTGTAATTTTTTTCCTTGCTCTGATAGGTTCTTTGATAACTTTGGTTTTGATTTTACGACACTGTATGGCAAACCTCCCTTTCTGAACATTTCCCTTTTGTCGAGATAAGTTTTCCTCATCTTCTTGGAATGGCTTAGAACTTAGCAAGGGTTCTATTTTCCCTTTTTTTTTTTGCAGATTCCCGAAAGAAACGAGTCATTCACGTTACGTCTCAACAACATATCGAGCATAGCCAAATTAGCTAGTCAGGATTTACTTGAAGCCACTTTAATCATCTCTAAGAACGATGACCCAGTGTATTTTGCTCCACCCACCTCAATAAGAATTCAAGAGGGTCTGTACGCCAATTTAACCATTGAACGTGGAGGTGATGGTAGCGATACTGTTGACGTTTTCTATCAAACGGTGGATGGAACTGCGACCTCTACTTCTGGTGATTACCAGCCCAAGACAGCGAAAGTGACGTTCGATGTTGGAGAGTTCCAAAAGACCATATCGATTATGGTGTTGAACGACAGCACCCCAGAGGGGGTGGAGACGTTCACAGTCAGTCTTTTAAACTCAACAGGGGACACAGTGCTTCATAACAAAACTATTGCCACTGTGACTATTTTGGCGAGTGACAAGGGGTCTGGCGTTTTCAAGTTTGCTTCCAATTCACTGAACAAGACAACACAAGAGAATGCAGCGGTTGAATTCAAGTAAGAGACACTCCTTGCTGCTCAATAGCTAGCTGAGAGTTATGTGTTCTTTGGCTTTTTGTTATTGAAATCCGAGGTTTTTCACTTTATGGTGATTTGTGTACAAATTGTGCCATTTACATTGTACTTACATTTGGCTGAGAAAGGAAACAAGTCGCAGTGATTTTGGGAAGGTGATTTTGTCTAACGGATAGAACAAGATTCCTGATGTGTATCGTTTATTTAATTTACTAACTAATTAGAACACTGCTTCTTACATTCAGGATACTTGTTTAATTTTTAGTAAACTTGTTTGGAGATCTACCATGTCCTTTATGAACATGTATAGAGTGATACAGCTTTCCCTGAAGATACAATTATTGCGTTTGAAACTTTGGCTGACAGTCATGGACCGTCAAAGACTTTCTGAAAATTAAGATCAGGGGGAAATTTTCATGACTAAATAACTTCTATGCCATATTGATTTCTACCCTTTAGTGTCGAAAGAGAGCTTGCCCAGTTTGGTGAGGTCAGATTGTACTGGAAAGTAGTTCGCCTATATTCCAATGGAACCACTATGGATCTGTCGTCTGGCCAAGAGTTTACTGATGTCGTTGACTTTGTTACATTTGTTAATGGTCAATCATCACAGTCTGTTAGACTGACACCACTCCAAGACGGAATTGCTGAATTATATGAAACTTTTGAGCTTCAGCTCGTCAATGCAACAGGTGTTTATCTATCTTTCGGAAGATTTTTGTCCCAGATTCTTATTTATAGATAATTTTCTTTGTCCAATTGGATATTACATAATTAGAGAAAATTACTTGAAACCTTGTCTGAACTTAAAACCTTTGTATTTATCTCAACTACGTTACTTTGTAGTCATGTTTAATGTCTTAAGGTACAACTCGTTTGTTCGTGTCCAGCTAACTTAGAGAAATCATGCACATTAATACGCTTAGGCTGAAAATGGCAAGTTACAATTGATTAAGGTTACTTGCGTCTATCGGCAAACAAATAAATACCCATGAAAATAACTCATGATACTCAACTGATTATCAACCCTCCGCGCGACTCTGATGTTGATCTTCATTCAAAATTTCGAAAGGTCCGTGGCTTTTACTGACGATAGGAAGTTTGAGATTTTATGACTAGGGCGACTGGGAAACGGCAACTGAAAACAAACTTTGATTTCTCTTAAAAGTCTACAAGTAGTTCGATGTGTTTACATTCTGTAGCGGCGAGCTTCAACTTTGACATCTCTTTAGGGATTCAAACTGGTGAGAACGGTGTTATAAGCAGTCCATCGAAAGCATCCCTGACGGTTACTGCCAACGATGACCCCAATGGATTGATGAGGTTTGAGAAAAGGTCTGTGGAAATTCCAGAAGACTATAACCCTGGAATGAAAGCTACCACCACAAAAAATGTGACAGTTTTGAGAGATCAAGGATCATGGGGAAGCATTCAGGTAAGATTTGCGACACATGTGGGAAACTTAGAGAATATTCAGAGGATTGAATTTACATCATGAGCATGTACAGAGGCAGTGACTTATATGCACCTTAAAAAAGTTCGAGTCGACACGAAAAGAGAAAATTCTCTATATGCGATCATTCTAACTCTGATTTATTATTGAAAGAACGCTTTGGAACGTGGTTGGAAATTTCTAGAATGTCTTTTGACTCTTCCCTGTCTTGGGTAATGATAATGTAACCTCTACAAAAGATCTCAAGCATTTGGCTTAAAATACTAGAAGCTGTGCTATAAGCCTACGCCCATTGGCACCGACACATGTGGTTAAATTCCCACGCAGGAAGTGCCATGTTTCAAGAATGTGGGACAGACGGAAAATCCGAGTCTTCTGTGCAGAATCAAGCCGTTGATCGCAACATGATGTTCGTGCGACAATGTAATCGTGGTTGTGTACCGCATGTTGGTGTAACGCATGTTGGTTCGAGAGCACTTGGGTAATTCTGTGTGTTGAATGCGCTTTTACTTTTGTTTGCAGGTTGCTTGGGAAATTCAAACAGCTTCGGCGTCATTGGCTAGCATCAACGATAATGCTTATGATTTGTTTCTACTGGGCTCAAGGATGTCAGGTGTTGACAGCCGGCCTGATCTGCGCAGATTGAATACAGAGACCTACGTGTATTGCTTTAATGGAACTAACAATGGTAAGGCTATGAGTCAGTCCATTAATCCACAGTAGTAGTGAACGTCCAACTTCTCATACGATACATTACATTTATGCATCAAACAAGTGATGAGAGTAAACATGCTTTTCAGATCTTGATTGAAAAAAATCATGTTCGGATCTTTACTGACTACTAAGGAATGGTTTGGAAGAAAAAGAGATTTGCGAATCAGGCAGAGTAATTTTATATTGAGCGTCGAAAGTAATCCAGAATTTTTTTTCTTTTATTTCCCTCTGTGATTGGTTCAGAAAACTCGTGCCTGCCTCTCAACCAATCAGATGCAAAACTAACACCGACCGTATCTTTGTCACTCACGTTTTCCCGCGCTTCAATCAGTTGACTTGCTTTAAAATGTACTTACATTTTACTGTGTTCGTTTCTATTTTACTTTGGTTTTAGTTTTACGACACGTAATCGAAAAGCCTCTTATTTGGAGTTAAAGTGTCAAAGAATGTCAAAATTCATTAGCATCATTGCATCTGTAATTATCTTCATGCAAATTTATTTGCAAAATTCATGTGACCTCTTTCGAGTAAATTCAGTTAAGTTAATGAAGTGCACTTGGTGAAATCTCCTTTCGTGAAAAGGAAGTTGTATTCCAGATTGGTTGGAAATCCTGAAACTTCTTAATTGAAAATAAACCCAGGTAAACTTCTCAAAGTTTGTACAACGTGAGAATGAAAATTCCTTTCTCACCTTCAAGTATTTATTAACTAATCTTTACTGGTTTTATAATCACAGAATCATTTGTTGAACTGTCTGATTCGACCAGTCCACAATCAAAGTTTAGTGTAAGGTGAGAATTATTCATATTGTTTTTTTTAATACTAAGGTAAGATTAGTTGATGATCGCACCCTTTGCGAGAGAATTTGTCGTCTCTCATAGTGTAATTTGTAAGCAACGCCCACTTGATCCCTGAATTAGTGCCTAATCCTGTTATAATGTCTTCCCTTTTTCAGATTCTGGGTGAATGCTACTAAAGGAATGTATGGATATGTGCTGGCCAGTCTGGATGGAAATGCCGTGAACTTTGCTTTGGTTTTGAATACGACTGGATCTACTACAATAGCAGACTTTTTCTATTTGTCAAACAAGGTACAAAGAAGCTAATAAATGTGTCAACTTTTAGGAGATTATGCTCTTGTCATGGGATAGTTACGCCATAATGAATTTATATATCTATGAATGCCGTTTACGAGAAGATACACTTTGATTTTCCTTGTTGTTGTTAGATTCGTGAAAAAAAGAGTTAAAAGAAAAAACGAAGTAACTGAGATAGCGTGAACTGAACTGTTAGAAATTGGACCGAATAAACGAAATGTAATTTTGCTCGGGAATTTTTATGGGGGAAGTGCTCTGTTTGTGACATTTAATTTAACTTACTTTGGAGAATGGAAAACGTCCCTGGTAGATTTTATTAGACATTGGAATCTTATATCTCCATTTTTATTTTAGACTGAGGTAAATCTTGGCAAGGACATTGCAGACAACAGCTGGCATTTTGTGGTTTTTACTGTGGATGTAAATGTTGTTCAGTTTTATGTCGATGGAGATCCAGTCGGCAATGCATAGTAAGGATCTGAAATGAAGTGTTGTGATCATGTTCATATGTTTATGGTATTTATTTTTGCAAAATTCTGAATGTGACACACCTCTAGGCTTTTTTGTTAATAATGTTACTCAATTTAAGTACGCGCGGATTCTAATAGGCTACGTTAATTCTTACTGAGGCGTATTATTGTTATATTTGTGCTAATTATTGTTCTTAAACTTGTTTCAGTCCGCTCCCATCAGGATCATTAAGCTCTGTTGCCCTTTACCGAGTAGGAAAAGGACCTACCTCAGAATCACAGTTTACAGGATGCATCCAAGACATAACAGAGTATCGAGAAGTGATAGTGGCAAGGTACAAGGGTTGCCCAGGGGAATCTTCTTTTTCTGTAAGACGTGATGAACTTAAATTAATGAAATGATCTCACTGTCAATTTCAACGTGATTCTTGGTGTTCACTCTGTGCAATTTTCAATGAAAGATCGATGAAATTACAGCATAAAAGTCAGCAGCTTAAAAGATTGGCCTCGTTATAGGAATTGAGCTTGCGTTATTGCACTATTGACGGCTCTATCTCGTTTTCAACTGCTCTATCTCAGTTGGTTTTGATTCTTCAAACACTCTTTCTTTGCTCGTTTGCCAAGTTTCCTAGTCTACTTCTAGGATTAAGTAGTCTGTTACATGCTTATTTCTGATTGTGAAGTGACATCTGAGATCCGTGTTTTGTGATCTCTCATGCCTTACTTTCTCCACCACGAACCTCATTATGGCACTGTTGTGTATTGTAATACCAGAAGATCGCTAAGTTTTGTTTTTCCTGTTCAGGTCGGTCAAAGAAATGTCCATTTCTAACAACGAACTAACGCCAATAAATGGCTATTTAACCTTTGAGCCTGGAGTAACACGAAGGACGTTAATGTTAAGCACTATTGATGATGACAAACCAGAAGACGACACGCCTTATAATGTGGTGCTGTACAGTCCTCTTGGAGGGGCGCGACTGGACACTAATGAGTTTTGGATGGATCTTAAAGGTTAAATAAATATATATTACACATTTGTTAATGCAAGAAGCCCTAAGTATTGCTGTGCTATTGCTGAAAACTGGTTATTTCTATCAGCTCCTAAACCAGATTACTTAATTGTCCTTCAAAAGCTCTTTGATTCTCTATGAAAGTGAAATTCATTCCTTGAATTCATTCCTTTGCAAACTTCGGACATTCCCCACAGCAAAATTCACAATTTTCAAATTTCGTACATAAAGAGGGAATTTTTTGCAGAGGAATCGCTTCTAAATTCCAATTAGAGTAGAGATATACTCCGGTCTGTTCATCCAAGGTAGGATATATGTAACTCTATTCGATCAACCTCGAGTCCAGCCAATGCAAAAAAGCAGCGCCTACAGCGTCAGATGGAACTACACAAAAACACCAAGAAATAAAGATATACGCATCTTGATTTACGTGCTCTCTTTTGTTTTCTTTTCAGTACTGAAGAGTGACAATGCTAATGGTTTGTTCGGTTTCAAGTCAGTCAGTCCAGTAGTAATCAGTGAGTCTACTAATGTTACTGTGACTATTGAACGTCTCAAGGGTCAGTATGGAGCAGCCACTGTCACTTGGAGTGTATTCAAGAATTCATCATCTGTATTAGCTTCAGATGATTTCACTATGGCCAGTGGAAATGTGAATTTTATCGAGAATGAAAACGAGAAGGTATGAATACAGTCTCCTTCGTAGCCGTTCAAAGTCCATTCCTGGAATGGTGTTCAACGTGTATTAGGTAGAGCAATATCTTGTCAACCTCAAGTTGAACATTAGCAAAAAGTCTAAGTGTCAGAGCGGTTTTGGCTGGATGTGGAAAGTAATCTGGAATTGCTCATATTGGGAAGTTTGGAGAGCACTCAATAAACTAGTGTGGCCGCGCCTCAACCGACTCTTTTTCTTCTCTAGCGTTTTCTAAACTTCCCGCGTGCATCCATGTTTTTAATAATAGTTTTGTTCATACATTGCTCTTACCAGGTTGTGACCATTCCCGTAAATGATGACGGACTACCAGAAGTAGATGAATATTTCACTCTCAATTTAACATCTGTTTCCCCAACGGACGGAAGCACTCCAACGAGTGCTGCAAGTCTTAGACCTGGGTTTACACAAGTTGATATCACTATCCAAGAGAGTGACTACCCAAATGGATTACTGCAGTTCATGCATGCTGTTCCACTTGCAAATGGGACTATTCCGCCATCATCTTCCCAATTTAATGTCGACACTCGGGAAAGTGTTGGGACACTTACACTTCGCGTGATCAGAGCTCAAGGAACATTGGGTGAGTCTGGCAATGTCTTGCAATAAATGAAATCATCTGATCGTATTTCTCTTTTTTTGGATTAAGTGTTGTCCTTAAAGTGACTTCTAACAATGGAAGCGCATAGAGATTATCATAAGAGGCGTGATGAAATCCCTTGGAGAAGTATGATTCTTTTGGAAACGATATAGTTCCATCTTCACTATCAACATTCATGTTCACGATTGTGGTACTGAGAGGTTTCAGCGTAGGGAGTCACCTCCTAACTTGATGATATTTGCCTTCCAAAGAGGTGGAAAGCGATTTCTGGAGCTTGCTTCTCCGTTAAGAATTTTGCGAATTAATTGATGTGATGATCATCTCCAGTGACGTTAGAGCTCATTATCCCTTGAATGATTGTTCTTAGTATTAATAGATAGGGGTATTAGATAGATCCTCAAGTTTATTGTAAATGTTGTTATTTTATCAATAAATGTCCGGCGGTATATTATCTATAAATATCTTTTTCACTTTTTACTGGTGTTTTTTAATCTACAGGAAGTGTTAAGTGTCAGTGGAAGACTATTGCAGACACAGCAAAAACTCCAGACGATTATATTGATACCACAGGCGCTGTTGAGTTTGCTCCTGGCGCTCGAAATAACACAATTAACATCCGAATTGTGGATAACAATATCTCAGAGCTTCAAAAGACATTTAGAGTGGAGCTCTTCAATGCTGAAGGAGGAGGTAGATTTTGAAGTGTTACATTTTTTTTTCAATATCTATTATGTGCATTGAGTGATACTCCTATACAGGGAGCTCGTTTTTCGAAGCGACGTTTTCCTTACCCTCCTGGATGGCATGGTAGTCTATCACAGCTCCCGCCGCCCGCTCCCCTCCCCCCACTTTCCCCAAAATTTTATTACAAGCAGGTTTCCACACTAAAGAGCAATGTCAATCCCTGGATTAAAGATAAAAAATTTTCGACCAATATCATGTTGGAAGAATATGTTTGATCGTTCAGCCTCCCCTCTCAAAATGGCTATGCATGCTTAATTTAGATCAAACATTTCAATCCAAAAATTTGCTCCAGAGTGTTTCCTCGTTCAACCATTCCATGTTTTGGGAGACAGACACGAAATTGTTTCATCGTCTAACTGGTAAAATCATATGTAGTCGATATGTAGAAAAACCACGCTACCAAAATGGTCCTAAATCCAGGGGTTTGATGGTTCTGTTGCTCGCGTTAACAAAGCCTGTCGATTAAAGCAGTTAACCTTGCTGAAATTCCACTCTTCCATTCAGTCAAAGAGCAGTTTTATCAAAATGCTCTTTTCAGCACAATCGAATTGACTGATTGTTGGTAAGTATTTCGCTATAAAAATTAGCAGATGAATTTACATGATGTGAAGTTCAAAGTAAACTTATTTTAAAATTTTTTTTTCGTAGCTGAATTAAATCCATCCGCCAAGATTGCATTCGTGACAATACTTCCAAGTGATGACGCGTTCGGCATCATCAGCTTTTCTCCAGACTCTCTCAACCACTCTGTCCGTGAGGGCAGCGGGAGCAGTGTAAGCCTAACAGTTCAGAGGACGCGTGGTGTATTAGGCCCATCAACTATCTACTGGGAGGTTTCAGGAGATGGTGCCGTTGATGTAGAAAACACAAATGGTTTTGTTGTGCTCGCTGAGAACACCAATAGCACACAAATTACCATTAGGATCAAAGACGATGTTGTATGTATAAAAGTTTCCTATACGGTTTCTTTGTGTAAGGCACTCGCCTTTCGACAAGAGTTGTTCAAATGTCATTCGATCGTTATGCCTTAAGTTTGTGGAAGCTGATTGGTTTGTTTTGAAGTCTCACTATCTGTTATAAGACTTCGGTAGAATTTATCGGTTGTCTTCTCATTTTTAATTCGTCGATAAGTCATTTGTTTTTTGCCGATAACTGTGGACATTCTCCGAGCGGCGAGGCGCTTGTATTAACCCGCCTTTGTTTTTTTGTAAACGTTCTAAGCTTGGGTTAAACATTGAGCAGAGGTACAGGTATTAGTTGGGATTGCTTGTTGATATTAATCTGCATTGTGCTTGTTGACATCGCAATTGTTGGGGTTCTTACCAGTCTCAGATATTAGAGGCTCAGTCATTGGAACTCTTGATATTGTTAACTTTTCTTTGTCTGTTGTAATATTTGTGGAGGTTCGTCGGTATATACAACGTTAGTGAAAGCTGAAGTGCTGTACTTTTGTTCATGGCAGGGTGAAAGGGTCTGCATGATATAAAATTTGTGGATAGCTTTCAAGGTAACCTGTACATTGTTATAGTTCTTGAATTAAAGTTATATGTGTTTTCTTTGCAGTATCCTGAGCTGGCAGAGAGCTTCCTTGTCCATCTGAGAAACGTGTCTGCAGGCCGCCTGGCGGATCATGGAACACAGTCGAACGTCACTATACTTGCCAGCGACGATCCTTACGGTGTGTTTGTCTTCTCTCCTTCACAACTGACGATCAGTGAATCCAACACAACCGTGAACTTAACGATACAGAGGCTGTCAGGGGTACAGGGAGTGGTCAGGGTAAACTACAGCAGCACCATTGGAAATGGCATACCTAATGTTAGAATTGCTGTGGAAAATGAGGATTATGTGCCCATCATGGGGTCTGTTATGTTCAGTGAAGGGCAGAAGTATGCAAATGTCAGTTTAATGGTGCTGGATGATAATGTCCCTGAAGATGCAGAGACAGTCATGGTGAATTTAACAGAGGTGCAGCTGGTTGGCGGCCATCCGGTGTTTCCTGGTAAGTTTTCATTTTATTTGGTTCGCATACCATCTTTTTTGATTTCATGATTGAGCTCACAATTCACCTTCTTTTTCACTCTTGGTACTTACACTACGCTTTGGACATTTTTGATCCTATTATTGTGAAAAGCGTTTCGCACATGAACCCAGTATTGGCCTAACTCATCGTAAAGTTCTCTGCAGCCCAGTAATAAAGTATGGGAGCGTAGAGACTGAAGGTCTGGAATTGGACTCCTCGCGGTTCGAACTTAGGTTTTTTCTTTGTTCTACGCTCTTGACAAGCTGAATAACATCTTTCTTTATTTTATACCTTTTTGATTTGCCATACTGTAGTTAATTGCTCTCCCGATTTTGCTTGTTAATATTTAGTTTGAGGTTTATGTAAAAAATTCACTTTTCTTCTATTTGTAATTTGTGGTAGCTATCGATAGAATCAATTGTTCTAATTCGTTTTCATCGATTTTTATGTCAAACAGCACCAGACAGTTCTCCACGAATAGGTGCCTCACGGGTTGCACATATTATCATTGAAAAGAACGACAATGCCAATGGAATTGTTCAACTCTCATCAAGTACTGTCAGTGTTCCTGAACCGTACACGGGATCAGTTGTGAATATCACCAGAACTGCTGGGGCTTTTGGCACGGTAAGTGATTTGAATGTCCATTTTTCACCAGAAAATGTTTACCATACATTTCTCCTAAGTTTGATTACGACAAGTGTCGCTTATATGTGTATTGCTTACCTCTTTGCAGATTTATGTGTCCTTTGAAGTTGCTGCATTGTCTGCTAATGGCTCAGATTACAGAATTGATACTAGGAACATCACTTTGGTAGAAAGCCAGAAAGAGGTTGGGGTCCCTGTGTTTATCATTCACGATCTTACCCCAGAATTTAACGAGGTGTTCCAAATCAAGCTAACTGGTGTTGCTGGTGGGGCTGTGCTGGGCACGCCTGTGGAGTGTACAGTTACTATACTGGAAAATGACTATCCCTATGGATTGATAGGTTAGTGATAATCGAGCGGTTTTCGATTGAGTGCTGCAAAACCAGATTCAAAGGAATTACAACGGCCCATCAAATTGTCTCAAAAGGCCCGTGAGAAGTTGCAGTAGAACAAGTCAGAATTGGTTTTAGTTTTCTATCTTAAGCGATTTTCAACATTATGCCAAAAGTAATCCGGAATAACTTTAGTTTTGTATTTCTTCCCTTTGTGATTTGTCCAGAAACTCTTCCCTACAGGGGTAATTGGTCAATAGATTCTTAAAGCCCGGCTTCTATAGGAGCGCCACGTTCAACCCAAATGGGATAATCTTCGTGACGATTTTTATGGAATTAAGGCCAAACGATCGCTAGCGACTCAAACGATCGGAACAAAGGCATTCGTCCGTAGAGTTTGTGTTCAAGCTTATGATCACTCCGATCTGTGCTATCACATGGAAATCAAGTCTACGGCAAAGCCATAATCCTCGACCCATTTACCATAAACTATTTAATTTACATCTTTTTAGGCTTTGAGAATTCGTCATTATCAGTGTCAGTGAAAGAAAGAGACACTCCCAACCCAGTAACGCTTCAGGTAATACGAACATTTGGTCTCCGCGGAGGTTCTCGAGTTCACTGGAAGGCGCTTTTGAATGGAGTGTTGGCAATAGATGACGTTGGGCCTGTTGAGGGAGACCTTGTATTTGCCGATGGAGAAAACAGGAAGGAAATAACTTTCAGTATTAAATCGGATGCCATTCCTGAAATTTCAGAGGTTTGAGTTCAGTTTTATTAAATTTTTTTTGGTAAAATGTGGACCGGAGGAGGAGTCATCTGGGATGTGATCAGGGATGGGGTTGGATTCCATGAAGGAATAAAGTTGTTGTGGAGACTTTTCTAGGCATGTAATGCGCGGGAACCTATTCAATCTCAGGCCTAACTGTTAAGTAATAAGAAACGGTTAGGGCTTTAACCTGTTTCATTTGCAGCGTCGTCTTTCGTTAAACTTACTTGTGATTCATTTTACCTAAACTTAAACTTAGATCGAAGACAATTTAATTGATAACATCTAAATCGAAAGCAATAACTAGGCAGGCGAATACTCCGCCCTTGTATCTTTAAATTGACTCTAGGTGATTAACGGTCAGTACAAGGCGAAAACTAGAATCGTAATAAGAATTACTTTTATAAACCACATACAATTGGCCAGAGAGATAGATGAAAAATGTTCATGGTGCTTGTTCAATATCACCTTGTAATAACGATGTGATCTGTTTGTGTTGGACAGAGACCACATAAACTGGTCAATGATGCCCTTCAAAAACACAACCTTCAAATTTAACATTGACTCTGTAATTTCCATGAGCTCAACTTTAGCAATGAGCGACCTCATTTCTTAACTTCCTCGCATCTTCTACAACCAAGGAGACGTTGCATCTCTCCATCTTTTCATTTTCTTTTTCCTTTGAGCCTTTCAGTTTTTTCAGTTTGCTTTCTTTCTGCGTTTGCTTCTGAAACATTTATGCTGTTTTGACGTTTACTTTATGCAAGTGTTTTGTAAAATTTTACCTTAATAGTTGTTTCATTTGATTTTTCAGTTTATTTTCAGTTAATTTGATTTGATTTTAATTTGTTTTGTTTTTATGTTGTTTTGATCATCTTCCCGAAGCCCTCGGACAACGGTTCCGTAACCGTAAGCATGTTGAGATAAATATAGTGTAATTAAATTTAAAATTAAGTAATATTTAAATCATTTTAACAGGAATAAATTAAAACTTAATGTTACTGAACGACATGTTAAAAGGCAGAATTGGAATAATAATCGTTCATGGTAATTATTGAAATAAATATACAGTGCTTAAAAAAAGTTTAGAGAACTTGCAACTGTTTGAGATAAGTCAAAGTAAGCTTTGATTGATAAACAAAATCAATAGCTAAAAATAAATGCTCTATCTGCAAGTTCATATTTTAAACGACAGGTTTTAATTGGCTTTTTTCAAATACAGTTATCATCCCAAGCGTTTAGTAGGAATGCTTACGTAAACAATAATTAAGGATAATAAGAGGATTTATAACTACAGATAGAATTAACCAAACATTAGGACAAGTGATGTAAAGAAAGGTAATGTTGTGAAATCCCTAGATGGTTCGAAGTTTTGAATGTCTTGGAAAACCATCGTTATTGTGTCATAATCTGTATTATCTTTAAAAGGGCGAAGTTGTTAAATATAATTTGTACCATGTTAGTGAATTGCTTAGGATTTCAAAGCACGGATTGTATTTAATGATTTTGTGGTACAGGTATTTCTCGTAATGGTTATTACCTGCATAGTGTTTATTAAAAAAAAAAGGCTGGTTGTTTAGTTTTAATGCAGTGCATGGAAAAAAGCAACATGTGCATTGTTTTGGTTACTCTAGGTTATTGATGTCAACTTGACGTCAGTGGATTTTTTGTCTGAGGGGACCCCCTCACTGGACGAAGCTACTCGCGTTGCCAAAGTTCACATAGAGCCTAATGATGCTCCCCACGGGGTGGTAGAGTTTGCTAAATCTTCGCATAATGCTTCAGAGGGTAGCAGTGCGTTCCTGTTGGTCTTGAGACAATTTGGTACTAGCGGTGACATCCGAGTTTTCTACAGGTTTGTATTGGAATATTACAGTTTTGTCATAATTACTACCAAAGCGACGTAACTATCCAAACTCCGATACATAATTCTCTCTTTAGCTGCCACAGGGTGAAAATAAATCTACCGTTGACTTATCATTTTATCAGACATTGGTCAGGAGCATAGATCCAAAAAAAATTGAATCTTCGCTGTAGATTTGAATCCTAGTGTTGCGAGCAGCCTAGCGAGCTAGGGCCACATATTAGGTTCATTATCTAACAAGCTTCCCACCTACTGCTGCCTTCCACATGGACGAGAATTTCAGTAACGATCAATTTTTCTTTTGAGAATCTTTAGTGTCCTTGACGATGGTAATTTATCGTTTTTATTTTAACAGTACCGTAGAACACGTCGGAGGCACTCAAGCCAGGCCAAATGTTGACTACATTGCCGTCACAAACAGTTCTATCGTAATCCCCAGTGGAAATGACTCGGAAAATATCAACATCACAATCCCTGATGACATCCAACCCGAGCTAGGAGAAATTTTTGACGTGGTGTTAGAGCACGTGGAATTAGTTGGGCAACCGTCCCCAGTCCTTCCACCCCAATTGGGTGGAATCAAGAGAGTTGCAGTAACAATCGTGATGAGTGACGACGCTCATGGTTTAATATTCATTAAAGCTCCCACTTCAGACCAGGGAACTGAAGGTAGCCGCTTGACAGTGAACGAAACTGAAAACTTACCGATTCGTTTGGTGATTGAAAGGCTCAAAGGTAATGATGGGCCCTTCCTTCAATATTGTTGTTGTTTTTGTTGTCGTTTTTTTTGCCCAAATGTTTGATTTAAGCCAGTTGTTGGTCAGATTCTACAATCGTGAGACCCTTTTGCGATTGATGGAACACGAACAGTACTTTGCTTTCCTTGTTCTCTCAGTACCCTTTCTTGGAAACGGGAAAGGGGCGGAGGTGTTTATTCGAGGGGAGAGGGCACACAGGAGGAGTGCTTTTGTCAGGAAAGGCGGTAATTTAATTTCAGATTTTTTTTTGTGTGTGACACACATTTTTTTTATCTTCAGGCACCATCGGCCAGGTTACTGTCAAAGTTGAGGTGCAGCAGAATGATGCGACGGCCGGCAGTGATTTTATAGCAAATCAACCCATATTTACTTTTGCTGACAAAGATAACACCAGCCAGAACTATCTGTTGACCATCAAAGATGATGATATTCCGGAGACTGACGAAGAATTTGTTATCAAGCTTGTGAATCCCGCTGGAGGTGCCAGAGTGGCTCCTGGCCTGGGGAACAATGTGACTATCATTATACAAGCAAACGATGGTGTTGCAGGGCAAGTGGGATTCGATGAACAGTCTAGATCGGTTGTGGCCATGGAAGGAAGGCGAGTGCCCTTGTTGGTAAACAGGACTCGACCAAATGGACGTGTATCAGTGGATTGGCTCATTACTGGGGCAAACGCTTCATCCGATTTTACAGATGTCAGTGGCACTGTCGTGTTCAGCGAGGTATAAGCTTTCAAGATTTTTTTACGTGTTTCCAATCTGGTCCCGATTTTCTAGATATTGTCGGGAAGTGGTCTTTTTACATTGTATGAGAATAAATATATTTTTCCTTGTATGAAAATAAATGTTAAAGATTGTTTTGATGGCACTCAATGACCCAAACTAACCATGCCTTGAAGGCTGCAAGTTGATTGAGACATTCCAGTAACTTCTCGCCTTCTTGTTTCTGTCTTAGTGGCTGTGACTCGATCTCCTCTGAGGACTGAGGTCTGTCCTCCTTTGTAGTTACTTTTACGGTACCTACCGTCAGGTACTTTTGAATGAGGCTGCCTGAAAAATTTTGATTTAGTCGAGGAACCGAGTCAATGCAGCAGACCCGAGTGTGGTTTGAACGAACCTTGTTACTTGCTTTTTTCTAGGTTTGCTTAATTCGCTTGGTTCGTTTCTCTCCAACTTCCCTCCCCTCCCCTCTCCTCCCCTCCCCCCCTGCTGTTTGAAGAAGTATTCATTTTACACCTCGATTTGTTAGTGTTGTGTTAGCTGGTGCCTAGAGAAGGCCCGTGGCTGTATTGCCATGGGGCCCTCCTGGCAGTTGAGGAGATTGCTTTCTTTACGACACCTACCCTCTATTACCATTGACGAAGCGTTTTAATGTGGTGTTTTGATGTTTATTTGTAGGGTGAAAAGCAGAAAACAATAGACTTAACAGTCCGCAATGACAGCACCCCAGAAACAAACGAGGTGTTTGTGGTTCAGCTCAGCAATATTCAGACCTTTGGTATCGCTTCCACCGGCAAAGCCAGTCTTATTCCTGGGAAAACAACTGCAACAATTAGCATAAGTGCTAGTAACAGACCCCATGGCGTTATCGAACTTGAAGCGGGTTCACGGTTTGTATCTCGATCGGACGAACGGAACTTCACATTGACAATATCCAGGCTGTTCGGGGATATTGGTAAGTAGGAAATCTGTGGATGCCATTTACTCCTCAGCCCTGTTTACAATAACCCATGAGGAATTTGCTAGTGTTTTCACAGCTCCATCCTAACACGGAGTGGGTTTGGTGGACTTGGGAATGTTAAACATTTTGATTTGTCTTGTGCTACTTTTCCCTCAGGTGATGTAAGAGTTTATTATGAAGAAGTGCAGGGAAACATCACAGTACTACAGTCGGACCAGCGTTTAGCGTTATCCGGAGAGGACTTTGTTTCTGGGAGAAGAAGTATTGTTATCGGCGACGGTGAAGATGTTGGCTCCATTCCTGTATGGGTCAAGGATGATGAGATCCCAGAGCTTGGCGAAGTGTTTTTGGTAAACATCACAGAAGTTGAGTTGGTGAACCCGTCGCTGTGGAACAACACCATTCCACCAAGTCTGGGACATCATCATGTTTCTGAGATCAGTCTATTACCTAACGATGATCCGCATGGCGTGTTTAGATTTCCCAACCAAAGGTAACAGAGTGACTGTAAGGATTGAGCTTTTGAACGTTGTTCTTTTTTTAAATATACTTATTGGTTTAATATGTTCATATTGCAGAGTTTACGTCACAGAGTCACGCAACCCCTACAGCCTCACTGTGCTGCGTGACAAAGGGACTTTTGGTGAAGTTCAAGTGAACTATTTTGTGCAAACGATATCCGCTAGTTTGAATGACTTCAATATAACAGGTTGGAGTGGCCCGGAGGTCACCCTAGTTTTTCCCAATGGAGTTAGTGAACAGAACATCACAATTTACGTGGCTGATGATACTAAATCTGAAGGGGAAGAAACTCTTAAAATAGGCCTGACTCGAAACACAGGAGACACAAAAATTGGAAATCCTTCTATACTTGATGTTGTTATTATAGCAAATGATGATGCGTATGGATTGTTTAGCCTCGCGTCGTCGTCGCTTACGATCTCTGAACCTGGCACAGGGCCTGTTACCGAAGCTGAATTTGAAATTGATCGTAGTGGCAACACCTTCGGAACTGTGATTGTTTCTTGGGAAATCCTCAATGTGTCTGCATCATCAGATTTGTCTGCAGTGAGAGGAAATGTCACCTTTAATGCTGGAGATAGGCGGAAGACGTTTAAAATCAAGGCGTTGCTTGATTCTGTACCAGAAAAGGAGGAAACTTTTGTTGTGAAGCTGACTCTGCCGGGTGAGTTGGTTATGTATCTGAAGAATGGAAATGTGCAATTATGTTTAAATACTGAAGTGTTCCGGCTGTTGTTGTCAATGGTTTGATTTTATTGACATACTGAGAGCAAGTGGTGTTCATGCATACCATAAGCATTGCATAAACTTATCCTAACCCAAAAATTCCTCAGTATATCCTTTCTCTGACATGTCATAGACATATCCTGAACGATCCTGGCAAACCAACTAAAAGATGGCTCAAGACGTTTCTCTCAAACATTTGTTTGCGTTACGCGCCTTTTGAAAAACTGCCAATCAAAGTGCCGGGCAAATAGAAAAGTACCAGTGAAGTTAGTGATGTTTGTACAGCACTTTAAAAGAAACTAATTTTTTTAAATATTTTTTTCCTATACCAAATAGGAAATGGAAGGCTGGTGCATCCATTTGAAGCGCTGCTCACCATTACAGAGAATGACTCACCCTATGGAGAACTTGAGATAGTGTCTGGTGCTTCGATGAGCAGTAGCGTCGACATAGAAGAAGATCAAGATATAGTGAAGGCGAAGATCATCCGCAGCAAGGGTGACTTCGGTAGAATTACCTTAGACTACATGACAGTGTCACAAACGGCTAGTTCATTACCTGGGGATGTGATCCACTTCGAAAAAGTACAGCAGTTAAAGACCGTCGGTGCATACAGTTGGCACGTATTTTCCGCCTTTGGCGACGTGTATGCTTTGCTTGCCAGTATCAACAGAACTGGATCCTTACCACCTGCGGTTGATAATATCGGTATGGGCGAATACTTTGGTTCGGCTTTGTTCCGTTGGCAAGGCGTTCTTGTTCCTGTGCTGGTAAGTTCAGTCTCGTTACGTTCCCGTTAAGAGCTTCAATAACTACAATTAAAAAAATAACGATATATCACTTCATCTTTCATGAGTGCTCCCTCCTAAGCTAGAGTTTAAAAAAAAGTTTGAATGTAGAAAGATCGTAGAAATCTCTCCGTTACTGTAATGGTCAGCCTTTTCGCCTCTTTGTTCGAGCGTTTGTTCCAAGTTAATTTTTATTACCATGATTTGAAAGAGAAAAGTAAAGTTGGTGTATTTGAGACACAATTTATGTTTTGGAGTTTATGAGAATCATGGTTGGCAAGTTCAGCTGGAAGGCCATCCTTTGTTCAAAAGAAGTTCAAATCAGTGAAAAAGTTTTCTTCATATGTTATTTTTTAGGGCATTGCTACTGATGGTGCTGTGGCCTGGGACTCTCTCTTGGTTGGAGACAAAGTTTACCTAGCAGTCGCCAATCACGGGAGCAAGGGACGGTACGAGACTCACTCTAGAATTTACTCCATGGATAGCACTACAAAGCTGACTGTTATCCAGGACATCTCTACACAGGGAGCATCAGACGTGAAGTTCTTCCGTCCACCGGGTGGAACAGACATCTATCTGATCGTTGCAAACCAGATGAATAACGCTGGACAGTCTCGTATTAGCTCACAGGTAAAATCACTGCAATCGCGAACAAATTATTTGTGAAAATTTTAGCTCAACATCTTCAAATTTGTCTTGGTATCCCTGTTCCCCTTTTAATATTAGTTTTTACCAGAATGCAGCCTTCTGTGACATTTTGTTGTGTGTTAACTTTGGACGTGGGTTTGGAGAGGCAAGAGCGACGAATAGCAAAATTTTCTAACCACCGAGGATGGTTTTTCCTTACTCAGGTATATAAATGGCAAAATGGATCGTTTGTTCTTCATAAGGCCAACCTCGACAACACCCGCAGTGCTTCTGGCCTGGCGGTGTTTGAAATTGATGGAACTCTTAAAGTCGCCATAGCTTTCTTCAATGACACCTCAAAATCCCAAAGTTTCCAAACTAGATCTCCCATTTATGAATGGAACACGAACTCAAACTCGGCTGTCTTGCTGCAAGAAATCGACACCAACGGTCCCGTTGGAGTTGAGTATTTTGAACACAAAGGACAGCATTACTTGGTGTTTGCTAATTCCAGAGCGTCCGTCGACGTATACCGCTGGAATGGTAACAGGTTCATAAGCGAGCAGGCGCTTCCCGCGTCAGGTGTTCAGTCGGCCAAACCCTACTTAATGCAAGGAAATGGTGAGAGACGTACTATTTGCATCATCCAAGGATGCCATTTTATTGTTTCTTTTTCCGGTTGTTGCTACCTTTACTGTTCCTCTTGAGGATTTCTGAAATATTTCTCTTTCGTTTTCAGCCTATCTTGTCACAGTTGAGACTGGTGAGGTGTTGAACGTCTACCTGTGGAATGATTCGTCCAAGTTCACTTTTCAGATGGTCGGTATTTGATTGATGAATTTGCTATTTACTCCGAAAGTTCTTTCTTCTCGAAGGAAGTCGTCTGTTTTTGAAAGTCACAATTGGGCAGAACATGTTTCGTAAAATTCAAGAAACTTTAGAGGAAATGTCAAATACTAGTGAAAACGGCCGGCAGGACGCATCGTTTTGTCTCGGCCATGGTACCTTTCGAATTTTAACAAAACTCAATGAGCATCGCGCATATCGTCCAGTTTACAATTCAAGAATTTCATTTTCAGTTTTCAGTGTCTTTAATACGCTGCGTCTGTCAAACTGCAACGTTTAATTATTTAATGTTAACTAATGTTTTTTTTTTCAGAACACTACCCTTGCGCATGCTCAGAGTGCCACCCCTATGGTCATGAATGATCCAGTGGCTGGAGATATACCTATGTACGCTGTGGCAGTGTCTGGGAATGGATTGTCTCCTCTTCTCCACCCTGAAAGATTATCTTCACAAGCTGACTTCATTCCAAGGTATTATTCCACCACGAACGTTTCTCTGTCCGTCATATGAAACGGCGTTTTTTTTTATAATAAAGCAAGAGCGAGGGAGCGAGAAGCAAACGCACGCGAACGATGGCGGAGTGGAGAAAAATGATGAAGACATTTCCTTACTCGTAATTTCGTTTGTTTTTTCTTTATCCACTCGGCTTCCTCGCGTTTACGTTTGTGAAACCCCTCGTTGCTTTTTATTTGTTGCTTATTTGTCGACGATCTCAGAGAGAATAGAAGTTAAATGAAAAAAAATCACCTAAAACTTAAAGGAATTTCCGAGGATCAATTCGTCTTTTGTCATCTTATCAACAATTCAAATTTAATTCATGTTGTTTCTGTTATTATGATCAGAATCTGTAGTTCTTACCAAGGTATATGTTCAACTCAATCTACATGGCATTCTGAAATAGTTAAATGTTTTTGAGGCTTTTAGGTTCGTGTGACGGAATCGCATCTACATTATTATTTCAACTAGTTTCTTCACTGTAAAAAACTGTGCGGCTCTGGTTTTTTTTTTTTATTTATTTTTTTTTATATATACAAAGGTTTCAATTAGGCGTTTTACTTCATTCACCACTGGTTTTTCCCCTTTCATTTAACCAGACAAGGACAGCTTATTTTTGAAAATGGACAAAGACAACTGGAGCTCGATTTCACTATTCTACCTGATGCCACCCCTGAGAGGGACGAAGCCTTCACCGTCCGCATTTACAATGCGTCGGGAAAAGCGATTGTCAACAGTCAGAAGCAAGATTTAACCATCAACATTTTATCCAATGACGGTGCATTTGGGCGAATAGGCTTTGCTGCCGACTCGCTCAATAGAGTTCAACCAGAAACAGGTTATGATTCCGTGGTTACTTTTGTAGTGATCAGAGAGTATGGAAGCCTTGGGCGTGTTGTGGCACAGTGGAATGTTTCCGGGAATTTCAGTGACGGAGATCTGAGTCCTTTGTCTGGAGAGCTTGTGTTTGAAGATGGCCAAGTCAGTCAAAATATATCAATAACTGTCCACAAGGACGCGGTACCAGAGCTTTTGGAAGTTGCTTATGTCAGGTAAGGGCCTCCTCCTATGAAGCTGTTAAGCGGGAGAATGCTGTCGTCTCTTCAAATATCCCGGCTACCTACCTGCTTTTTTCGTCCCGTTTACCGGAATCTGGAACGTGGTAGCGGGGCTGGCCAGCCTCGTCATCTTTGAAATTTAAACTTTTTGTGAAGGAACAAAACGTAGTTGATACCAGATCAGTTGGTTGAAAACCTTCACTTCTGGCTTTCAATACCTATTTGCATATCTGTTTTTTCCTCTACTTGGGTTTTTTTTAAAATTTGATTTTTATTTTGTTATTGTTTGTTTGTTTGTTTGTTTTTTAACCCGGACTAGTTTATTTCCTATTGATCTCTGATCTTGACATCTCCTGTTTACTCTTTTAGACTCCTCCGCCTCACAGAAACAGGGTCATTAGATGCAAACCGTGGTGCAGTTCTGAACTCTGCTCGAGTAGTCGCCATGTTGGTCATCCCTGCTAATGATGACCCATACGGTGTGATCGGGTGGAAAAACGCTCTTCTCATTTCTCAAGAAGACGGTCCCAAGAACATTACCTTATCTGTCGACATCATGCGATGGTTTGGCGCTATAGGAGACATTTTGGTGTCGTACGAAACTGTTCAGCTTCCCAGTGTGAAATATAGCGACGATCGAGTGGCTTTAGCTGGTGTTGATTTCAAAGCAATGAGCCATACTGTGGAAATTCCAGCTGGACGAAACTCCACGCAAATAACTCTGGATATAGCGCATGTAAGTTAAGGAAGCTTTGTAAGTTGCTTAAAGGGTGGTTAGTTTAAGCTCGCTACACATTAAGCGGAAATTCGCTTCGAAAATTCGTTGCGATAAACTGCTTCAAAACATTTTTTCCCGTTGCGATAAACAATATCGAATTGTGCGACGACACAACGATTTTTTATGAGAGCATTAGGAAGAATACATTCCTTGTTACAGTTATGTGACCTGTTTTGTTTTGTCTTTTAGTACAACGAAACAATGTTAAACAGCATCTTCCATGTGAACATTACCGCTGTAACACTGAAGCAAAGTGTTTTGGTTATGAATTCTCCTCGTGTCGATCAGAACTCTCGTTTACTGGAAGTCGTGATTGCCCAACCCAACCGAACAGTAGGGGAACTCAACTTTGACCTCAGTGCTCTGCTTGACCCTGCTACAAAGGCCATCCAGTTAGAAGAGGGAGTGGAGATGTTAAACATCACAGTACAGAGAACAGGAGGTTCTTCAGGGATTGTAGGCTTCCGTTTCATCGCTCGTCCTTTCAGCTCAAGCTTATACACTGCTGCCGATAGTGCGGATTTCTCTCCAAGCGAGGGAACTGTCATGCTTGCTTCAGGAGAAACACGTGCCGTTTTAAGAATAAATATCACCGATGATAATGTTCCTGAGATTGAAGAGGGTTTTTTCGTTCAGATTAGTCGTCCAAAAGGAGGTGTCATGATTGGTGGAGTCAGCAAGGTGGATGTCATTATCAAGCCCAACGATGATCCATATGGACTTTTTGGGTACGCTGAGTATTAATTTGACGAGAGGAAGCATTGATCATTATTACATTGAGTACCTTTCTTTGCAGGGGAATTAGTTGAGAGAAATTTTATATGCTCGGTATTTTCAAGCGGAAAGGCGCAGGCTTAGCTACAACAGCGGTTTTAACCAGAAGATTATTTATAAAATTGTGAAAGATGCTTTCTCTCTCTTGATGATTTTCATTTATTCTTTTTTGGTCCTAACAAAAAGCTTTGTTCTTCGTTGATTTGGTCTTTACTGAATTAATAAACTTTTAGAAAAGTTCGTACTAATGTTACGTATTAAAACCCATCTTTGATCTTCAGCTTCACAAAAGCAACTTCCGAAAATATCAACATTGTACAGGAAGGATCCATTTTGCAGCTTGCAGTTATCAGGGAAGCTGGTGCTTTTGGAGACGTGCACGTCATCTGGAGACTCACGCCTAACGCCGGAATTGTCAATGCGAGCACGCAGATCTCTCCAATGAATGGCTCACTTACTTTTAAACAGGTGGATATTTGCCGACAGTTCCAATGACTCTTATTAGAACTTGAGTTGATCTTTAGTAATCTTATGATTATCTTTTCATCTTTTCCCGCTGTTTTCGTAACTCTTGATCTGCATGTATAGATATTTTTGAAACGAAGGATTTTCTCTATTGTTTGGCCAGTAGGCCTACAGGCCTTACCGACCTCCTATTTATCGTTGACATGATTTTTTTTTGGTTGGTTTGTTTGTTTTTACCGCATGTGTTAAGTTGATATAAGTTTTACACATAAATAAAAACGATTATGTCTGTGATTTATAAAAGAAGTCTTGAAGTCGACCCTAAAAGCAATAAGTTTTCAGTAACAGTTGATCAGCACAATCCTACGGGAGAATTACTCGTTTCAGATAAAATTTTCTTCATGGTGGCCAAAAAAATCTAATCATGCAAAACAATGCAAGGAACAGGAACAAACAAAACAAACAAACAAACAGACAAGTAGTAACGCCATGATTATGTCAATGTTTTCAGGGAGTCACATCTCAGTTCATCACGCTCCGTGCACGTGATGATATGATAGCAGAGGTGGGTCAGACGTTCACATGTGAATTGGTCAGCGTCGACAATGGCGGGAAACTGGACTCAACTCTGAGTCAATCCAGAGTTCATATCCCAGCGAACGACGAAGTGGAAGGAATTGTGTCGATTGACTCGTCAACAAGATTTATAATAGCAGGAGAACCAATGCTGAATCATGGTGGAGTGTTTGTAGTACGGTTAGTACGCTTGACGCTAACATCCTCTTTTATCTCTAAATACCCCTTTCTAACCGATTTTAAGGTGTGTACCATGGTAAGGACTGAGTTTAAAGGTGAACCCTTTATAACTTAACATCAATATGTATATTCTCTATACTATTCCGAACATTTCCATCGTGCTGACTTGGAAAACTTGATAAACCATCAAGAGCTTCTTTAGTTGGCGATCCGTGCCTTTATTCACGTGACCTTAAAGTTTGTTTCAGAGATGATGCTGTAAGGAGAAATAAGTTGTTGGTCATTCCGTGGGGTTAAAGCATTGATAGCTGGTCCAATTTGATGAGCTGCCTTATGTGATTGTAACAAAGGTAGTGTTTTACTTACTCTGTGCATTTTCTAACATGCTCTGTTACGTTTATCGTTTAGGTTGCTCCGTCGAATTGGTCAGTCTGGCAAAGCTCAGGTCACGTGGTCGATCACTGCTAATTCGCCTGGTGACGCTCCTAGTCCTGCTAGCACTTTTAACGTGACGTCCGGTACTGTTGAAATGCCAGATGGCATGACAATGGTCATGCTTCCTATTATGGTGAGCAAACCAAGAAAATGTCATGTTTTGTCGTGCATCCTCCATATTCATCTGCTAATTTTTTTCTGCAAACGCACGCGAGAAACGACCTTCCGTATTGTATCAACTAGTTAATGTTGTTGTTGGTCTGAATAGAGTTTGTCGATAATAAAATAAACTTCATTACACTTTTATCATAACTACTTTTAAGTTAGAAATCAAGGAAGAGTTTCCTTATTAAGAAGTTATACCGGAAGTTTGCGACACACCAGTGGACTGGATGAATTCGATTTGATAACTACGTTTTTTCTGGTTTTGAAACTAGTAATGTTTCTTATTTTAGTTTCTTCTTTACCTAATTGTAAGTTTGTGTACAGCCAAGTAAAAGACAAACGTAAATACAAAGATAAGACCAGAAAGTTGTCACACATAAACATACAAATGGAGAGTGTAAACAGCTCGATTGAACACATACCCATGAAGTATTTGCACGATCTAATAACCTTCATCGAAGATGCATGAAATATGATTTCATTGATGGTATCCACTTGAATAGGTAAAGGACGATTCTACACCAGAAGAGCTAGCCGTGTATAATTTTGCCCTGACTGGCTCTAGACAGACAAGCCTCGATCCTTCGCAGAGTGCGCGCAGGGCACAGATTACTGTAGTTGCTAGCGACGATCCATATGGAATCATCGAGTTTCAGTCGGCTTCAATGCGAAATGTCAGCGAAGATGTTGGCTTTGTCAATCTTACTGTCGTAAGAAATGGCGGTAGCATTGGCGAGTTGTCGGTTAACTATAGCGTTTCGTCGACCACTGCCACCAAAGGAAGTGATTATGACTCGTTTGGAAATGGTATGTGAAAATATCTTTGTTGGTTTTGCTCATGGTGGTGGAAATGACGAAAAGCATGAACTCATATGTTCGTGGAAACAGTTCAACGTTTACTCTTTTGATAACAGTTGACACGAAACCTCCCATTTGATAAGACAATGCAGCAAACGTTTGACTAACATTGCCCAGTAGCTTTTGAATGCTGCAGACTTGTCTTGTGCAAGACGAGCCGTCTCTATTTCCCTCTGAAGAATGTGTGCGCTGATTGAAAACCGATAATTCGGTCTTATCGAAATGTCGTTTTTCTGTAATTGATTCTTTAGTCCTTTTAGGCCAGTCAAGTATTCCCGAGCTATAATTCTTAAGAGAGGGGGCTTTTAAATTGTTTGTATTTTTTCTGAGTTTTAAGTTAAAACCTTTTTTTCAGTGCTCAAGTTCGCTGATAAAGAAGACCAAAAGACTATTCACGTTCACATCAAGAAGGACAATAAACCTGAACTCGCCGAAACTGTCACAGTTGAGCTGCTTAGTGTAAAACTTGTTTCTGGGTCGCCCAAGAATTACAGCTCTGTCGATGGATTGCCTCTAAACACAGCACCAAGGATCAGCCCAGCTAAAGACAAGGTCCTGATTGTTATTGCTGAGAATGACGACGCTCGTGGAAAAATACGCTTCACACAGAGTTCTCAACTGGTGCGGGAAAAGAGTGGAGCTGCGGTATTGGAAGTCGTTAGAGAAGGTAAATTAAGATCAAAGACTGGTTTCATGTTTGAATTTAAATTAAAATCGAACTTTAGCAGGGTAATTTGGTCGACTTACGTTTTTAATTTTTCTCTCATGAAGGTGGTAGCCTCGGAGCTGTAGAAGTCTCATTTTCAATCAGGAACGGAACTGCCTTCCTCGGTGAGGATTTCAAGGAAGAAGGAGGCATTGCTCGACTCTCTGACGGGCAAACATCGGCATTCATAAACGTAACAATCATCGACGATGCTGTCCCAGAGCAGCGTGACTACTTCACTGTCACGCTAGACTCCGTGACGAGTGGCGCCAAGTTAGAATCTCCGACGACTGTGACTGTTACCATAGAAACGAGTGACGACCCTGGCGGACTGTTCGGCTTTGTAAATAGTTCTGAGCTTTCACTTGTTAATCCGAGCAAGTCCAAAGATCTGAATTTTGTTATTCAGCGAGAAGGTGGAGCCGAGGGAGAGGTGGAGGTGAGTGAATCCATGATCGGAAAGCTAACCTTTCTAAATGATTACCGTCCAAATAGTCGGTGGTTAGCTGTAAGAATTTTGGTTTTGAATCTAACCAAGAGAAAATGGGGGAAAGAGGAGAAGGATCCTGGCCTCTCACTTGAGATTTTTTTTTATTCCGTCTAAATTCCATATAGATAGTCTTTCGAAAGGAAGATTATTCTCGGAGATGACTAAATCAAAACTAAACTCAAATTGTTTTCTTAAAAAACAGGTTTTGCTTATTCATCTTGGTGAAAATACTTGTAACGCAGTGTAGTCGTTTGTGTTACGATGTGGATTGGGAAGTTTTGAATTGCATACTGCGAGTCTTCTTCAGGTCGTAAGGTCCACTGGATATGTCTAACATTTTGAACCTTCATGCTCAGCTTTGAGAATAATCGGCATCGGAAATGACTACAATCACTACTTCACTACATCAAGAACCAAACCTTTCATTAAAGGTAAACTCGAGTTAATTTTTTTTATGCTCTAGGTGAGCTGGAAGGTGATTAGAATCCACCCCGCGTGCGTTTCTTGTTCAGTGCGCGACGACTTTGAAGGGCCTACCGATGGATCCAGTGTGTTTCCTGACAATGCTGTAGGAGCTGTGCGGACTGTCAAACTTCGTGTGAGACCTTACTTGGGTGAGATTACAGTTACATAAAATACCAGTATTTAAATATAGGAAAGGAACCGATTTTTCTAAAGGCAGGAACGGAATCAACGATATAGCTTTTCATATCTTTCCTCGATTTCCGTTCTGCAGACTAATGGTTTATGGGTTGAGTGTTATACGAACTGAGTCACCGAGCTCGAAGGTATAAAAATTCTGAGCTCGGAGGCATAAAAAGGCCCTTTTTCTTTCTTTTTATTTTAAATTCCGAGAAGGAATTTGATCGAAAAAACACTGTGTTCTTAACCTTTGAATGAGGTACAAGTGTCAAACTGATCTTCACGTGTGATCTAGGATTTTAGTCACGGTAAAGGTTCTTGGTTAGCTTAATAGTCTTTTGAATAGCCTTACATATACATATGAGGCCCTTCACTCTTTCAGGTTTTGTACGGATAGATATTGAGAAATTTTCGAGACTTCAGTCAAGGATCATAACAAGCGTCCTATGTTAAAGTATTTCCCAAGAAAGACTAGAAAAGCTAGCACTTTTGATGAAAATTACACCTTTCGTTTCGCTGATGTTTTGTTTTGTTAATGTCTCAGGTTTTGACGAACCTGAGGAGCGGTTCATTTTATCAATCTACAAAGTGTCTGGTAATGGAACAATTGACGGCTTGACATCAAACATCACCATTATCATTGCCAAACATGGTTTCCCAAATGGAGTGTTCGCATTTCAGAGCACTGCTACTCGGACTTTCGATGAGCCAACGAGTGGAGTTGAAACTCATCAGTTTACAGTCGAGAGAACGAACGGCACTCAAGGAACAGTTAATGTGAGTATTATATGTAAAGTTTAGAGCCATTGTCGATGGGTAGTCGAGAATTATTCGGAATTGCTTGTGCTTCCAGCTTGACCATAAATCGCTGGCATTTCAAGGTGTTAATGTTCATTTATCTGGAAGAAAAATTATGCTTACAGGATTGGTTTCTTCAAACCGTATTTGGGTGGCCTTTAATTCCATTTGGAGCGAATTTCTTGCAACAACAACTTAAAGTAACGCAAACAAGGAAAATTGGAGTTAATGGGAGCCCAAACAAAGAACAAGATAACAGCTTTAAGTGCTGGAAAACCCAAATGACCTTGGTTTTAGTTTGTGCGTTTGATTTTCGAGGGAGTTGTGCGAGTTTTCCAAACCAATTGTAGAGAGACGCAAGGGAAAGCTAAAACATTCGCAGTTAACGTTTGATACTACTTTCAGAGCCACCAGCAGGTTTCGGGAAAACATTTCAATCTTTTATAAATTTGAGGGTTAATTGTCAAAGGCAAAGTCGATTTTGCGGGTAATTATGCAGGATTATGCAACTTTTAGACCAACCAAAGTGTGGAATCGTGGTTTTGTTTTCTTGATATGTGCTTTTAAAGTAATCTAACACTCAGCACACTCGCTCAAGCACAATCCTTTTTAACAGGTCTTGTGGCAGGTAACCAGTCCAATAGGTTCTCCGCGGTCACGTGACTTATCAAGCACTTCTGGTACAGTGATCTTCAATTCTGGGGTTTTCTTGAAGAACATTTTTGTTGAAATCAAAGCAGATGACGTTCCTGAGCTGGAAGCTGTTTATACACTATCGATACTGTCTGTAGATGGAGGTGCAGATCTTAGCTCGTCAGCCAGCAATGTCACATTCAAGATAAGGTTAGTAGGCATTGTTTCGTCTTTTTTATTTTTGAAACTCTTTTGTTGTTTTTGTCTGGATCACTGGCATTGTGTTATAGTAATGTATGGCACTTTGATTCTGTTAAATATAGTGTTCTTGTGATTATTGCCATTCTAGGCCAAACGATGATCCTCATGGAATTTTCAAGCTTCAACCAGGTGCGCAAAAGATTCAGGTCTCCGGAAACAGTCGGGAGTTGCAGTTTTCTGTGATGCGCGATAAGGGGACGTTTGGTGCTGTTGATGTACAGTACGAGGTGCGGCACTCTGATGGCTACCCTTCGGACGTACAAGGAAGTGTGACGGTTCCCGATAAGCAGAGCCAGGTAACGAGCAAAAATCAATAGAATTTCTTTTTTTCGCGAGTCTGTTCCCAAGAATGGCAAGTGCTTCACTGGTATTTCTAGCACGTTTTGACGTCTTTTGTGATCATTGTTGTCAAATGACACAAGAGAAAATGGAATCTATCTGTCTTATAATGAACTTAATGAACTTGATTTTGGCTTCGTTGTGCTCGTGTGTCAAAGTGTTTTGAAATTGCCAGGGACCTTTCTCGTCTCAATTTTGGGTTTCAATTTTCTAGGTTTGCTTAAACATTTTTTTTTTGTCATCTTATTTGTTTTTCGATATTTGTGAAAGTATCGTAAACATTTCAAGCTAGTGAACTACCACGAAAAAATTATAATAATTAAAAAATGAATAAATGAAATGTTGTCAGCAGTGTACTACTGTGTGCTGAAGGATCACAGGAAATGACCAATCGCAGAACGCAAAGGGTTAAGCTAATTTCATGAATTGAACCTGAAATTGCTAGGAATGGCGCGGCGTTCAGAGAGCTCTCTTCTAACCAGTTATGCACGTGTTCAGTTTTCGGGGCCTAAGTCGCGTGTGACTTGTGATTTTAACGGTAAATACTTTTGAATTTTTCTTGGCTATTAGGGTTCGGTAAGTGTTGCCTTGACAACCTTCTTGGCGCTGGGTTCCGCGTTTACTATTAGACTGACTGGAGTTCGTTACAATGATAATCAAGGTAAGTTGGTAGCCCTGCGTTGTGATGCCTCTCCAAAAGTGAGATTTGTCATAGAAATGAATTAACGTTATGTATCTGTGTCTGTTCAGTTCCAGCCACTTCAATCACCCCTAAGCTATCAAGCAGCTTGCCAAATGACATTAATGAGACAGTTGTGGTGCCAGAAAATGCAGCCAATGCTGTGTTCAAGTTTGCTGATGAATCTTTGAGACTGACTGTGGATGCAGGTCCGTTAACAAACATTTCTTTGTTTTGCGCAATTGTAGTATAGCTTCTCAGATGAACCTAATGGATCCCTTTATAAGTAGGCTTCAAAGGGTTTCGTTACAGGTTTTTTAGTCGATTCAGCTGCAAGGAAATTGCATAATATTAGCATTGTTTAATAATGAAGCACTAAGGTGACTGTAGAGTCTAAGGGTTGAGAGGACTGAGACAGATTGCAAAACACCTAATTGAAAAGTCCACCGAGGTAAATTTACAGCAGCGACGTTGGTCTTCTTGTGATATTCGTGACTTGTGATATATGGAATGTGCGGAATAGGGCACTAAGTTAATGGGCCACGAACATATTTCTAAGATTCTTGGAACACCTGATACAACCCCGATGTAACCAGCGCTTTCTGCAACGGATCCCTATGATAGCGAAGCTCTGTTTTAACGCATCGATCACAAGGTTACATTTTGGTCTTCTAGATTTTCTCGTTTCGCGTTTCTGCTGTATTTCATTAACTATTTAGTGAATAGGAATCATAATGCTTTACTCCTCTTTCCCCGTAGGTAACAGTGTACCGTCGATCAAAGTGGTACGCACCGGTTTGTTTGGAAGTGCTGCAGTCAATGTCAGTTCTGGATTTCCGTTTAAAGCCTTTGATGGTTTTGTGGCGGGAAAAGTGCTTCCAGCCAGCCAATTATTGTCATTCACTGGATCGAAAAAGGAGGATTCGTTCTCGGTTCAGGTGAGTTTTCTTAAGGGCACTTGAGTGTGTCGTGTTACCTTTACATCATAACTGACTAAAGAAAAAATAAGGAGTGGTATTCTCTTACTGAAGGTATTTACAAGCCGTTATAGTTGGTGCCAGAGGGCTTAGGTTTTTATATCTTGTGTTGCAAGCGGTTTTTCTCGCACACGATAGAGCAACCTTAATTTTATATTCTCTTTCTCATTCGTCTCCGGGCTTTGCCGTTCAACATTTTTTTTTACTGTACATCGTTTTGTTCCAAATGATTTTATCTCAAATTGTTTTAAAATTTTTCACAACTGGAGTTTCATATGTCAGAGAGTAAGTCTTTTATAGCTTTAATTGGAATTTTTGTCTCATATTTGCAATCAGTTAGTTTGTATCATTCACTTTACTGAGGAGCGCTCTTCTTAGTGAAGGAATTTATAGCTTTTGTCACATTGATTAATATTTTCCTGTGATTGTTGCTAGGTTTATCCAGTGATTGTCCCTGATAAAAAGCTAATTTATTCCGTGTTCTTGGCCTTTGCGAAAACGCCAAGTGCTGTCCCAGGGGGCGCAACGGTCATGGTTGGAGCCAGTCAGACAGCTTTCATTGAGTACAGCGGAGTCGTCGAAGTTGCTCCTGAGTCACAACATCTAGCAGCCACTGAAGGTGGAAAGGTAAACATTTCTGTGGAATATTATAACCCTTTGTGTTTCTACATCGTATTCGTTGTGACGTGTTGTTTACCGGCTGCTTTAACCCTTTCACTTCCAAGATCTCGATAGTTATTCTCCTTGGTGTCTACCAATTCTCATGATGTTTGTCCGGAGAGTCTGGTTTTGATCAACCGATAATCGTATATTTGACAGTTTCCACTATTCTCATTACTTGTTACTGTGGTGATTTTGTGAAGAGAATCTCTGTCTTGGTCGTTTATGGGAGTTAAAGAGTTAAACGTCTGTGTTCTGTGTCTGTTTCTCCGTGTTTCTATAGAAAAAATCTGTGCTGTTACAGGCTCTCTCTACTCTTGGGAGTAAGACTGAGAATTGGCAAATTGTCAGGGGGAATCTCTCGAAATTCTGAAGGGGGGGGGGAGGGAGGAGAGACTGAGGAGCCGAGGGGCCTCGGGTACTCCTAGTACTCATAACGATGGAGTAATAGCCATATGTGTCGTGTTTGACTTTTCAATTACTTTCTGTAGGTAACATGCAGAGTTGTCCGTCAATTTAGTGTGTTGGGCGCGATTAAGGTGGATTACACCTTCCAAGGTTCCTCGGGTAGTGTCAACATGGCAAATGGCGAGTACAGTAAAGAATTTGAAGTCACCGTGGACGATGGAAATTCTGATCCGCAGAAAGATCGCACACTCTTTCTGAACTTAACTTCAGTGACTGGAAGTATGTATCTCTTTGCTATCTTCATGAATTACCTTCGTTTATGTTCAGAACAGTTACTTCCAGAAAAATTTTCGAGGCTGAATAAGCTTTCTTCTGTTCTCTTTTGAGGAAAACTCTCTTCTGTCTAGAGGGCGGTTTGTGTTTAATTATTTTGAAAGTGACAATTGTGGGGTGGTATTTAATCGAATTGACGATGGACTGTGGTTTATTAACAAGGGTATATTCATTGGCATGGATACATCATCATTCGCAAGATACTGAGTTTGTAACTGTGAAGGCGTGCGTAACTAACGAAGTCACGCTCTGCCAGGTTGTGGAGGACCTCACTTTCAATCTCTGACTTTTTCAGGCGGTTCACCGCGTCTGGGTGTGAACAGGACTGTGCGTATAACAGTCAAAGACAATGACGACCCTCAGGGAATCTTCAGTTTCAGCAATACTCGTATAACAGTCCCAGAAAACGCGACCGGTGGTAAATCTCGCATGGTGGAGCTGGAAGTGCGTCGAACTAAGGGGACGTTTGGCGCTGTGTCTGTTCTTGTAAGGACTGTCGGGGGTGGGGAAGGTTGGAGCCCCACTTTGCAGTCGTTGAAAGAGGCCATTGCAGCGAAAAAGGGAGAGAAGAACGCCACGGCTGGGCCGGATTACGTGCCGCTCTCAACACGAGTAAACTTTCCTGTAAGAGTTTTTCCTTTTCATGTTCTTGAGAGTTTGGTGAAAATTAAGAGGCGGTGCTGTAGATAGAGAATTTAGGACGAAAATGGTCTTCTTTCGTATTGTCTTATGTGACGTTTTGGTCAAATTTTGTAGGATCAAGACCCAATACCAGCTAACGGACAAGTAAGAAAGGTACTACTGGAGTTAAAAGATGATGAACTGCCTGAACCGGAGGAACAGATTTTGGTTTACTTGACAGATGCCAGCGGTGGAGCTAGAGTTGCTACTGATTCCGACAGTGGGCTACAGGTATAGAGAAAACACATCGCTGGTCAAGTCATGTTTGGTGATGAATAAAATTTGATCTGTATTTTATTTTTGTTTAGTCTTGGGCCACAATCACTATCGAAGGCAATGATCTGATGAACGGAGTGATAGGATTCGTGCCTGGATCTCAGTCAGTAACTGTAGATGAGGATGGACCGAGGAGATCAGCTACACTCAAAGTTCAAAGATCGAAAGCCACGTTCGGTGAAGTTCAGGTATGCAACTCTAAGTATTTGAAAAGAAAGGTGTAACTCTAACTCTGTAGCGTTGACTGTGACTTGTAAGGGGAAGTTATGCAAATTTCTGTTGGATAACAACACCTTCGTTTCTTTTTCTTGCTGTCCTTTTTGTCCTATTTTTTCCAGGAATTCTCTCTTACTATCAACTCAACTTTTATGGCTCATTTTCCTAACTTTGAAGGAATTATTGATGGTTACTAGTCTTCTTCTTTTCTTAGCTTTTTTAATTTCTTGGCAAAAGGCAACTGTTTTTTCCTCTACTTCTATACTCTACTATTCTTTATTTGCTTCTTGTCGTTAAGGCCTCTCTCTGTCAACCTGGTTGTCTTCCGGATTCTTTAGTGGTAGGTAACCTCGGCTTTTCATTTTTCCTGCTCCTGTTGTAATTCCATGACATTTCCACGAACTCATTCAAACTATAAGCTATCTTCAAGCAGTTTCTTTCCATAATATGATTGGAAAGATTACATATTAAGAATTCACAGCTTAATTGACGTCTTTCGCTGCAAATGTAGAGCTCTGAAGTTGAGCTAACGCTCGAAACGTCAGCTTTAAAAGCTCTCTACGGTGGCCAGTTTACATTATTAACTCATTTGATAGAATCAAATTATCTCATACACCCAACGGACGCGGTACCACAGTTTCTATAGAAACGTACCCCTTGCACTCCGTTCTTGTTGGCTTTCCAATTTTTCTTTTTCTTTTTTTCAAATTCTTTATCCCAAGCTACCTAACTAGAAAATAACCTTCTCTTTAAAAATATTTTAATGATGTTTTTGGATATTATCTTGCTATCGTTGTTTTGTTTGTTGGATTCTTGCGTTCTGTTTTCAGTTTCTTTGGGAAATGCTACAAGAATTATTTGTCATTAGAAGTTAGGAGCCGAAGGCTATATACCTTACTTAGCGCAACTGATTTATGAAAAACGAATTTTGATACTGGAAATAAAAGTTGTATGTTCTCTAGACCATACTTATTTGCAATCGTAATTTCTTGTGCTAAGGTTTCGTGGAGTGTTCGTGAAAGTGAGTTTCGTGACCAGGTCGAAGCGTCTGAAGGAAGAGTTAGATTTGCCAGTGGTGTGCAGCAGCAAGATCTTGTCATCACTATGAAAAATGATGCTGTAAGTATTCCTTAAACGCAAGATGTATTGATCAGTTGGCTGGCAGCCCCCCTCCCGCTCCAAATGGTATTGCGTAAAGCTACCCATAAGTTTATGATGTAATCGCAATGTTTTCACTAAGAAACATTGCATTAACACAGCCGGGTATAAAGTTGGATAGTGACTACGAGTTGGTGAAAGGTTAAGTGTTCCAAGAGTTTTACGGTAGGTTGAAGAGAACTAGATATGGTCTTATTTTTTTTTAAGCACTGCGCAAACGTTACGAATATGTTTTTCGGTAATCCAAGAAGTAATTTTATCGCGAAGAAGTTTGGTGCATAGCACTCTTCCCATCCTTCCAGTGTTGTTTGCGAGGTTTTTTTTTCTCTGGAATTATTTCGAACGAGATCTCCATTGATTTCTAGATACCTGAGCGGGCCTCCAGCTTTCATGTGGATTTAAATGATATTGTAAGTGGCAGCCAAGCGCGAATTAATCCTCAGTTCCGTTCTGCGGTAATCAATGTTCTGGAGAGTGACTACCCCAATGGAACGGTCGCCTTCCACAAGGACACCGTGTAAGTTGTTCTCCCGTTATTATTTATTTAGTTATATATTTATTTAAATATTAACAAATCAGATGTAGTTATTCTCGTGTAAGACTAATTTTTTCATGATGTTATGCAAAACGAAGAAGGTTGGAGCAACTACATCTGTAAATGTATGTTGTTGTTCCACTTTTGTTGTTGATGCTGTTGCTGTTGCTGCTGCTGTTGCGTTATAACATTCCCATGTATATCAGTTTGATTATAATCATGTCACACAATGGTTTTTTGTTTGATTGTCTTGATCTGCACTATCCAACTTTAACTAGAGGTTTGAGTTTCACTTGGCCTCACTGAGTGACAAAACCACAAAACCGCAAAACCACACATCAAATCACTTTGCGATGTAAATTATTCTGAAACGGTCTCGTACGATTACGAATCATATCATCGTTGAAATTCCTTCTTTTTGTCTCTCTTAGCTACACAACTGTCGACAAGACTGCTACCGAAATCTCTCTTCAGGTCATCCGGAACCATGGGAAAGACAATGACGTTACTGTTTACTTCAAAACACGCGATCTTCCTGATAGATTCACTTCAAAGCCAGGCCTGGAGACCTCCCAAGCATTCGCTGGACAAGATTACGTGAAGCCTACTGCCACTTCCATAAGATTTACAAAAGGAGAAGTAAGTTTGCTGGCTGATCAATTGTTTGTGACTGACCGTATTTGCCAAAAAAAAAACATGATTAGTGAGACCTTGCTAAGCAATGATTTTTGCATGTTTGTGCCATATACAATACCTGAGAAAAAAAAAAAGAAAAAAAAAAAACCTTTGTCAGTCTCGAGTGTTTCCCGAGCATATATTTTTCCTTTTCTCCGCAATCGAAAGTGGTTTGTTTGATTTTTACAAGTGACAATCGATTGAAGATGGGAAGTTGGAATCCAATGCACAGAATCAGCTTCACACCACTCGAGCCTCACTAAGAACATTATTGTCACTACTAGAGGGACAGGAAGATGCCAACGTAAAGTGTAAATTTTGTTTCTTTATCATATCTTTTTAGTGGGGGCGCAGTGTAGCGTCATTTTTTAGTTAAGGAGGAAGAGTAAACAAACCATTTATTGTTTTTCTTTAGACGTCGCGGCTGATAACAATTGCTTTAACCCCAAGAGAGGCTTCCCCCACCAAGTACCCAAAAGCCTTTGAGGTCGTATTGCTCAACGCTACTGGAGGAGCAAAGTGAGTGGCCTGGTCATGTGTTTTCAAATGTTTAAATTTAATTATCTATTGAATTGTCCATTACAACATTAAAGCAGGTTAGTCATACTTAATACAGAGAACAATTTTTAAGGTGGCTCTGTGGGATGCATCAGTCATCCTTTCCGGGCCATGGTGTTTTCAAATAGTCATTATCCTCATCCTTTTTTCTAGGATCTTGAATGACAGTATATCCTTCGTGACGATTTCAGACGACAAAGAGACAACGATGTTCCTAAAATTGCGAGCCTTAGCCATTCAAACTCCACTTTCTGATGAAAAGATTGACGAGTAAGAATTTCCTATGACTAATTTATATAGCAACTTTCAACTGAGTGTCAAAAATAATCTGAGATTGCATTGAATAAAAGGGGGTAAGTCTCTTAGGAAACGGTGGTGCTGCGTCGGAGGGAGAGTATAACAGTGAAATTTAGTGTTGTAAACTGAGTTGATAACGTAAATTGGCCCCCGTAAAGAGTTTAAAGGCTGACATTTCGAGCGTTAGCCCTTCGTCTGAGCGATTGGACAATTTGACTCAGACGAATTAAAGACTAGGGACGAAGGGCTAACGCCCGAAACGTCAGCCTTTAAATTCTCTACGATGGCCAATTTACGTTATTAACTCTGTTGATAACACTAAACTACCCTGAGATTGCATTGGTTTTGCTTTACTTCGCTCATTGATTGGTCTAGAAAACTTGTGCCACTTTCTCAACCGATCAGATGGAAAATTAAAACCAATCACGATTTCGATGCGCACTCTGTTAGGTCCGGTGGTTATATAGGGGTCATTATTAAGTCGTTTTTAGGGTGTCGTGTTTGCTGTCATCTGTCAAGAAGAGTCTGTTCTAAGTTTGAAAAACAGCTCTCCAGAGGCGTGAGAGTAGTTCGTAAAGGAGGTGAAACTTTGAGCAATACCAGAGGCAATAGTGAAGTAAATCTGGAGCAAACTGTATTTGGCTATAATATATTGACAACTTCTCCACCTAGAGGAGCTGTGCCGTATACGAACTTACATTTCCTCAGTAGTTAATTTATTTAATTTGGTTGGAATTAAAGGATCCTCACGGAACTGAAATCGAACATACAGACAACGCTGGATGAAGACAGACTGACTCTAACAATGGACACAATTAACATCATCTTAGGCGACAAGAAGAGCCAGGGTACAGCGTAAGTATAGAGGTTGAATCAGTTTTGTGTTAAGCTTTAAGTGCTGGATAAGTATCGGTAGATCGCTGGGAGGTCTGTGCTCATTAACGTTCCGCTGGATGACTCTTTTCTATCCACGTCGACTTTATCCTCCATTGCCGTTTCTTAGCTGTTTTGTTTGCAGTGTCGTGGAGAATAATAAGAATTTAAACGCTGGTTTTTCAGGTTGAGAGACTCGTCCAAACAGCTTCTTTTAGACATCTTTGACGAATTATTGAACCCCAGTCGAGATGACACGAGGTGAGTGTTCATTGCTAACATAGTAATCCCTACACTTTGAGAGGAAATAGCGGTAGAACGGCTTTCATACTTTCTGTGACATTTAAAACTATTTCCATTCCAGTATCGAAAGTATTCCGATGTTGTACTGGCCTCTCTTTGCTTCGCTATGTGATTGGTTTAAAATAATCTCGCACCACCCTCTCCATCAATCAGATGCCGAAGCCAATCGCCACTTTGTCATGAACGTCTTCTCGCACTTTGAGCTGTTTGCTTGTCTTTAGTTTGAGTTCTTATGGGCCCCTTTGAATACTGGAATGGTTTGAAAACTTGATTTCGCAGTGACTCATTAAAAAAAAAAAAAAATCGCTATTTTTATCATTACTGTTATTCTTAAAAAAAAAAAGGAAAAGCGAAAAGAAAAAAAAAACCAATAACAATAACAATAACTTAAAGTTCGATGTGTCGTTCTACTTTGATTTTTCAGGGGTCAAGACAAACTCTCCACAGTTTTTGAAACGTTTGCATTTTCTCTAATGTATGGTTTGCCCTGCCCAGACGAGAATGGTGCATCCCTTCAGGGTCAACGCGCTACAGTGAAAGGCTTTAGACGATCGCCTTCTCAACTGAACGGGCTGAAAATCGCCGCCGGGTATGACAGTAACCTTCAAACATATGCTAGAAGCTCACATGTAACGTTGTCCTCTTAAGGAAAACGAACTCTTTGATTCTTTTAGAAAAGATCTTTAGAGGTGTATCTAACGAATGTTAGCGGTCCATGTATAAGATCCATTTTTGCGGAACCTCTTGAAGGTGTAACACTCAGATGCATAGGCCCTGGTAAAATCTTGAATCTCCATAGTGCCCCTCTCTTTCTCGATTCAGGAGTTTAAATGGGTATCTAAAAACTGGAAAAACTTCATAAACTTTCTGAGGTTACTTGCGCTGGTCTACCATCCATCTAATCCAGGGTGAGCAATACTCTTCACGCCATGGAAACCGGATTATTTAACCGCTACATAATCTTCTCATAATTTTTCTTTCGAAGGGAAAAAAGGTAACAGGAAAATATACATTTTGCACCTCCCTGTATTTCGTTATAATGCTAACTGAACCAGGCTGTTTTGCTGATATCTTATACAATTATCTCTTTTTTAGGAAAGGGGAAGATTACTTCCAGTATCCGTCACGTATGTTTTCCTCTTCATCTTCTTCATCAAGCGAGGTTTGTTTTATGTTTAGTTTGAACTGATTTGGTTGATAATTCTTTTTCGAAATAGTTACCTTGCGGTCCGGAACGATCTGACATTTTTTTCTTTTTTAGTGTAACGATGTTCACTTCATCGATTACCAAACTGCTCACTGGTTCAGCAAACCTAACAGACCTCCAGTCATCAACGAAAAGGTAAGAATCGTTTTTTTTGTCTTGAATCACAGAATTCCTTTTTTTTTTTTTTTTCCGCCAGGTATCTCGTTTTTTTCAGTACGTTTGTATTTGTCTCATTTTGTTTTTGATCTCCTTTCTGTTTTCTCGTCCTTAGCGAACTGATGCTTTCTGTGTCTTTTTTGGTTTATAATTTTTACTGCCTGTATACATATCTTTGTTTGTTTTTTCACTTATCATTCGACCTTGTACCGCTACTTTTTCCCATTTATTTCTTCTTCCTCCCATTCCTTTCTCCTTTCTCTTTCTCCTTCCCTCCACTTGCATAATATTCTGAAGCTACAATGACAAAGGTTTAATATGTTTTCCAGGTGCTCTCCACTTCATTGAATGAGACTCCATCTATTAGCAGTCAAAATCCAGTTACATATCGCATCTACACGGACAAAAAGAGAGTCACTCCCAAAGGAGCCGAGTAAGTCGCAGCTGACTCTTTGCAATCATTGTTGTCTAAATTATCCTGGACGAGGAAAGTTGTGGAAATTGTTACCAAAGTTGTAAAATTTAACTTCTGCTCTGGATAAATTCATTCATTGTTGATGTAATTGAGTAGAAACAACTGCTTTCCGTGTAATAATTTTCACATGTTTTTAATAACGTCATATCATCTTTACAATAGGGGAGGTAAGAATTCTTGTAGCCCAAAAACTCGTGCTTATGATGTGGCTCTTATGCCCTTATCTTCCCTTATATAACATGTTCATTTGGCGTCAATCGAAGTTAACATCCGTGTACGTATTTTTTTTTTCAGTTGCGTTTTTTGGGATCACTCCAAGTCAGCTTGGTCTACAGAAGGCTGCACTAAAAAGGTAAACATCTTTTTATAAAAAAGAGTAATTTTTTTTTGCATTCCTGCATGACTATGTATTGAATTTTGTGCATCATCTTTTCATGGAATATATTAATTTTGCTTCAGGGAATAGCGTCTGTTAAGTTGAACTAGTAGAAACTTCTTGTATGAATCAGACATTTTTTGGTATTTTATCTGACTAACAGTTTTCCAAATTTATATTGAGGAATAGTCATGTTGAATAATATGCTCTGAACCATTTTGATCAGTGGTGTTAGTAATACAAAGGGTGAATATTGTGGTGATGATTATTTCCCTCTTCAACAGAGCGACAAAGCTGAGTACGTAGAGTGCCAGTGTGATCATCTGTCGATCTTTGCAGCTCAAGGGGAGAGCGACAACAGGACTGGATATAAGATTTACTTTTTCATCGTCTGCTTTGTCTGTATGGTATGTTATACAAACTTTTATTTTTATTTCTGAGATGGCGAGGTTTCCTTGAAAAAGAAGAACCGTGGAATTTTCTTGGTGATATTCTCCCTTGAGAATATCTTTAACCGCAAAATTGTGAAGATGCTTACATCAAGAAATTCCTGTTTTCCTAATAGGAAATTGAAATTAACTTCTCTCTTTTTTTCTGCTATTAGGGAGCGTTTTTCGCCGCCTTGGTTATCCACCACGCATGCTCTGTCGAGAACATGTTTGCTGCCAAGCTATTGATTCATTTGTTTTTCGCTTGTATGATGGCTCAGGTGAACAATTTGTTTTGATACTTCTGCTACATATGTTTATAGGAGCGTTTGTTTATTTTAAGCAGCAATATAAGTAAAGCTGATGCTAAGTCCATTGACGTCGGCTCGAACAGCTCAGGGTCTGTGCGCTATCATTTCCGTCGTCTTTGAGGTCCTAATAAACGTTTCTGCTTTTAATTAAACTTATATTAAACGGTAGCTTCTTGCTCTGTTTCAGTTGATGTATGTTCTGGGCGCGTATCTTAGCCCGGAATTAGTGGAGGAGCCTACTCGCTGTTCAGTTTTGGCCTTGTTCATTCATTACTTCTTCCTTTGCCAGTTTTCTTGGATGTTCATTGAGGTATGATAATTTTTGAACAAGTGCAAGGAATATTTAATATTTGTGTACAGCACAACAACTACACTAAGGTTTTGCTCATACTTGCCCCACTGTTTCTGCAGTAGGAACTGGTCTTTATAACATTCATAACATAAAAAGAAAAAAGAAGATATAGCTATTACGTAGTTCAAAAAATGAGAAAGCTGTGATAGGGCTCCACGCTGGTTCTCTAGTAAAAGTGTATTCACCTTTGCGGCAATCAATACAATGGTAAGCCTATTTTGGGCTGAAATATTGAGATAATTTTTTTTTAAACCACGTAACAGTGTTTGTGAATGAGATACATGTAATGAGGCTATTTATGTTTTTGTGCTTTTAGGGATGGAATCTATGGCGCGTCTTCGTTTTGAATGACGAGCACACCGACAGGAAACTGGTTATGTTCTTGAGTGTTGGATGGGGTAAGTGCTGATTCTATTTAACCTTTTAACTCCCATGAGTGATCAAGACAGAATTTCTCCTTACAATATCAATATAATATCAAGCATAGAAGTGACAAGACTAAAGTAAAATATCAATGAGGGGATTATTATTTGATCCAATACCAAATTCTCCAAATTCATATCATAGGAATTTTATGGCAGACAGTAAGGAGAATCACTAATGCGATCTTGGGAGTTAATTCTCATGATCGAGTGAATAATTTTCTCCTCTTCATGCTCTATACCTTCTCTCTGATAAAATAAGAGACTTTGACGTCACATCAAGATGTGACGTCAAATAATAACGAGTTACCCGTTTATCTGTTTGTTTGTTGTTGTTATTGTTTTTTTTTATGCACGCTTGTAGTAAATGTATGATATAGAGAATGATACATGGGCGCGCGTAGATATGGAATTTCTCTTCGAGTGTTCAACTCAATAGCTTACGAGTGAGATGTCGAGTTGAACTCGAGAAGAGAAATTTCATATATACAAGCAACCATGTATCAGTTTGTTTATCTTATTTATCACATCCATTTTAAAATCACTGGTGGTCCCTGTAATGTGATTGGCTCTAATTGGTGCGATCTATTCACCATAAAAAATACCATATTTTTTCACGTGTGTTGTTACGGCTTTTCTCAGGGCTGGAAATCCTTGTGTAACACCGTAGTTTATATGGTAAATCGTTCATCAGCGAGTAGAATTTCTGTTAATAGCCTAGATAGATAGATAGTTTAATCTCAAATGCATTTGCAGCCCGAGGGCTGAATTACACATTTTTACAATCCAAGAAATTTAAAATTTAAAATTCAAAAACCTAATTACACGTCTTATTATACCAGCAATTTACAATATAATAACATGATAGTAAATTAAATAAAATACATTAGCTATAAATGTAAACTAATTAAAATAAATTTAAATTAATTAAAAGTATCTACATTATCATTATCATTATTATTACTATAATTATCACGCGTGCCGTAACAAAAATAAAGGATATCGTATCGATAAAAATCTAGCCATTAAACCTCCTTGCCATAGCAAATATAAAAGTGTTCATCGTTCTCGAAGTGCGAAGGCGTGGCATATTAAATTGGCGCTTATTTTTGAAGTTATAGCTGGGTTTATGTATGGGTGGAAGAAGCGCCTTTAACTTGTGGCTAGGGTTGTCTAAGATACCTTTAAAAGCTTCTGACATAGAAATTCGTAATGTTCTAAGATGGGTCGTATTCCTAAATCTTGAGCAACCGCGCAATCACCCGCAGTTATAATGGAAATTGACCGTTTCTCAATACGTAAAAGCTCATTCTTCAGATATTGCGGAAGTGCATTATAGAAGACAGGTATCGCGTACTCTGTTACAGATCTTACACATGATGTGTAGAAAAGTACTAGGTCTTGTAAAGGGAACCCTAGCTCTCTTTAGTTGCACTAAAAAATACAACCTCTTACTGGCCTTTTTGATTACTTCTGATATATGACTGTTCCAGGTCAAGTCGCTAGCTATATTAAGGCCCAGGAGCTTTACGCTACTAACTACCTCCAACTCTTTGCCTTCAATTACTATGGGATCAAAGAACCCGGGCCTTTTAGAAAATGAGATCCGAAGCTCTTTGCACTTATCAGAATTCAAGTGAACTCTATTTTCTCGTGACCACTCACTAACACAATCTGCTATATTTTGGGCGTGACTTTCACTCTCTTTTGGTATCATCTCCGAGGCTGTTGTATCATCAACGTATTTCCATAGTGGATACGCGATTTCAAGGTCATTTATCATAAGCACAAATAACCATGGGCCCAATTTTGTGCCCTGTGGTACTCCGGAGGGCACAGATCCCCACTCCGAAAAGCACTCCGCAGCCAGCTTAATTCTGGCTGAATTAGCGGAGGGATACAATCTAGCAATGCCTGATACGTTATGACTGACGTGATTCATCGTTTGTATTTCTCAGGGATGCCTGTTGTGGTCATTGTGATATATATCCTTGTCACTCAACTTGCCCTCAATTGGGAGTTCACTGAAGCATATGCTGATGTTCATAGTAATGGAGACATGTAAGTTGGAGATGTGTTCCTCAAATGGTTCCCCTTTTTTCTTAAGCGGCATGTTTTTTATTTTCGCCAAACTCTCAAAGAAGATTTAACCCTTTAACTCCCAAGATCTGATTGTTAATTCTCCCCTTGAGCTGCTAAACATTTCCTTGTAAATTAGTTATGAGAACTGGCGCTAGATCAACATAGCGGATTCTACCTGATAAGTTTAAATGTTCTCATTACCTGTTTGCTGAAAAATGTATGGATATTACAGGGAGAAATTTCATGGTAATCACTACTGGGAGATAAAAGGTTCAATCTTAATCTGTTATCAGCTGAAATGGTCGTTCTTTTCTCTCATCTAGTGAACTTTTGGGGCAGGTCATGGAGGGTGGGGAAAGATGGGGATTAATTACTTCAGGAAACACTAAGGCAGTCTCAATACTGATGCTGTTGCATTTAATGCCGTTTTTTAAATTTTCTTTTGATCTTTTGTGGTTCTGCTCTCAAACTCACGAGTAACACATCTCATTTAAAAGCTGTTTGAGACGACATCGCAACCTGCAATTTTTTCCCAAAATTGGGCCTAATGGGCACAAATGGCGAAAAGTATTGAACAAGAAGAAGCTCAACTTATGACTTAGAGCAAAATCACAAAAGATCACCAAGGACAGAAACAGAAAAACGCAGTTCAAACCATTCTCTGCCTTAAAAGTTTATTTGAAAACGTGATCTTCCGGTTTTGATTTTGAACCCTAGGATACTCTTCAGTTTTTTTTAAGTATAGTTTCTGTTAACATTTTTATTTTACGTTTCACCAGGTGTTTTATACCAAACACATACGCTGCTCTTGCCAGTGTTGTTGGCCCAATCCTCCTGCTGCTGATGGGCGTGGCCTTGATCTTCACACAGGCATACCTGGTCACTCCACAATGGAAACACTACGATGACATTTTCCGTGGGCATTACAACATAAAAGGTACTTAATATGAGTTTCCTCCCTTAAGAAGTTACAGTCACTCAAGAGCAGTTTTAAATCAAAATTTAATTTTCTACTGGAAATCGACTTGGATCTGCTCTTTACTCTGAGGTTATTCTAGAGCATTCGTACAATCCTCTTAACCAAGCAGAAGTAAATTAAAACCAATCGCACCCTAGTCACGCCCGCTCTCTCACGATTCAGAAACCTCATTGGCTCTTTGTGGTACGGTTTTTTAGTTCTGATTGGCCTTTCGGGTCAATTCGATTTAGAAATGCGGTCCATTAAAAGCGAAAAGATCAAAATGGAGATATAGGAGGAAGCCTTTGAAATTTGGATTTAAACAGCTTTCTCTTCTAGTTCCAGCCCCCTCAATAGCGTAGGTTCCATTTTCAAGTGATTCCTTATTTAACTATTAAAATGTTTTAATTTTTTTTTCTACCTCGGTTTAGAAATACGATATGTTATTGGACTCTTTTTTCTGATTACATTGGTGTGGTTGTTTGCTGGATTTCACTTGACCTTTGGATACGATTGGCTGCTTATTTTGTTTGTGATCTCTGACGGAATACTGGTAAGGATCCGTGACTTACTCTAAGTTTAATTTTTGTGTTAGTACTGGTGATAGGGAATTTTATCCAAACCACGGGGACGACGGCAAGAAGGACGTGGCGAAATTAAAGATCTAATGAGCAGAACAATAGCTCAGTACATTCGTTTAAAATCCTTGGACATTTCTTAGCCGTCCTCCGCAAAACAACAACGTGAAATCACCAAAATGTTTGTGGTATGAGAACCTGAACCCCGACGGCAAAAATTTTTTAAAGTTTCTATTTTGAACTCAACCCTGTTCACGAGTAAAGTTATAGCGCCGTGAGAGGCGGTAAACACGTCCAACCATTTGTGAAGTTCTGTAACTAGAAGAAGAAATTTATCTTTTTGATCGACGTCTTCCTTGGCGTTGCTTAAGGTCCCTAACGAGGCACAGGGAAAACTGAGACTTACTTCCTTAAAGATTGAAAATGTTGTGTAGCTACATTGTTTTAAAATTACACTTTTCATCCATTGGTTTATCATTACAGGCATTATACATTTTCATCTGGTATTGCTTGATGAGGAATCAGTTACGCGGTGTATTCAAGCGGTCGTTTGCATTCCCATCCATGTCTCCACCAATAGAATTACGTGACGACCTGTTTAGAGACAGCCCAAGTCCTCAACACTCCATAGCCAGCCTCAAAAGAATGAGGAATTCTCCGGACGAGCCGGTAAGAGTTAGCAAAATTCTTCACTGGACCACACGCTTTTCTTGGAATCATGGAGTTGAACCTTGTCGTCAGCTAATCCTGCAAGAAATTTGAACTAAAAATAAACTTCTCTAGAAAATTTAAAATAAAATTTAAATATCAAAGCACGCAGTTAGAATTAACTGCAAGACTCATAAAAACCGTTAACTTCCAAGCTTAAAAATATCATGAAAGTCCAGTTTTATTCATGAACTTCAGCGTGTAACCACAATAAAGTGATCAGCCACGTAGGTCCCAGCCCTCTCTCAAATCGCAGCCTTATTCTCTTCACCAAAGCCTGAAAATGCGTTTTAGATTCTAGCTAGCTGAATGATTGATAGGCATGGAATGTGGGGAACGGATATCTACACGCAGTCAATCGGCTGAATTCTTTTTTTTTTTTTTTTTTTTGAGAAAGTGGAGAAAGAAAGGATATCGATCGTTTTCAATTTTGGGCCGGTTATTTACACGAGATTTATTCCAAACTGCGGTTCTACGCAGGCAGTGGGCCTCAGGGATTCTCTCTAAGAAGGTTGATTTAATTAAATAAATGTCCTTCCAGTATTAGCTTTTGGCCCTCTTGACACTGTTCACAAGAACGAATGTTCAGATAAAAGATTCAGCTGAATTGACGAAAGGTTTGAACGCAGTTTCGTTAAACAAGGGCTAAACTTTGATTAAATAACCGGCCCTTATGTTTTCCACGGCTTTCACTAAGATTGCACAATTTAAATTAAGGTTTTAAAGCATTTTAAGAGTAAATGATGCCTTGATAGTTGCATGTCAATAACAATTATAATTTTTTATTTGTTTTTTTTCTCTTCAACCGAGTCAGGTTTATTTGACGAGAATTGAAAGACGAAGCGGATCCGTTGTTGGATATCCGATCGCAAGAGTTGTTGTTAGTTTTGACCGCATAATTTTTTTAAAATCAAGACTAGGAACCTTATTCAAAAGACTTTATTTTGCTACCTCTGTTATGGCAGATCCATGATCAAAATTGGAAAGAGAGTTAAAATTTATAAAGAAGTGAAAGATATGCGCTTATGCTCTTATTTTGCGGTTGGGAAAAGAAGTTTTTCAGTATTTCCCTTTATTTTTCTGACACGAAAATATCCTCCGTGAAGATAACTTGTGTTGCAATAAAATGAAAGGTAGCGAAATTCGTATTTGAAAAAGGTCTTCATCAAAAACCATTAACTGATTTTAAAATTAAAAAGTATCATATGAAAGTTTGTTTAAAAGGCACGTTTGCGCATACATATTGTGACAACATTTAAAATTTTAAATACTAACGATCAAAGAAATGATTTAACCTAACACCTTATTCCAATGTGGTTGGTACATTCAATCTCTCTTACGGTCACTGGATTTTTTTTGTATGTTTAATTGGTTTTTGTGTGTCCATTAACCCTAAAAGTTTAAGTGTTAATGATGCGTTGATAGTTATATGACAATAGCAATTGTAATTTTTATTTGTTTCTATGTCTTATGAGTTAAAGTTTTTAGGTTAAAATATATGTACACTGTAACTTATTATCCGTGTCATGACTCTATCTGTCAAATATTCATCTTCGATTTTGTAAACAGTGCTTTTATTATAATTTTTTTTTGCTAAATAGTTGTGTTTGGTCCCTTCGCCTTCTAGCCTGGTTGTTCAAAGGGTTGATAATGCTATCCACTGGATAGCTCGCCATCCAGTGGATAGCACAGAAGGTTTTGTTGACACGTATCCTCTGGAGAGCGATTTATTCGTTGAAGGGAATTATCCGCCCTTTGAACTGCTGGGCCTTGGTGTAAAGGTCTGAATGAACTCTGTCGTGTTCTCTCATAGCACAGATTCAGCCTCTGGAACGATCAGGTTAAACTGGTTTCTTTTTTTTAATTCCAGGCTGACTGGGACGACCTAGATTATGGAGCCACTCCAAAAGGAAGTCGCAAAATGTTCGTCAACCTGGACGACACCGATAGCCTAGGCCGAGTAAACGAGATGTACGAAGATGACGATGATACCCAAGACTTTGACGACCTAATTATTGCGTTGAAGACTGGGGGCCAATTTGAACCAACTCTGGACGAGGAAAAGGACCTGGATATGGGTGATCCGGGAGATGAACAGTATGCAATGAGAAGAATCTCTATCGCAGATACACATTTATAACAAACGCTCCAGTGTGAACATTTTTCTATTTTATTTACTCTTACTGTATAAACAGAAGCTTGATAATTGTACAGATGATGTGCTAAACCAGTATGACTGCCATGCAATAATGAATAATTCGATAAGGTTTTGTGCTTAAAATATTTGGCCTCGATTTTTCAAGTTAGTCCTTGGAATCCAGGTATTTTTTCTGATCCTTTTTAAAAAATTCTATATTGAAGTACTTTCTTGTTTTATCAAGCTAAACATTAGTCGTGTCCCTTTTACTAAATGGAAATTTATGTTTTGAAGGAATTGAATCAAATTATTTTGAAGTAGATATCTTGAAGAATTCAAACGAAACCTACCCTTAGCAACTTGTACTCTGCGATCGAAAAGCACTATGTAGCTGCCCTGCCACTTTATTTACCGCGCTGAGAGGATATTATATAAGTGTGACTTAAGATTATACTTCAACCATTCATAACATTACGAGATATTTAAAAAGAATGTCGAAATAGCTGAACATTTTAAATCAGGCCGTTTTAACCCTACATACGTTCATTTTTGGCTCGTGCTCAAAGATATATTTTCGTTTCTAGATTTTGTATCACTTTTTTTTTTATTTTTTGAAAGACCCTAAGTGGGTCTTTTTTTTTCGATTTTGTAGAAAAGTAGTAAAAACTAATATGGATAAAGATAAATTTTTGTTTAATCAAATTTAATTGCGTGTTAATATATGTAAGTATTTCTTCGAAATTGTATTTTTAAGTCTTCGCTGTAGGAACGGATTTGTGAAATACAAAAATTATCCAAATGCCTTTATTTAATGTGCTGTTTGCTAAAAGCCTGGTGCTCTCAAGAAACGCTTGTTTAGTCTAGAATGGATTAACTGAACAATGAAATTTTGCTTAATGTGGTGTGAATATGAACAAAAGCGGAATAATACATTAAAGAAACGTATTTTAACTGTGTAAGAATTGCCATGCATCTCGTAATTGTCCGCTCTATCACGCTTCTTTCGGTCACTTTTCTCTCGAACTCTTTCTATTTTTTCCTTCTCCTGGTTCCTATTCGGAGGCCCTTCGCATGAGTGATATTAAGTAATCCAGTTTCTTGTTTGCTGTACCTTTGAAGGGAACTTTGGCGGTACTCAGTGTACCCCTTCTTCACACTATGTCATTACGTTGGGTCCAAAAACACGTTTTTATTTTCCCTCACTCGTAGCTTGCTAAATCAACCGCCGAGAAACGATATTAGCTTCTCTACTTTTCCTAAGGTATGGCCTTTCTCCTTCATTTTATAAGTTTCCTTGCCAGGCAATTGATTTCCTTGTTTAGAAGCGTTTTCCCGGCCCTCTTTCCTTCCTCTCCATCCAAATTTATTTCCAAACGGACTATATTTTACAAAAAAATCAAGGAATGAGTTACAAGAAATAACTTTGAAAATTTTGCTGAAATTCAATCCTAACATAGTAAACTTCTCGTTTATCCTGGGGTTTAATTTGCACGTGAGAATTTCTCAACTCATTTGCATTTAGTATATTGTGAATTTATCTGAAACGAAAGTGAAGATCGGGAGCCAAAGAAGCCAACTTGTATCTATAATTGGAAACCTCGAGGATTTTCTTGAGTTGATAGCTTGCTACCGGTCACAGCAGAGAGAACGGTTCTATTCGTAATTACAAGTAAGTTGTAGTGCAATGAAGTTAGAGAATATTCAACTAACGGTAGGCTCGTGTTTCCAACTTGTGCTTTCGAAAAAAAGCCATGACTTTATCGCTCCTTAGACTGACAAGACATTCGTTCGTGTTCTCCCTTTTTCTCTGTAAAGAAACCTTGAAACCTTGCAAAGAGTCCTTAAGAACGTATTTGTCCATAGCACACCGCTCTGGCTTTGTATTTGTGTGGTCGATGGACCTCCTTTGTCCAAGTAAACCGAAACGATTATTGACTGAAGCGCGTTATTATCTCATAGCCAACATACCCGCCGTAGCGGGACGAATACCACAAAGCAAACGTGGAAAAAAAAAAACTCGCTTCCGCTGCTATACCTTCACACTCTTATCAGCTCGATATGTAACCTGTATAACAGACGCTCAAGGGCTTCGGATTGGCATATGTGAGCAAAAAATAGATCTTTGGCCGGCACGAGTTTCTCCCGTTCTCGCAGAGTGCCTTCCACGCTCAGGCTATCCAAGAAAGTGTTCCTGCACAATTTCTTTCAATTGGCTTTCTGAATAACTGCAGTCTTTTCCGGTCAATTGCTGATATAATGAAATAATTACATGCTATTCCGGCGAAGTGCTGATGTAATGAAATAATTGCACCATTCCTGTGAAGTGCTGATGTAATGAAACAATTGTATTCTATTCCGGTGAAGTGTTGATGTCAATCATTAATCAGCTCTAATCCGCCAAGCAAAACAAAATTATCACGAACTTAGTGGTTCGTTACAGTATTCACGACTGAAAGGTCAAAGCTAAAGGTTGCACCTAATATTCCAGGTATTTTGAGAAGTCTTTCCACTCCACAAGTGCTTGATCCTTCCGATTTTCCTTTCATAAGGCGCAAAGTTTATCCCTGGGGGGGAGGGGGGTGGGCAAGAGAATGACTGTCTTCAGACATGGCGTCGAAAAGTTAAATCCACCACTCGTAATTGTAAGATGATAAAGCTTTGCGTCAGGGTAGAATTCACGAACTGGTAAAATTCATCCGAAAATATAGCTTGAGTGATAAACATGGTTTACTTCTTCTCTTTCAATGCGACTTACTAGATGTCGAGTAGACATAAGACCAAAAAATTAATGTATTGTCGAGGTTTTCTTGAGAACGTGAATCGATTTAACATCAGATTGTGCGTTGCTTTTATCGTAGAGAATACCTTCCCTCTCAACCCTCTCTAGCCCTTCTCTCCCTCCCGGTAACATTCCAAGATGAAGATGATGAAGTCTTGGCGAGAATTCAGATTATCCACAAGTACGTTTCATGCGGTTTAACCCTTAACCGGAACAAAACGTGGGAACTCCCGGTGGTGTTTAGCCTTCTCGAGTTGACTGAAAGCGACTCGACTTTTGTTTTCCGTTGGCCAATTTACCACGCACACGAAACGTTCAGCCTCTTTTCATGTTCTTGTCTAGATTAGTAAAATATAAACAGTGCTCACCCAAACAAATGATACCCCGTCTAGGTAACCCCCAAGACACGGCGATGACAGAAGAGGTTGCCGACAAATAAGCTCACTCGACCTGAGACAATTAAACGTGGCTTAGGTAGCGTATTTCGTGATTTGAACGTAAGTCCCCTCCGGTTTGGTACTATGCGGCATGAAAGCATGGTTTTCACTTTACTCACTCGTTTTGGGATTTTCGCTTTGTGTTTTGTGAGACTCACTTCAACAGAAATAGCGTTTCGCGATAAACAACAAGGTGCTTTTCATGTTGTTATTATATTTGCTTTAATCGTCACGGATTTGTTTACAGCGGTATCATTTCGTGACTGGAGATTTGCAGACTGATGAACTCATTCGGTATATTAATTCTTTCTGCAGAGCAACTTGCGAGGAATTTACAAGAATATGAAGTAGTCATTCCCGAGATTATTTCTGGTACTGCTTTGATACAGATTAGCGAGTTAAAAGATGTCGTTGGGAGCGAAAGATTGCAAGTGAAGATCCGCGCTTTCGGAGAGGAATTCCTGCTTGATTTGAAGAAAAATTACAGACTCGTAGATTCCAAGTTCTCTAGTGAAATACTGAATAGTTTACATTCATCAGCGAAACGGAATATATCCAGGAATTGTTATTATATCGGAAGATTACGGTTTCGTTCGCAATCCAGTGTTGCCCTAAGCGGATGTCACGGGCTGGTAAGCGATGATAACGTTTCTTTGTTTATTTCTCACGTTTGCCTTTGTTTACAAACTGTTTTCATGTTGTAGCAGATCCCGGGGAACTTATCTTTGATCTTCATGGATGAAAGGTTGAAAGACATATATATTTACTTCTCTAGTTACCAGGTCCAGACGATTGCTCTAAAAGGTTATCTCTGTATCTTTGTTGTAACAGATGGGACTTATACAAACGATGGACGAAGATTATTTCATAGAACCTATGGCCAAGGCGGATATCCAATCCCATTTGGTTTACAAGAGGTCTTCATTGTTAGCATCACTACCGCAAAGTTCACCCACCTCCCGGAAATGTTCTCCATCAGCTCCTTATTCGCCAGGTAAACGAAGAATAGGATTATTTTAAATCTCTTAAAATTATTTCTAGGATGACGCAGGTCCGATTTAATTTCACTGACTTGAACGGGAAGGCGATGCAATGCACTAAGCTAGGAGGGGGATCCTATGGAAGATTCTTCCGAAATCGCTCGGATTATGTTGCGCTACAGGAAAGGGGATTAAGTACGTAGCATCAGTTACCATGACAGCAAGTGCGAAATGTTAGCGAGTGCTTCAAGTTTCAAAGGAATTCAAATGAATACAAAAACTGGAAACGAAACCAACATGGCTGATGCGCGTAGAGCAGTTGTTTTTTCATTAATAGAGGGATTCATCTACGACTCAATGCTTGAAGCGAGCAGGCCCGAAGACTGAAGTTCAAAATTTCCACCTAATAAACAGCAAGGAAAGAAAAAAGCCATGTTTGTACAAAAAGCATTAAACAATCTGCACGACAATTTTAATTGCCACGTATTTGACTCGATTAAAACGCTGACACTCCAGTTTTATATTAAAGCTATAATTGTATTGGTCACAGCAACGTTCCCATGGAGGCAGGCTGCTGCGCTCTGTCTGTCGACGAAAAATAAGAAGGGAAATAATGTTATGCAACATCGATAAAAAGGTTATTAGTACAAATTTGACAAATATGACGTATCATGTCTGTAATTACTCAAAAACCCTACATCAATTAACAAAATCATGATTCTAATTAAATGAAGGCGTTGTAAACTGATCTAGCCACGTTTTATCTTGCCGTCTGTAGCAACTTTATTGATTATTATTCATTTTAGAGGACTTTCGATCACTTGAAACTTAATTTCACATGGCATTCTTTCCATTCTTAAGAAATGCAGGTGTGCAAAATTGACCTGATGAGCTGTGCAATTTTAGTAAGATCTCACTAATTTTCGTGACACTATCTTATCAATGTAATTTGTGGAATAGTTTCGTGCTTCGCGCTGAAAACAAGTTTAAAGCACGGATTAAAGGCTATTTAAAATTAATAACTAATAATAAACTTCTTGATAATAGTAGCTGTCACCAGATATTTTCCTCGTAAATTATACAAGAGTCTTTTGTTTCGACTTTAAAAATGATGGAGAAATTGATATACGATTCCATTGTCAAGTAGTCAATAAAATCATCATTTTTAATCAAATGCAGTCATGAACAAATCACGTGCGTGATACTCTGTCCAAAAGAGCTTTAACAGCCTCGTTATGCATTCTCTGTAAAAGCTCTAAGAAGGTAAAATAGAGGAAATTTTAAAGAGATTTTATCTGAGCCGGTTCATGTTTCCTCTTTTCTCTGCTGTGACCAGTTAACGGATCGGCCGTTAAACAGATTTCCTCCAGTTGGTATAAAATCCCAACTTGCAAAGCCAAATGGCCTGTCAGTCTTTTGATTGTTCTTGTCTCGAGAGCTTGTTAAGCTTAATCTCAGGATTATGAGGAAATTCAGTGATTTAATTAAGTTCATTTTAATCTCTCAAACTGCTTAAATTTGCACCCTTAATGGAGTCCATGCACAAATTATGGCTCACCCAATTCTTGTTCCCTTCTTTCTCCGTTGTAACAAGTCAAAGCAGAGGCCATAACAAAGATTTACTTCCGTAGCAATAAAACCCAATATTGTTTAGCTAAATGGACCTGACAGTCCGTTAATTTTTCGTGTCTTGAGAGTGTTACAAGTTTTATCCATGGATTATGAGGTTAAGTATTGAATAAAAATCCTTCCCACCGGAGAAAGTTAATTAATTCCTCCTCATAATATGAATTTGGCAAACTGCAGGTTAACAAGATTAATGAGGTCTTTGCAAAACTTAATCCTATTTTTTAACAATCTGGCAATTTACCAGCTGATTACCCAGAAATAGAACAAATTGATCGTCGAATACGATGTCTCTTTGTCAAGATTTAATACTGTTGGCTCTTAAGGAAACTTTCTTTGTTTAATCTTTTGTAACGTTTTTTTGAACCCGATCATGCACGACGTGTAATGGCATTTTAGTGATTTTGAACGAAGTAACCAAAAGATCCTTGATACAGTCACAATCTGTGGACATTAAACAAAGATGACACACAGAAAGGGTCTCCCAACATAATTGCCCCCAACGATGCTTTTTCTGTTTGGTTCATGACGGCTTTCTTTACCTCTCCCCTCTTCTAACTGAGCTCTGTCTGATCGAAACTATCAAAATTCATTCTTCTGGATTTGTTAACAAAACAACTGCTCAATTTCTTTAGCTCATAGGAATCTGAAACACGCTAAGAGGCAATTTTGGCGGGAATCAGTTCGCCTTCAGCGTCGTTCTTTGGATGATGAGGCCACTGTCCAGCTGTTGGTTGTTGTTGATAGAGAAATGATAAATTTCCATGGCAACCAGTCCGTGGAGGAATATGTTTTAACCGTCATGAATATGGTGAGATAGACATATGCGCCATTTGGCACGCTTGTTCGTTCTAGTTCGTTGGTTATTATTCAGTCAGTCGTTTTTATTACTATTATTTTTATCATTATTATTATCACTACCACTATTATTATTATTATTATTATTATTATTATTATTATTATCATTATTATGATTATGATTATGAAGAGAAAATGATGGGACCCGTTCTTTTCTCTTGGTTCTTTTGGATGGAGACGAAGCCGAGGTAAAAAAAAAATTATCTTCTTGCAAACGGAAGAAATTTTAGAAGTCATCGTGGTTTTCAAAATTTTGACTGACTTAGGTATGTTTGTCTCCAAAACTGTCAGAAAAAATATTTTTTTAACTTAATATAGAAGATGAATGCGAATGGCATTGAGGACTTTGAGTTCTTTGATAAAGTGGTGGTTTTCAAATTGGCGCCGTAGATGATATGATGAAAATAGTTTCTATTTTTTATTCTAAGGTGGCTGACCTGTACCGAGACCCAAGTATTGGAGAAAAGATAAATATTGAAGTATCCAAGCTAATACTTCTGTACAACATGCCTGTAAGTAAGAAAGTGCAACAACACAACACAATTTTAGTCGAACCTTCAATAACGACCGCTTACCCAACACAGCAACTTTTTTCGTCCTGGGGAAGACATTTTAATTCACTCTTGTTTCAACCCTTCAAGAAGGGCCACTCGACGAACCCCTCATAAGGTCAACGGCTATTAAAGTAAGCTCCAAAATATGTGCATTCTGTCTCTCCCACTTGATAGTAGACTGGTGAATGGTGAAGCACGACTTTCTTTGTCAGACAGTCTCGTACACACTATTTCACTAGAGAAAAAATGAAATTTCAGATGTGCTTAGAAGTTTTTTGGAACGTACCTCAATATTTGTTTCTCTCTTATTAATTTATCATGTTTGATTATGTTTGCATCAACATTCTATACCAAGTATTTTTGTGAGTGAAAAAGGTCTACCATTCCTTAAAAGACTATCCCCACTGTCTCCAACGTGGCCGTTGTAGAAAGATTGGGCTGTTTTCATTTCTTGTGTGTTGCTCTCTTTTTTTTTTTTTTTTTTTTGCTTTTATCTTTTCCCTTTTGTGAGAAACATTGCACAATTTTTTACAATCAGGCTGTCAGAAACCTTTTCAAAATCTAATTGTTTCGTTTTTTGCCTTTCTACTCGATAGAAAGGCCTGTCAATCACCCATCATGGAGACAGGACGCTGGAAAGTTTCTGTAAGTGGCAGCAATGGATTACTAAAGACACATCCAAGGAAAACCCAAAATATGACGGGGCGGTGCTGTTAACTAGGTATGTGTCCAACAACACCAACACAATGTGACAGGCTGCAAAGACAACAAAAAATGATCCAAACTGTCGCGTCATCCTTTGCTTTGTGGAAATTTTAAGAAACGGTTCCAAATATTAACGATGTGAAAATTTTGGAGTAATGATCCACACACCCCTCCAAAGTAGAGAAAATTGTACTCAATATGCATTTCTGACAAAAAAAATTACACTCAGATTTTGATTGGTTTCTACTTATGATCTATCGGAGGATAGACGCCGCTATTAACATTTTTTCTCTTCTTTGTTATATTACACAAATAAATTCCTTGTTGCCGTGGGTCTGTTAATAATAGATCACGGAAGACTCAAAATATATTGAAAACATTAGTGACACACTCAGCTGCGCCTCATGTGTCACGTTTTTGTTCTTACCACATTTTGACGTCTCCTGTGATCTATCACTGAGCAGAAGTAAAATAACATGGAATCTATCTGTTAAATCGATCACCCACCCAACCCACCCACTCGTCTCCACCATGCCCCGAAAGCCGACCCAAACGCATTAATGACGACTGTCTGACATTCTTCTCCATTTTAATTCACAGGAAAGATATTTGCGCTAAACGTTTTTCCGCTTGTGACACCGTGGGTAGGTTAAAACTTTGTGTTTTTCTACCTCAGTGAACGGTTTGTTGTAGAAGCATTTCTTTTGTTTACCACAGGTATGGCATTTCTGCATGGAATGTGCGACCCCAAAAAACGGTGCAGTGTCTCACAAGACAATGGGCTAAATGTTGCGTTTACAGTTGCACATGAAATCGGACACAAGTAATTCACGTATTGCTTTACTTATTATCACAGTTACTCTATCAGTCGGTCAGTCAGTCAGTCTGTCAGTCAGTCAGTCAGTCAGTAAGTCAGTCAGTCGGTTAACCAGTCAGCTTGTCAGTCAGTCAATCGGTCGGTCGGTCAGTCTGTCAGTCAGTCAGTCGGTCGGTCAGTCAGTCCGTTGTTCAGTCAGTCATTCGGTTGATGACTCAGTCAGTTCATCAGGTGGTCAGTCAGTCAGTCACTTATTCAGTCAAACATTTTGTCAGTCTATCAATCAGTCATAGAGGGGGTAAGTTTCTAAAGAAACTGTGATGCTACGTCGGTGGGAGAGTATAATAGGGTGAATGATTCGAATGATTCGCTCTGACGAAGTGCTAGCGCTCGAAAATTCAGCTTTGAAACTCTTTACGGTAGCCAATTTACGTTATTAACTCAGTTATCAATCAATCAGTCAATCGGTCAACCAATGAGTCATTTGGTCTGCAAAGCACAAAGCTCATCATCTTGTTTTGGGTCTCAAAATAGTCTAGGTGCATATCATGATGGAGACGGAAACACGTGCCCAGACTCCGCAGGATTAACACCTCACCTTATGTCATCGCGGTGGCTGGCAAGGAATCGACGTGGAACAATGAAGTGGTCATGGTGCAGTAAAGCTTACATCAAGTCCTTTCTCAAGTAAGAACCCGAGCGCTGAAGAACTTACATCTATAGCTATTATTTATTTTCTCCAAAGACAACACTTTTCAGAAGGCTGAACAAGGACCGAAAGTGTGAATGGAAAATGAAACAACGTACAACGTTTTGAAAGACAAACAATCCAGGAGCGGCCTTTTGTACAGAACATTGTATCATTACTTTTTCACTGGACATCGCTTTTTCGCCAGTTCTTAATTGAGCCTGATTTCCTTTCTCCATTAGTTCTCAAGCCAGCAAGTGTTTGAGAAATCACGCTAGGAAGAAACCATTGCAGTTGCCAACAGAGGTGCCAGGAGTTGCATTCACTGTAGACGAGCAGTGCAAGCAGCAATATGGAAACAGAGCCCGACACTGTCAAAAATACAAGGTATTTTAAGTCTCACGAGCCTAATGGTCACTTGTCCCGTTTTTATTAAAATGAAGCACTAGGAAATTTAGCTACCCTCCAACCCTCTCCAGAATGGGATACCAAGGTTATCTCCCGTCTTGTCTTTACGCTCACTGAAAGTTTGCGATACCCATTTTAGATGGAAAGAGGCACTGTGCAAGTAAAGTTATTTGTTAGAGGAGATAACAAGAATCTTTCGATCCAGTGTCCACTTTGTTAGATACCTGCTGACTCAGCTGCCTGTAAAAGAGTTTTATTTTCATGAAGCCACTTACTATAACTGGCGAAATACTTGTCTAACTCTATGGACCTGAAAGCATTTTGGCTGAGGAAGACAAGGGCATGATACATTTGGTAATACAAGTTAAAAAAAGATAAGGACGGAGAAAAAACAGTTAACTTCTTGACTTAGCTTCCAGAAAGGCGAGAGATTCTTAAAACGTTTGGCCTTATTATTATTATTATTATTATTATTATTATTATTATTATTGTTATTATCATAGGCAGTAGTAGTAGCAATCGTAATAGTGGTAATAGTAGTATTTTGCTTTAATTTTCTTTTTTCTTATTTTCCTTAATTTAATGTTTCCCTTTCTTCAATGACTGGGAGATCGCTGCAAGAACGAGGGGAACTGGGGACGAAATTTATGACAGCGAACGAAATCCAAGCTGGGTAGATTCGTTGGCTTAAAACCTGAACAATGAAAGAAGAGTCTCGTTTCATATTTATTGAGGTTTTCTTTCAATCGTTAATCAGCCCTGTCAGTCAGGCAGGCAGGCAGGTGTATTGGATCGATTCAACATAACTGATAAAAGATGTAAAATTATATTAATTTCTTTTGTTCGTTGAGCCAAACGGGCATTACCGAAGTCAGCTAAACAGCAGTTAATTATTTCTTTTTGGAATTTGCGCGGCGCTGAGAATTCACGGTTGTCACTATTTGAATTGATATATTTTGAAAAGGAAAGAAGATCGAAGGCTAAAAACATTCAGTTCTTTATTGTTTTATTGTGCAGTCAAGTAAATATAAGGGTTACGTAGATATGCTTCACTAAGTTAATGTTTTAAACATGCAGACGGACCAAACAATTAGCGTAAATGATCAAAGCAAAAAAAAAACCGAAATAAATTTAAAACTCACGATAGTGCTTTTTATTTACGAATTACTTAAGAAAAACGTCTAGAAATATAATAAAATATTAGTTAAACCTAAAAAACAGCTAAGAATTCTAATATCGCTTGCTTTTTGAGAACTATCGGTTTTCGTGTGCTTGTTGTTAACGAATGAATCAGGCAGTGAGCTTATATGGAGAGTTAATAGAGATGCACTTAGCTGTAGCCTTAAGTAAGGATATATTCGTTCTAAAGAGCTAAGTTGGTTTTGTATGTCCTCAAGATAACATTTGATTGAGGATGATCTTTATATCAATATTTAAACAGCTGACGTTTAAGACAATTTAAAAAAAATTGCTAAAAGCGAAAACAATACAAAAAACCGAAGAAAAGGAGAAGAAAAAGGGGAGAGATGAGTTTCGAACTTGGATTTAAATGCCTTTAAAAAAACACGGCAAAATCGAAAGACTTCTTTTTCATAATTTCACTGCAATGGTCAGAAATCCTCTTCTTTCCCCAGAGTTTGTTTTTATCTAAAGAGTACCTGCCGTGATCAAAACTACCTCTCATCGTTGCCATTCATGTAGGTGATGTTTGTCATTAAAACTGTTTAAAAAAAAACGACTTTGGCAAAGTTGGCATTATTTATCTATAGTGAAATTTTTGTGTTGTCTTGCATTTCTCTGGGGAAACAGTTTGCAGGAGAAAATTCATTTGAATCTCTGTTATTTTTGTGTTTCCTTGCCTTTCTTTGGGGAAACAGTTTACTGGAGAAAATTCGTTTGAATCCCTGTCGATAGTTCGAGCTTTGAAACGCGTAAATGAGAGGATTGCAAAATGAATTGGCGATTAGAAGAAAGCGAACGGTTCTATGAATTAAAAACAGGCGAGGGCGGTCACTTGCAGCGGTCTCTTCGTCGATAGTGGTTAAATATATAAAGAATAAAGAAAATGGCAAAGTGCAAACGCAAAATAGGAGCATAACCCACAAAAGAAGCATAAAGAGCTGTCTTTTTGAGCGATGTTCTGCCGACACTTGATTGCCTGAACCTTGCAAAGCTGCCGCACATATTGTATGCGTGATGAAAAATCCACGGAAAAGTTCGAAGTAGCAGAAAATTACTAGAACGGTTGGAACAATTCCAAAGACAATACTAGTAAACGTTATAAAGCCTTCGTGATGAGAATATTCGTCAACTCTCCAAGGTCGTTTGCACGGATAGCCTGAGTGAGGATTTGAGTCCACAGTATTTGATAACAAGTCAGGAACGCAGGACGAAACGGACAATGTCCACAATAAAGCAACTACGTAAGGAAGTTGTTTTTTAGTCAGTCTTAAACCAGTTTCAAAGGGTCTGACAAGTGCCAAGTATCTCTCCACGGCTATTGTGGTAACTGTCAAGGCAGCGGCGTTCATCGTGATCGGAATAAATGCATTTCCCGCGAAGACTTTGCAGACAAAATCTCCAATTGTTTTGTCGAAATGCACTTTGGTGAGAAGGTACTCGTAGCTACCCGGGCATAGTATCAACGTCAGTAGATCGGCGATTGCCAAATTTAGCAGGAGATAGTTTGTTGTGGTGTGCATTGAAGGCGTCTTTCGAACAATGGTGATTATCACACAGTTAGCGGGAATGCCGATGACAATGATCAAGGAGTACACGACTGCGAAAGCTACATCGTGATCAGGCAAAGAAATTGAACTGTTGTCAAAAAGTACCGTGCTGTTAAATGCCATGGAATAGTTTAAAAAGAAACGATTCAGAAAAAACCTTACCACAAATTCGTTAGTTTCGTATTTTACTTGCTGAGTTGTAATATTGCTTTGAAGTATACACTACGTCGGTATTAATATTTCATCACTGTGGCAATTATGCACGAACATCCAAAGAAAATTCAGGCTATGCAGGGAAGTTGTAAGGACTATGTTCCTGGTTTAGGTCCTTTACCAAGAAGACTTTTAGATCAGTATGGCACACTTCTGTTCCCTGTCAAGACACGACAGTATTCTGCAAAGTCGTAAATAGATTAGCATATAAAAGCAGCACTCCATTTAATCAAAAATGATTTCCTATTCTGCTCTCTTCCCCTTGTTGAGTGACTCATGTACGTTATTAACGTTTTAATTGACATCTTTTTCTTTGCTAGTGGTAGGTTTGAAAAATGATTAGTATGCCTCTTGACTGTTAATTCTCATTTCCGCTTAACTTCTGAAGTTGATGCTTTCTTTTTGTTGTGACGTATTCATCGATTTTTCCTATTTCGCTAAAGAGTAACTACCATGACAGATGTTGAAAATTATTGCCAAAAAAGTATTTTTGCATTGCATGCTTACAACGAGGTATCTCAATTTTTTGCCTTTAATTTTGTGAAGCGAAAAGTCTTCGTCTTAGCTGCACACAGTGATGGAAATCCACTGAATATTCAGCCTCAAGGACTTGCAGCTGATGCATGGCAAAAGCTATTAATACTGATTTCAAAATGATGAGGATCGTAATGAGAGAGTCGTTTGACAGTTTTGTCATGCACATGCTGCTATTCACTGCCTCCTTCGCTCCTTGGTTCTTGAATTGGTTTTTCTCCTTCATTAAGTTGCTTTGTTCTCCCATCTGTTCTCTTGTACTCCCACCCACGTTCACCTGAATGTCTAACAGTGGTTGAGAACAAAATGTCAAAGGTAGCTCAGTCAAATTGAGTTTGCCTTTTTTCTACCAAGACGGCCTGTTGTTTCCCAGGATGCTCTTTGAGGGTTATTGAAATTTATATAGAAATATAAGAAAGAAGACGGCAAATAACTCGGTTGTCATATTCATTACGCAGGCTTTTTAATAAAGAGTTGACTGTTTGGGCGAATGATTAAACAGGCCTCACAGGTCCCCATTCAAACCAACTTGAAGCTGAACTGGGCCAGCTTAGTGAAATATTGCTGATAAATAAAAAATTAAATAAACTAAAACTATCTTGTTTTTTTTATCGTCTTTAAATATGTAAATACATAGCTAAGTTGTTGTAAATACTGCTGCAAACATTTCTCATGTAAAAAAGGCGCGGGAACATTTTGGACAATTATAAAGCTTCATCGAGGGAGTCACATAATGATTATACTATGTTACCCCTCGGTTTCTTTCTCGATCCAGATAAATAAATTTAGATAGGTAAATTTTAATTGACTGACGTGCTGTGAAAATTGTCGCATTCGGGCAAGCAAACATTGGGCTGTTACTTAGATTGTTGCACCAAACTATCCACCTTTTTCAGAAGTCATATCACATGATGACATTTTAGATAACCGCTGTGGGCTAGTTATTTCAACTAAAGAGAGGGCAGATATCATTCTTAAACTGTTTATGATGATAGTTATCATTTCCTTTTGGGTAGTTTCGTGTTTGCCAACAACTTTGGTGCGAGATCGAAGGAGAAAACTTGTGTAGAAGTAAACTGAATCCTCCAGCGACAGGAACAGCTTGTGCACCTGGTAAGGTGGGTTAATAACTCATCACTTTTTGGTCGTTTTAAAAACTTCATCATACAATAGATGGTTTAAACCCGGCGGTAACAGATAGTAGTAAAGCACCACCACCAACTGAGCCAAATGCCCCTTCGTTAGGAACTTGCCTCCCCACATGATAGCGCTTGGTGTTTAATTTCCTCCGGATTCGTCGTTTAAACCAAAAGATACCATAAACTGCCTTTCTTCTCATGGGCCTTTAAAAGACACGAACCTATTTCTTGTTTCAAAAGCGCGCAACTCTCGTATCTATTAAACCACACAAAATATTCAACGGCTTCTTGTGCAAGTTGTTCATTTCCACGCGACGTGTTACTAATAACTTTTATGGTTTTATTGTCGTAGTGGTGTATGTACGGCGAATGTGTCGATAACAAAGCTATACCTTTGAAGAGAGACGGTGGGTGGGGTTCCTGGACGGAATGGACCAAATGTTCCCGAACCTGTGGCATGGGCGTAAGTTCTCAAAAAAGAACTTGTGACTCACCAAGGTAGGTATCATGTATGGAAAATTGTTTTCCAATTCTGAAAACCGATATTTAGTATTTTGGTGTAGAAGAACGGGACACCAATTTTCGGTTAAATGGAGGGTTGCTTCTTCAGGTGACAAAGCTGTAAGATTTGGGTCGGGATGATGTTCATCGTCAAACTGGAAATAATTGTAAATGGCATAATAAAATTATCCGTGGACTGAAAGGTGCAGATTTATGTGACAAGTTCTACTGCGAAAACGATTTAAACAAGCTCTAAAGTTTTAAACAAAACTTTTTGACCTCAAGGATACGTTAAGCATGCTATCCTTTAAAGAATTCACTCTGACGAAGGGTTAGAATCTTCGAACGCTGGGAAATTCACAATATTAACCTAGTTGATAAAACCAAATTATTCTATCAGTTAACGCCCTCAGAAGGAAGTGTGTCACCATTTGAATTTTGCTAATTAGTTAGTGTTAATTTTGTTTACGATTTCTTTTCTAGTCCTTTAAACGGTGGTCGGTATTGTGAGGGGGAGTCAAGGAAGTTTCGAACATGTAATTTAGAGGTACTTTTGACATCCAATAAGTTTAACGTAGTTTAAGGATTAAGCGCCAATTCTTTGATTGAGCAATAGTTAAACTGGATCGATATATACATTTCTCGTGATTTTAATGAAACGTATGACAATTTGTTTAATTATTTCTGATCATTCATTATCTTAGAAACACCGTTGAGTTTTGCTTGATGTTCCTGTCACTCAACAACTAGTCCAGAAAAAAAAAAAAAAAAAAAAAGGAAAAGAAATGAAAAATTCTTGTTTGATATTTGTAGCCTTCGAAGGAAAACATTCAAACGCTTTTTAAAGATATTTTCATGTTGCTGAAGTATTTTCCAATGTCGGGGAAAAGATCAAATGTTTTCTTATGTTATAGACAATTTCTTGTAAACAGTATTTGAAATAAAAAACGAACATTAGGTTTGTTCGATCCAAAAAGGAATACTTTATAGAAAATAAGGGGAATTATGCTCCAAGCTTCTTTAAGTGGCTTCTTCTGAAGCTTTCCACGAGCATTTGCAAAATGATGAATCATTATTAATGTTTCATGTAAGAAGATAAACAAGGGCTTGTCTTAATTAAGCCTGACTTATTCATGAGAACGATGAGAAGGCCAAGAAATATTTCAAAATCCCTTCTATTATGGACTCAGAGTTTCCTTCAAAGATTTTGCTCTCATATTCAGATTCTAAAGAGGTGTGTTCTTGCGACAGATTCAACCCCAAAAGAAGCTTTATCCAATTATATACCCTAAGTGCGGTTGCCCAAATATATTACTTTTATTTTTCAGCCCTGTCCTCCGACATCTAAGGATTTCAGAACCTTGCAATGTGAGTCGTTTAACGGCATTAAATATAGAGGGGAGAAACATGAATGGGTTCCTGTGATAAGTGATGGTAAGTGCCTCTGTAGCCGCAACGGAGCAGATCGTATGTTAAAGAACACATTAGCTTTGTTTCCTAATTATCCTATGCAATTGTTGAAAAAAGCTGCAGTTTAGTCTCTCATATGTACCAAATACTTATGGGAATAAATAGAGTAATACTTGTATTATTCTGAACCATTACTTTTATTGACTTGTTTTGCGAGAGAGAAACTTCACGTAAACGCTACACTCGAATCACTTTCATATAGAATAATCACTGCTTTTTAAAATAGGTTACCGTAAGCGTACCATACCATGCATACAGTTCGTACACTTTGGTCATCAACATCATTATTCATGTCACTTCATGATCTTTATTTTTCCCTCCATAGGTCAGCCGTGTTCGTTATTCTGTAAACCAAAGGATCCACAGTATCGTTTTTCAGCCAAACTCGCTTCTAAAGTCATAGATGGTACCTCATGTAGTTCTGGGTCAATTGACATTTGTATCGACGGCAGATGCCAGGTATCGTTATTTGACCTTTGCCATATGGAATATCTTGAGTCAGAAATATTGAGAAGGCGTAGGAGAAAGGTGGTGATGGTTGCTTGCGCCTTTATAAAGCTATCATCGATAGCACTCTTCAATAGAATACGAAGTATCGCACTTGTTTTTCCAAGGAACTTTCCCTCTTTCATTTTTATGTCCCTGAACTATTGACGAGCGGGGACCCTTATTACCTATTTTGCTGAAGGAAAGTCTCTCACTTTCCCGAGAAATCCATTTCTCTAACAACTGACCAAGAATCCTTTGTGTACTTTGTCCAATATCCCTTAGTTTTGCCACCTGTTATTAATAGTTGTGTCATCTTCCTTATCCAGGATGTTGGCTGTGACTTCAAGATAGGTTCAGGAGCACAGGAAGACATATGCGGTGTCTGTAAAGGAAACGGAACAACATGTAGAACAGTAGAGGGCAGGTTTAACCAGCTGGCAGGATCAGGTAACCCCGCAGAAAAAAAAAAAAAAAAAAAAAAACCTACGAGGAACTTAACTTTCGAGTTTTAAGCCATGGCTGCTCTTTGCATGTAATGGGCTCCCGGTGAGGGTAAAGTGATCAAAGTTTGAACCTTTGCTCCCTTCCTTCTCTAAACGCGGCGGAGGAGATGCATTTGCAACCCCATGAAGTACCAGTTTTTTGGTGGTCATGGGGGAGGGGGGAGGGAAGAGGGGGGAAGGCTCCTAATCTCGTACCCAGATCCTACCGTGTAATTGGCCTTGGAAGATCTGAGTTCGAGACTAGGAGGCTCGCACGCTAGAATAGAGTTACTGCTCCATCCATTGGCGTAACAGAAACGCTTGAAGTTTCTTTCAGCAAATTTTTACCATTTTGTTTGCGTAAACCACCATGGTGATTATGAAAGGCAGATGCAAATATTTTAAATATTATTAAATAAATTTTTGAACTTCGTAGTAGACCTCGCTTACCGTGAAGTCTCTGAGGCTCAGTGGTAGAGCATAGGAGCGCGGAATCCGAAGGTCTGAGGTTCGATTCCTCATGGGGACTCAGAATTTTTTCTTTATCCGTCGCTCGTGACTAGACGAACAGCATCTTTCTTCATTTTTTAAATTATTTCAACATAACCTCCATTATGACTTTGTTGCTGTTCTTATCTTAAAGCCAAGTAATCTATTTGAGTTCAAAATATTAACCCACCGATGATTACACTTCTTCGTTACATCACACCTAATTTTATTTCTTCAGGCTATGTGGAAGCTGCTGTTATCCCTGAAGGAGCGAGAAGTATATCCATCAGCGAATCAAAACCATGTACAAGTTTTTTAGGTGAGTTTGAATTGTGGACCTATCGAGATGTCCATGTAACAAAAGATAAACCCTATCATGGTGAAGAACCATGCTATTGACAAAAAAATGACAAATGAAGAGTTATTACATGAATGCAGTCCCCAGGAAGATCTTTTTTACATTAAGGTGACTTCTTTTTTAATACACATGCTGTAGCTCTGAGGGCAGACGCCGGAACTTATTACATTAACGGTAACTGGAGAATTCAACTTCCTGGTGACGTAAATGCAGATGGAACGATCTTTCGGTATATGCGCACAGGAACTTTGGAAAAAATCGTGGCTCGTGGGCCCACAAATGCTCCTTTACACATTATGGTGAGAAGCAAGTATGCTGTATTGATGCCACTGGGGGAGGCGAAAAAAAAAGCTGTTTATTTTAGCCAATTTAAGTATCAAAGATGTGATAAGTATTGGAGACTGTATTTTCCATAATGAAAATGCTCCAAAGAGAATCCTGGAAAAATTATCAGTAACAAAATTAGTTATAATCCAGCAAGTCTTTTGGTTCGCAGGCGATTAGTTTAAACGCTTCTCGCGACTCACTATGCCTCGGCTAAACTGAGAAATTTAAAAACGTTTTCGCTCCAAGCGCTATTTAGATATCTTTAGAGTGATGAACACCATATAGCTAAACTAAGAAATTCAGTCAATTTTTCACTCAAATCGCTGCGTAAATATTTGAAAGATGACGAACACAAGTTCCGTCAACGGTTTTCAAACAACTTTTCCCCAGGATGAATTCAGTTTTGCAGCTTTCAACAACTAACCTGCGTCGACAAACATCTTAGCACATTTTCGCGCCAAATGGAGGCTTTTGGCACTTTGATGATTTGATAAGTAGCAAAGAGACGTTGCGCACATGTGCGACACAGATTCAGTGGTAATTTTTAGATACTTCTTCTAATCTCCAAAAACAATTGTGACCTAAATATAACTTAGGAGGGATTTATTTTGAATTATTTCATTCTGAAAATTTGCTAACTGTTTCCTTCATAAGGAACAGCAAACAATTTGAAAAAGCCAAATATGTCGGTGTTTTTCAGGTTTTGTATTATGGATTTAACCTTGGAGTGGAATATCGATATGCAGTGCCCCTCCACGATAGCAAAATGGACAAGGAAGATGCAAAGAAACACCGATTACTGTTCGACGCCTCATACGGATGGGTGCACGGAGGCTGGGGAAAGTGTAATGTGCATTGTGGAGGAGGTAAAATCGAAAAATGGATGTTTTTATCATTTTGGTTCTATCACTTGCAATAACCAGTAATTGAAAATGCTTAGTCGAACATTTTTCTCTCTTTGAAAATCGTTTTCAGCGGTAATTTCAAGAGTATAGTGTTAGCCTTAGTACCAAGACATCAAAACAGTTAACTCTGAACACAAAATCAAAAGCAGCATATACTATGGTTCAATGAAACTGACATTATTCGTAGAAGTCTACCGCAAAGTAACAATCTCTTTGGGGATGTTACGCCTTAATAATCGCATCCTCCAATACACCAAAATTTGTTTGAAATTGTTACTATGAGGCCAAGGCATGTTACTAATTGATAATTTATCAAACTTACGATAGTGTTGAACAAGGGCAACTTTGTTACTTGATTTTGTCCGTCATTTTTAACTCGTGAATTGCGTGAATGCGCAAGAGCGAGTTGTAGATATGATGTGAAGAATGGCGCTCGCTCGCTCGCTCGCTCGATTGGTCGATTCCTGTAAACATTTTTTCGATTTTAGGCTTTTGAGTGCATTTGATAGTTTTTGGCAAGTAATAAACAAACGAAATGGCGACCTTTGTTGCTAAGAATAGTGGTGGGGTGAAAAAGAAGCCAATGATAATCTTAAAAGAGTTTCTTGTTTTTCGTTTTAGTTTCAACAAGCGGCGCCAGCGACTGGTAGGCGTGCGAGGATTCACACTGAAATAAGAACAACCTTCGTTTTTCATAGAATTGTAATTTAAAAACCTTGAACTTGAAAACAATCCGAAGACTCATTAAAAACATCACTTACTCCGAAGCGCTCGGAGTTAACAGCTTTAAAAACTTTTTCTGTTAAGGCGTGAGACTAGAGGCAAAATCGATCGTTACATTTCTTATCGTGTGTTTTTTCTGTGTGAAGCAACAAAAGGTGCCGGCGACAGACGAAATTACTGGTTAACACGAAAATCAAATAAAACCTTCACAAATAATTTTGGCTACTGATTTTCAGTGAATTTTTAAAGAACAATTTTCTTTTAAGTTTCAAGACAATTTGAAGATTCAAAATAAATATTGCGTACTAAAATGCGAAAGTTATACACCACAGGCCTTAAATGAAATTCTATCTTGTTCTTGATTGTACGTTGCCTAGCACGTGACCAAAATCTACCCAGGCGGAAATTTAAAATGACGGTGGCAGTCTGGGCTTAGTTATATCACTCAAAACTCGTTCCCGTTTGTCTCATTTGATCAAGAGGGAATCGTCAATGATTTCATTAAGACAGTATTGCCTTGATTTTCCAATATTTACAATGACCGACAGTAAATTTCACTTTTCACCCTCATTTACTTCCAATCTTTTCTTTTGAACTAGAAACAAAAACGACATATGTTTTCAACACATGACGTCATCCACCCTTGTCAAATGCAATAGCATGATCACTTCAACTGTAATGCCTTCTTATCCCAACGTTACTTTGTTTCTATGCCATATTAGCGAACATTGAACTACTGCTCGTACTCTAAATAAGACAATCAACCACAAATTTCCCTAAACCAGATAACATTAAACATAATCCAAAAAATCATGTGAGTCATCTGTCAATTCACGAGTTTGCACACAGAGCACTTTGATTCTTATCTTTGTGAAACATTTCTTTGCGCCTATAGACTTGTCTAATTATTCTGATTAGTCTGTACATTCTATAGCTGCAATTATAGCTAATTTTTCTATACACTGTACGGGATTTGCTGTCGTTTAAAAGTTTAAGGTTGACTTTCAGATCTTCGTAAATTTTGTCAAAGCTGTAATTTTTTTTTCTTTTGTTTCAGGGATTAGAAAAAGTTTGCGGGTAAAATGCATTCGCTTTTACCGTGGAAATATATCCTCAGTCGAAGACGTCTTCTGCAAAGGGGCAACGAAACCACGGCAAGAGGAACGAGTCTGCAATGTCCACCAGTGTCCAATATGGTGAGTGAGATGGCTGTGTTGTATTATCACATCACACAACATACTGCTAAATACAGAAAATAAAAATGAAATAGTCATTGATTTCCTCCTTTCTAATTGAAGTCGTTCTTCATTATTAAGTTCCTCTGGAGGAAAAACCAAGAAAGAATAACTCTTCCTTTGTCTCCCACATTTTACACAGAGTTGTCGCTTACTTGAAGAGACCAAAAGAAGTGGGTTGTTTCCATCGCACGAAAAAAAAACTTAGTGAAATAGAAAGTCAAACCGATCATTATGGAAAATTTGTCTTGCTTTCTGCGATAGTTTGCTTTGTTTTACGTTTGATAGGACGGTAGACCGTTGGTTCATTTTTCAATATCTAGTTGGCCTTGTAAATGTGTTATACCACTTGGGTATATCCATTGAAAACCTTCTATAGCAGAATATAAGCATTTCTTAAAACGAAGAGAAGTGCCGAAGAAAGGGTAGCTTGTGACTTTCCCTGCGCGGATCATTTGTGTTCTTGTTATTTTCGAAGATTTCTGTAAATATTCTGAGCATCCCCGACAATTGCGATGTTGACCTTTGTTATCCACTTACTCGCCAATCTAAAATTGAAATTGGAATTTTTCAAAATTAATTGAAGATGCTTTAAATTAGTTCCTGTCAAAATTTCACACAGTGATGAAAAGGAACTTGAGCTGTCATTTTGTAGAACACAGAAATTAATTAAAGTGCCGTGGACTAAATTTAGATGTTTTTGTTTGCTGAAAAGTTCAACCTGTATCCCTCCAGGCAATTAAATGAAGCTCAAATCGCTTCATTAAGAATTATTTCAAAAAGTAATCAAGTTCGTGAAAATTCCCTGTGGATGGCAATTGGTGATTCACTAAGGGTTTTGAATGAATTGATTTAAAATCGGACCATCCGTTGGTCTGTAAAAAACTTTTTTCTTCTCGCAGTCTTCATGCAAGTCAAATAAACCTGAGAACTCTCATTTTCTTCTTTCGAGTATGTATACTTGACTCATATTCAAGCATCGAAGAAGATTGTGATTCAGGCTCATTACGCTCCTGGCGTAGCTTCTTACTGCGAATGTTACGAGCCAAACTTATGCTATTTGCAACGAGATAGATATATCAAACCGAAAAAAAAAACATCTCATTGCATGGATTTTTTTTAAAAAAGTTATTGAAAAAGATATCACTTCTCGTGGCGAACGTGGGACAAAACGATTAGTCCATCGAAGCCTGAAAATCCGAAGAATTGTGCTTCGGTTCGTCATGTTGACTGAGACTTTTTTTCGTTGTTCCTTACACTTGACGTTACGAATATTATCTTTCTTTTTCCTTCAGTCATCTCAAATTTATTTCATTTTCTGGGTCCTATTGAGCAGAAGCACAATTAAGATCGATAACGGAAATGAAGTAGGGTTAGCTGTCGGGGTATTTCCTCTTTGTGGGAGGTTCCCTCCCTAGGTAAATAATTTTTAAAGGTTTTCTGTATTGTGGTAGGGAAACATAAGGCTGCCGCAAGAACTTAATAGAACAACGCAAACGCTGGTTGATTTAGAAGATTTTCTTCTTGATTGCCTTATTAATTATTTAGCATGGCGGTTATAAAATCGTTTTTTCTAATCTGTCTTCCGTTCAAGTGTGTTCATTCACCGGCTACCGAAGACAAAAAGTTGACTCAATTTTCGGTATTGCCATAGTTATTCCAAACTCATCATAGTATTGGCTTACAATTTTCGCAGCTCGAAGATATCGCCAGAAAATTTGCAAAATAATTAAGATATAGAATAACAACGAAGACTTCCCTGCTCACTTACTTTTTGATCAGTTTAATGCAGTTCAGAAGGATTTGCTAAGGATAGAAGTATGGAAAAAATTAATGCCGTAACTTAAAACAAAAGTGTCAAAGTCGTTAACAGTTACATCCGAAAACAGAAAAGCAGAAGCAGCAGAAAGAGGGCAAAATGCATTTGAACACGGTCCCGACAATGGCCGAAACGACTCGTGAGCCATATGTAAATGTAACTTCTGAACAAGAAAACTCAACTCTCTCTTCGTTTACGAAAGGAGAGTTGGAAAGTGGTGCAATCATTCTCCTCATTCATTCACGAAAGGTATCGGTAATCTCTTTTTCCACAATTCTATCTATGGCGGTGCTCTTAATTTTGTTGGGAATCTGTGTGAATGGGGTCATTTGCCTCATAATGTTTCGCGGCAGCCGCTACAAGAGGAACACTTCCAACTTCTTCATCCTGCATTTATCAGTCACAGAATTGATTTTTCGCCTTCTTGTCTTCCCCCTGGTTGTTTATTTTCTCGTTCCAGCAACCATTGTTGAAAACATTCATTGTAAAGCACTGACCTTCGTTTCAACCGTCTTCACTTCTGCTACGTTTATAAGTCTAGTCGCCATTGCAAGGGACAGACACGAAAACATCGTTCATGCTATGAAAGCCTGGACGAAGAAATGCAAGAGGACAGGATATTGTTACCTCGTTCTTCCAGTCTGGTTATACGCCTCAGTCATATCAATACCGCTCGTGTTCAGTGTCAGAAGTCTCTACATCAGCAAGACTCCAGAAGCCCAGAGTTTTGATTGCCAGGATTGCTCTGAGAAAAAGATTTGTGATATTCCTAAAAATGCAGTGGGTCGCCTGTCCACAACAGTGTACCTAACTTTTTCTTTTTTGTACCACTTATCGTTATTGTTTCGTTGTACACAAAAATTTCGATCTTCTTATACAAAAGAAGTAAGGATAAAGTCATACACAAAGCTGCTGCTCGATCAAGGTTGAAAGCTGTGCGCATGCTCACTATTCTCGTATTGGGGTACATACTTTCTCTAGGTCCTTCGGCTCTGTTTAAAGTGCTAAGATCTTATGGCTTTGTTAACAATATGTCTTTTTCTGACATATTAACTGTCACTTGGGTTCTAGAGTTTGAGACGTTGTTAAGTTCACTTTGGAACCCGATCATTTATGTGTATTACAATACTGACTTTAAAAAAGAGATACTGGAGTTGTTCTGTGGAAGTAGCGCTTTTAAAACCAAGAGACTGGTCATTCCTGCAAAGTACCATGAAGATCGTTTTTAGAACAAAATTACCATCTATTTTCAAATCCGCTCGCCTTATATTTAATTCACACGGGCGCAACTAATTCATTCACCTGCTGTCAGAACGGAAATTGTACATACATTCTTTTATTACCACGGATGTCTTGTTTTAATGGATTTTCTAGACGATTATATATTGCATAAACATTAATTTTAATTGTAAAATTTATATTACCTGTAAACATTAATTTTATGCAACTGTAGTTTAACATCAATTTAATGTAATTGTACTCTGGGCTGCTATTGATAGCAGGACGACCCTGAGCCTTAAAATTAAATATTGATGTCTCTCTGTCTGATATACAAGTACATAATCTCGCACTGGGAATGGTCTAGAAAACTGGTGTCACCCCGTCAGACAAAAAAATAAATAAAATAAAATAAAAAACAAAGCAAAAAAGGATAAATACATGGTATACTTGTGTTATTCTGAATTTGATTATTGGTCATCTTGACACTGTCAAATTGAAATAAAGAGATGTTCTCGTGATAGTATGCTTAAGTGAGAGTACAAAGCTATTGAAAGGCCGCAGAGATGAGACAAACGAGCGCGCACTACTTTCTTAATGCATGCCAAAGTTCCGAAATGTTTACTTAACTAAGAGTCTTCGTTGGTTAAACGTTTCGAATGGAATCAAGATAATGTTCTCATGATGGTATGCTTAAGTGAGAGTACAAAGCTATTGAAAGGCCGCAAAGATGGAACATACGAGCGCGCACTACTTTCTTAATGCATGACAAAGTTCCGAAATTCTTACTTAACTAAAAGCCTTCCTTGGTTGAACGCTTCGAATGGAATCAAGATTCATTAAACACCACATTCACTGATACGAAAGTGGCGCAAAGGCGGGAATTATTGCAGGGAAAAAGAGAGAAAAAACAAAAAAAGGTACAGCTCGACATCGTTCAACATCTTCAGTTGTGGTGCATTTTTCAAGCCAGACAATTTCAATTCAGACTTCAAACGTGTATTATCATTTTTTTTCCACATCATATTTTCAAATGAATACTCAAAATGTTGTCACTGCTTATGAAGTTTTAGCCGCCTTTGAATAAACGTCACCATTGAAATAACAGCTCCTTAAACTCGACTTCTTAAGTACACGTAGTTCTAGTATACTTAAATGAGTACAAAGCTATTGAAAGGCCGCAAAGATAGAACATACGAGCGCGCACTACTTTCTTTATGCATGCCAAAGTTCCGAAATTTTAACTTAACTGAAAGCCTTCCTTGGTTAAACACTTCGAATGGAAATAACAGGCCGAAATAGAAAATAAGTAAATTCGTTAAACACCGCTGCTTGTACATGCACATGTACATGTATGAACTGCCCTTGAATTACGAAAGAAAAATGAAAGTATAACTTAAAAATAGTTGTCATAAACATACAAAGCAACCAATATGTTGTGATAAACGTAAATAATCACAAAAAGGTATTAAGCCTAATGTTATTATAAAGTTTTATCGTCTACTCAGAGACCAATTAGCATATTTCCATTAAAATTTTCAGACATCTATTAGTTGCAGTTGATTTATTCGCTAACGAACTTTCATCCTATTAAAAAATAGCACTACTAGTTGGCGTACAACACTAACAATACGTACAACAAAGCAATGCGAAACTATCCATAATTGGAAACAATTTCCAAACCATGTCTTAGATAGCGGGATTTCTATTTCAAATTTTCACCTTGGTAAGTACATACTGTGTTCAAAGTTGGCGTACGACATAAACTACATCGTTGAGCGGAATGTTGAACTGCTGTTTATGCAGCAATAGCTAGAGGGTAAAGTTGCTAAAAAGCTGTAAATTTGGGAGGTCCTTTTGGAAAATATCCAGTACCTGGAAACAGTTTTTATAATAAGTTTCAGCTGGCTTGATTCTAGAACAGAACACTTGCAAAATGGCCGAGGGAGATACAGAAGGCCAAACCAATTCTGGATCAACATTTTTGTTAATCCGCTCGTACGACGAAGCGCGAAACCTCTTCGCTCTTTTTCTGACTATCAATTTATTCCTCATTCTGTTTGCATTAATTGTCAACGCGTCCATATGCTATATTATGATTCGTGGGAAACGGTACAAACGAAACAGGTCCAATCTATTTATCACCCATTTGTCCGTGATGGAACTGATATATCGCTTCCTTATATTTCCCTTGCTTGTCTACCTTGCTGTTCCATCATCAGGAATACAGAGTTTCCATTGTAAAGTTGCATCTTTCTTTTCAAGTACCTCTGCATCAGCCATCTTCGTGAGTCTGGTTGCCATCGCTGCAGATAGATACCACAACATTCTTCATCCCTTGGAGAACTTGAAATCAAAACGGAAGCCCACTTTGCTCCTATCTGCGGTTTGGGTGTATTCTGCTGTTGTGTCAATCCCAGTTGTCGTCAGTGCGAGAGCTGTTCCAGTTTTAGAGATCCCCGAAGCTCGAGAAATGACTTGCGACAATTGTGCTCATGAGAAGCTTTGTGATATCCCTCAAAACTCGCTGGGTCGATCCTCCACCACATTTTATTTTCTTCTTGCATTTTTTATTCCACTGGCCGTCATCTTTTGGCTTTACACGAAAGTAGCCATCTTCCTTTATCGCAGAGGCAAGAATGGAATGATGCACAAAGTAAAGGCCAGGTCAAAATCCAAAGCAGTACGAATGCTCACAATAACCGTTATTGGATATGTGCTGTCTCTTGGTCCCTATGTTGTTGTGGCAATGCTCAGATCCTACGGTATTTTTAACGAAACTCCATTTGGTATCATGTTTCTCATTAATGGGCTGGTCGATTTTGCCTATCATACAAGTTCACTTGGAAATCCGTTGATTTATTCGTATTACAACGGAAATTTTCGAAACGAAATCGTCCGGCTTTGTTGTAGAAGTAAAGGTGGAGAGGTAGCTCCATATGCAGTGACATTTGTTAATTCACAAATGAATAACTAATCACATTTGCGTCTCTTTCTTTCTTAAGAAAGACAGCACTGAATGATTGGCACAGTTTCATTAACCAGTTGATGAGTTCTACATTGTAAGGGTTGAAAACATTTCCAACGAATTATGAATTTGTAGGAATTGTACCTTATACCAGCCTGGGAAATCACACGTGTCTACATTGTTGAAGCTTTGCATTAACTTTGCACTTGTCATGAGTTTGAGATAGCGGTTTGGGATTATTTAATTTCGTAAAAATTATAACTTTAGTAATGGCACTTATTTTAGATGCGCTCAAATAGTCTAATATTGATATTTTTTTGTAAGAGGAGGCAAACAACTTTCATTATAAGCCAAACTATTGGATATGGTTCTCAACGTCGATGTAGGCGCCTCATTAGTTTGTCGAACCAATCAATCAAATCTTTATTCATAAGCTTTAATTAACTTATAAGAATATGATAAGGAGCTACTGAGATGACTTTATTATCGTAGAAGTTAACTGGCAAATCCAATAGATTTTCATCGGAAAGTCGACACATTAACGGTTGGGGAGGTAGCAGACAAAATAAGGAGCATTGTTTCTGGTTTCATATTGTTATTCAAGTGGAAATGATGAAATACATTTAACTCTACTTTTATAAAACCTTCATTCGGATGTTTTAAAAGGAGCGGTAGAAATTGATTTTTTCAAGCCCCTACCTTTAAGTAGAGGTCATTAAGAGGTCACAATTTTAATACGTAATTGAAAATTGTTAAAAACCATAGAAACGAGTTTGCTAACAACATTAGCATTTTTAAAACGCCTCGGGATGTAACTAAAGCTGCTGCACGTAGATGACTGATTTGCAGATTAAGTATATCATTCATAGGTACAGAAACCTGCTAATGGCGTTTGATTTACATGCTAATGGAACTTTATCTTCTGGAGGTGTAATGTTCGAAGCTGACGTAGAACACAGAAAAAAAGAAACAGAGCAATGAGTCGTTGAGCGGAAGAGTGAACTCTCAGGTACAATATCACGAGCTCTTACTTATTGAGAAACTTTGAAGGATCTCATTAAACTGAAAACTACTCATCAATTGGAAACGATTTAATTTCCAAACATTTTTCAGCTGGTTTGGTATTGAAACTCAAGTTATGTGTGATGGCTGAGGAAGATGCCATGAGGAATGACACGCAGTACAAGTTCGTTAATCCGGGCTCAACACTTTCGCTGATTCGCTCGTACCAAGAAGCGAGACACGTCTTCGCTATTTCTCTGTCTTTAAATTTACTCCTCATTGTGTTGGGAATAATTGTGAATGCGATCATATGCTATGTTATGCTGCGTGGGAAACGCTATAAGCGAAACAGTTCCAATCTATTTATTACTCATTTGTCGGTGGTTGAACTGGTTCATCGCTTGCTTATCTTTCCCATTTTAATTTCCTTCGCCATTCCAGCGTCGGGAATTCAAAGTTTCCAGTGTAAAGTTGTATCATTCTTTTCTCACGTCTCTGCATCGGCCATATTTATTAGTCTGGTTGCCATTGCTGCTGATAGATATCAAAACATTGTCCATCCATTGGCAAACTTGAAATCAAACAGAAAGCCCAGTTTGCTCCTAATTGTGGTTTGGGTGTATGCTACCGTCGTGTCAATCCCAACTGTTTTCAGCGTAAAAGCCGTTCCAGCTTCAGAGATTCCGGAGGCTAAAGGTATGACCTGCGACGCCGATTGTGCTGGCAAGAAGCTGTGTGAAATCCCTCAAAACTCATTGGGTCGATTTTCAACCACTTTATATTTTCTTCTTGCATTTGTTATTCAACTTGTCGTCATATTTATATTTTACAACAAAATAGCCATCTTCCTGCATAATAGAGGCAAGAATGGGATGATGCACAAAGTAGCGGTAAGATCTACGTCCAAAGCAATACGAATGCTAATAATAACTGTATTAGGATACATGATTTCTCTCGGTCCTCGTGTTGTTGTGGCAGTATTGAGATCTTACGGCATTTTTAACGGAACTTCATTTGCGGCCATGTTTTTATTTCATGCTTTGGTGGATTTTGCGAGTTATTCAAGCTCAATGGGAAATCCCCTGATTTATTCGTACTACAATGGAGATTTTCGAAAGGAAATCGTCCGGGTTTGTCGCAGAAAAAAAAAAAAAAAATTGCCTCATATGCAGTGACATTTGTAAACTGTAACACAAACAACTAACTGAGTGATTTCGAATTTTTAGGTGGGAAATAACTTACCAAGTTGTGTAAATTGTAGACAGCAATAGTAAAATCTGAGTGGCTTACGCGCAAAATTGGCTATAATGAAATGTATATCGTGTACGTGCTTCTGTCAGGTTAACTTTATGGTCATTTTAAGTACTTAGCTGTACAAATTTAAGAGAGATTTATTCCCTATTTCTTGTCTTGATTTATCTCTCTTGTCTGGTTCAATACGTTCGACAGCGAACGGCTCGCAGTGGGAGCTAAATATCACACTTTTGAGTTGGTTCAGCCTCAGGAACAAGACAAGTGGTAATTATAAGTCGCGCACATACAGTTAGAAAGCGCGTATCATTTACTATGAACCAAGTTAGATTTAAAATTCTCTTGTCAGCCCTTGATACTGTTTGAAGAAACTTTGAGATATGCTGAAAACGTGTTGAGAATTATAAATATTCTGAGAGATAACTGCTACCGAGGGCAGTGTTCACGATAATCGTGTAAAGCAGAGTCAATTTTGCATTATGTGGGATGACGGTAATATGATCCGTCAAATGCTGAAGGGCAAGCTGTGTTAATGTGTGACATGTTCGAAATTAAACTGTGACTCTGTAATATAAGCATGTTGTTAAGTTTCGAAATTGTGACATGGAAAATCATTTTAACCCCCATTAGCTGCATGGTAAAGTTTTGGATTCAATGACAGTAAATGGAGTTTAAAAATTTAATTTTGTGCTCTTAGATTTCAAAACATTATTTTAGTTATTTAAGTCTCGCTTTTCGATAGTTATTTTACTTACTTGGAAATCTTGCAAATAATCCCAGCTTTTATAAAAAAAGCTTTTTCTTTGATTAGGTTTTTAAAATTTAATTATTTCCGTCGAAAGATGAACATTTAATTGAACGTGGGCCTGTTTACTTTATAAGGCCCACTAATGGCATATAAAGTTATGAAATCTGCCCAGCATTTTTCAGCTGTTGCTTAGTCACAGGGAAATTTGCCGTAAAAAGGCCATGATGCGGTTTGCCTAGCCGTCTAGAAGGAAAAGCATCATTTGCCAAGAGACTTTCTGCCACGTATGAGCAACAGCTACTATGATGTAGGCCATAAGTTTTGTAACTTAAGACGTAGATATGTTTTATATGATGACTTTCTATCTAATTTTGGTAAAATGTGTTGACGCACAATATACAATGTAAATAGTCTTCGGCAATCAGATGGTGCACAGTAAAAAATTAATTAAATTTTCACCGTATGTTGTCAAGCTTACGCCCACAGAGATATACACCTGTACTGTAAGATTTGATAGTAACGTATTTACAATTTTTTTGTGACTAGGTTATTTAACTTTGTACATAAATGCGCATTTTTAACATTATTAAGGCTTCTCATTCACTCAAAAGTTTCTTGCAGGTCTCTGTTATATCAAACATGGCAGTCAAACTGAATTATCCCATCCAAGCTTGAACCATTTTTCCCAATAAGTATTACTGTAAAAAGTTCCCCGGAAATCTCTGTTATATTAAACATGGTAGTCAAATTGCATTTACCCCATCCAATCTTAAATCATTTTTCCCTATGAGTATAACTGTAAGAAAATCAAACTTAACGAGATAAAAATTGATCTCGTCCAGTAATGAATTTAATGAAAACGTGAGCCTTCATTTTGATTGGTGATTTGCCATGAATTGTAAGTTTCATTTCCAGTTTTTGTTTATTGTATGACGTAAGCGGCTTTCATCCTTTTCATACAAAAGATTTTATTTGGACAGATTAAAAAAAAACATGAAAATTTGAAGAATCGATAAAGTAGGTTGTTGATCCTTCACGATTTACTACGCATTTATCAGTCTTGCAGATCATTCTGTCGCTGGCCAACTGCTCTCCCTTCGCTCCGACTAAAAGCTAACACTCGCATTCATTCTTAATGAAATTATTGCCGACGTATCTACTCTGTTAGTTTATGTTGCAAGAGATTATCTTTTGAATTCTCGGTTTCAGGATCGGATTGAGAAGGGTGAAAATATTGCGTAACCAAACTAACTTTCATCCGTCTTTCTTTCGACTGTCAGGTTGAGAAATGATGCTCCCCTGTAACTAACAAAACGATAGCGCAAATGACTCAAGTAGACAGGGAAACTCTTCTCAGCATTCGCTCGTATGAGGACGCAGTGAATCTATTTATTATTCATTGGCTCTCGATCCTCTTCTTGATAGTTCTGGGAATCATTTTAAACGTCAGAATTTGCATGACCATGGTGAGGAGGAAGCGTTACAAAAGAAACGCATCAAACTTCTTTATACTTCACCTGTGTTCAACAGAGTTGGTTTATCGCCTGCTTGTCTTTCCTTTGACTATTTACTTTGTCATTCCGAGGTCCGCAACCAAACAAATTCTCTGCAAGTTGGTATTTTTCTTCTCAGGGACTTGGCGATCGACTATATTTGGCAGCCTGGCTGCCATAGCTATCGATAGATACCAGCACGTTGTCCATCATTTCGAGTCTTTGAAATCAACAAAGGGAAGTCGTACTCCTCTTGTCCTTATGGCCTGGTTGTACGCTGCATTGACATCGTTTCCCTTGGCTATAGGTGTTAAAAACGTGCCTGTCGTGAGCATCTCTGAGGCCTAAAGTATGGAATTTAACAACTGCATTGACATAGCTCTTTGTAGCATTCCACAAACCTCATGCAACCATGCTTAATTTTTTTCTCGCGTTTGTTTTTCCATTGGCTCTATTAACTGCATTGTACACTAAAATGGCCATCTTCTTGCATAAACGAGTTAGCAATGGAATGATACATATTTACTATGGCCAGTTCTAGAGAAGTCAAAATGATCTTTCATCATAATTTATGACTTGAAGTCGTAAAGTGAGTGGTACATCTTCCTTAGTACAATTATCAAGGTCCAATTTTCATATGTGGCTTGAGTAATGAATGCTATTGGCGTAGCTAAGTCTGAAATTTGTTAAAAATGGTAAGATTGTTCATCACATTTTTCAGTTTTATTTTTTCTGTATTAAAAGTAACAAACTGTTCTTTCACGCGAAATTGTGAATGAAATATTTCGCATGTTCACCTCAGCACGAACACTGCTGTTTGTAGAAAAAACTATGCGATTCAATCTTTTCACGTGATCCATAATGATTTTAACTTAACAGGGATTAAAAAGGAGTTAGTACATTGTTTACATACTAGCATTTTAGGGTTTGAGGGTACAACACTGATAGTGGTACGCTTCTCCTGTATGAAATATGCCATTAGTTATTAGTGTATCAATTTTTTATATAAAGACGTCGACAATCAATATTCTTGATCCTCTGTAAAGCTCCTGCAAGAAGCGTTATATAAGAATAAATATGGCCAAAAAGTGAACGCGTTCTAACTGATAACGTATGACAAGAGCGCTGATGAAATTCTTCTCTTACAGGTGGGCAGTGTCGCCCTGGAGACCCTGCTCTAAGACTTGTGGAAAGGGTCTCCAGTACCGCTCGGTTCGTTGCATGCGTCAAACTACAAATGGCACCACTGTGGAGAGCCCTAATCATTTGTGTCCCAGAGATAAACCTTCTGGGGTCCAAAACTGCATAAAGAAAGCGTGCCATCTGAATTGGGTGGTCGGTCCATGGTCTCATGTAAGTTCTAATCGTAAGTAAGTTTTTGTAAAACAGCTGAAATTCTCGCGATCGCTTTCGCGAAATGTTCACACACGAGTCAAATTCGTAGCTGACACTTTACCTGACCGTTTGAAGTGACACATGCCACAAACTGATCATAAACCAGCTTGCTGTGCATACCACCTTACTTCTCTTTACTTTTTTTTTTCTTGTGGTATCTCGCAGTGCCACGGTCTCTGCGGTGTTGGACACCGTGTGAGGAATGTCCGCTGTCCAGTGGCTGGTAAGTGTGCACACGGGAAGAAACCGCCCAGCCGAAAATTCTGCTCAAGAGAATCGTGCTATCAATGGATTATTGGACGATGGAGCAGTGTGAGTACCTCTAAGACTACAATATAGCCATTCAAGGTTAATATATAAGCACTTTATCTATTTCACCTCAACACCTACAATTTCGTCAAATCCCTAACGCTTACAGACAATGACGTTTAAACTTTTCTAGAACCGGAAGAAAACCAAATACGAAAAGAAAAACCGAAAGTTGTGTTTTTAGTGACTTTGGTAATGACGTTTCTCACCGCTGAGAACGATAATCGATTGCTGAAAGATTTGCCACAGGCCGATTTTGGTCGTGTACCTGAAAGACTTACTCTGTCGGAAAGGACAAAGTCAATAACCGAGAATTTTGTATATTGAAAATTACGCCCATTGTTTTTGTAATGATTCAAGGCATTTTTTCATCTTGAGCCTCAGCGCGAACGCGCTTTGGTGCTAAGGCTCAGCGCTAGCTAATATGTTTTTTTTAGGGGGGGGACGATTATGAATATTCCTAATAAACGAAACTCTCTCCTGTTTCCTGTTCATTTTTTTTTTATCCCTGTTATATTTTTTTTGTCAGTGTTCCGCTGGTTGTGGTTCAGGAGTACAAAGACGGTCAGTGACTTGTTTGCACAGACTAACAAGGCGAGTCGGTGAAAAATGCAGCGCAGACTCTAAACCAGCATCACAAAGGCAGTGTAAAGTCAAGGAATGCAAGAAAATAGGTATGTGTACGTATTTAACCATGCATGGCATAAATTAAAGTAGTGTTTATTGGACAGCTATTGCTCCTTTAAAGCTGTAAGTCATCTTCTACCAATTTTGCAGAGATTTGAGGTTTAACCGTGACTGGTCATGATTGCTCTATCAAGCGGAGATGTTAATCGTCTAAAACCAAGGTGCCCCCCCTCCAAGAAGCTAAGGGGAACTCGAGCCAATATTTATGACTTCTACTCGTGTTCAGCATTATTTGTTTCTCCATTTATCCACAAAAGGGAAGAGAATAGCTAGAACATAAAGGCGCCTTTGAAATAACTGCGTTCTCTTATTAATTACTGTAAGGCTTTTACCGAAAAAATGCGTTTTTAAAAAATACTCACTGTTATCTAACCGTGCCTTCATCGATGCAGTCATTCGCCCCCTTAAAACCATCAGCTTTCAAACGCTTTGTTTAACATCATCTCGAATCTTGTGGGAAAAACGTCGAACGTATTTTTATTCAATATGATTTTTTACCAGATATTGTGTTAGAGACAGTGTGTCACAGAGATAAGTACTCCAGCAAGCAGTGCCGAGCAGTGCTGAGATTTGACCTCTGCTCCACAAGGGGGTGGCTGGACCTCTGTTGTAAGACATGTGAGGATGCTGGTCGAAACTAAATGTAGGTTTTTTAAACGCGTCAATAGAAAGTCTGATCTTGGAAGGGGGATTCTGAGGGGAAATTTGGGTAGTAGTTTGCAACTAAGACCCTTAAACTCAGATTTTCTTTAGACAAATCCCATCATTGCACCCTCCAGTCTATAAAGAAACAATTTTATATATTGTGGCATGTCCACCTTATGATGCCAAATCCATCCCTTTCAGAGGTGACCAATAAGTGATTTCTCCTTTTAATATCAGTCAATTGCCACGCAGAAAGGTGACGGAAACAAACAAACAAAAAAATGTCAAAAGCTAAAATTATTGGAAAGGAATGGCGACCGTAAGGAGAACTTATTTTAAGAAATTGGCCTCAAGAGGGCCAATAAACTTGCAAAATACTAATTTCGCAAGTACTGCCGGCGCGTTGATAACATTCAAGCCTTATTCAGGACTTCGGTTCCGAAGTTATATGTCATTTAGGACCCCCCCTCCCTACCCCCTGCACCCTTTGGAAAGTTAAAATCTCAAAGTCCAACTTAATCCAAAGGGCCATTTTGGATATGTTAAAATTCAAACTTAGCTCTGAGGCTAGGGGGGAATTAAACAAAAGAAATCACATCGAGGTTGAGGGATAAATAAATCGTTTCAGTTGTTTAATTCCCACTTGCCTCGGAGCCATCAAAGAATTTTAATTCATCATAATTGCATATCACCTAAAAGTTTAGCTATGGTGTGTTTATTTACATGTGTAAAGGTACGGGCTTTATGAATTCGTATAGATACTGAGTTTCTATACATCACTTCCTTTTAATAAACAAATAAATATATTTCTTTATTTTAATATATCTAGAATTAAAGTTAATGATACACCAATCAAAGAATAGCTGTCTTAACAAGTCAACCAAACTAGATCTGATTCATAAGAAGCTAAGAAAATTAGTTTGTCACCAGCCATTACAGATAAGTTTCTGTATTTTGTAACCTGTTTGCCTTTTTTTTTCATTATTAAATGTCTCTTATCAAATCAGTTGTTGGTATTAAATATACTCTTACTCTGATAATAACTTGTGATTAAAAAAATTGTTTCGAGCTCTTTTTGCTGGGAAATTTTAAACTGTTCTACACATGCCATCGCTTTAATTTTCTAATTAAGCAAAATTGACTGCTTTTTTCGATTGTAAAGCAGATGTTATAAAGAGGCTCATGAACGAATTTTCATTAATCCAATATTCTTGCACTCAAAATCGTTGTTGAGATTATCTGTCTGTTTTGTGAAAGTATTAAAGTCACAGCTCTCCTGGAAGCGATAGGAAGTCAGTAACCGAAGCAATTTCTCTTGAGTCGTAGAGTTCCTCTTGGAAGGCTAAGAAAGCATTTCACATGTCCTGTTGTAAACAAAACATTTTTATTGTTTGTCATTCATAAATACCTCTTTGAAAAGGTTTAGTGGAGCAGAATACCGCCAAAATTGAGTGATCTTGAGGGATTTAATTTTTTTCTTTCCTTTTCTTCTAAGTAAAAAAAAGTTATATATAAAATTGCAATAAAAACTACTCGAGATAACTCCATTCAGTCCTTTTCTCTGCTTGTGAGGGGATTCCTACTACCTTTTTTGTGAATTCATAAAATTGGAAGAGAAATTTTATACTATTTTTTATAGTATTATTTTCAGATTTCTTTCTCGATATCCCCTCATAAAGTTCTTGTTAACATTGCATCGAGACGTTTGGTAAATGTTATGTGAAATATTAGCTTATTCCATATTCATACCTTTAAAGGCTCGATCACAACATCATTTAAGCCATGTTGCAGAGTATTATTGCTCTGAAACAAAAATGTTGACGCTGTTCACGGAAAATTTTATGTCTAAGATTTACCATAACAAACACTTTACCAAATTTACCCGCTATGATAAGAAACTTGCGGAAATTGAAAGTGAATGTTTGTCACATGACTTAAATACTGTTCCAATAATCACTTCCACACACGTAGAATTGTTGGAATAGAGGGGGGTAAGTTCCTTAAGAAACTGTGGTGCTGCGTGGGCGAGGGGTGTAAAATGATAAATTGGTAAGAATTTTGGGTTGTGTCAGTTTTCTTTGCATGAAAATGAAGCAACGTTATTGTTGGGAACACGGTTACGAGGAAAAAAAACGAATAAATTAGTTAAATGAAAAGCGTTGTATATCGTGGTGATTAAAAGTGCCGGGTTAAACCTTATCAAAATTCTAAGTGAGCATTGATATTCATGCAAGGGAGTCGTTTTACACTCGATTAGACAAGGATATGGCAAACAAATTTAAAATTCTACGATGTATCTTTCTCCACCTGTTATGGTCATTGTCATTCGAGAGTATTCCTCTTCCAACGCGATTTTCCATATGGCGACTTACATAGGAGACGGACTCTTCGGGCCAAACGATAGGTTGGAAGCTTTGGTACTGTTTGTTCTTTACAAGACGTGTTATTGTTGTTCTAGGTACATATTGCCTGTCAGACGTTACCATTGCATCAAAGTTCTGTGGATGAAAACTCCCAAAGAACGCTAAAATACGAGTTAGCCATAGATCTATATATTGCTTTCAGTCACAAGGCATGATTTGAAATAAAAAAAACTGCATGGCAGGCACTGGCTCTTGAAAAATTGTGAAGTAACTAATTTTAAAGATAAACTCGACCTTAGAAAGACTCGCCGAGACCTAACTGATATAAGACAATTCAAATTTTGGTAAAAGTTTGAACCTGATATTGAATTATCTAAAAACTTTCAAAAACTCTTGTTTTCCATTTTCTTTCCTTCCTGGCATCTAATCTTGACCCAAGAGAAATAAAACTAGCTATGAAGATTTCTAAACTTGTTTTCCTCGTTCGGCTTGGCAACTGAATCGACTGAGTCAGCTAACATCTATAACTTATTAACAGTTTGGACAGCAGTAGATTCAGACCTTATAAAAAGAGAAAAACATTATTAATAGATCGTATCAAAATCATGATAATTTTAACTTTTAACATGAGTAAGCTTTGCAGGTTAAGTGAATGGTATGATGAAATGAAAGTGTAAAGATTCTCTTTATCGTGCAGCAGTACCGGTCCCTCTCTAGATTCTTATAAATGTTTTCCAAATTCAACTTTATAAGATGCTAAGAGTAGAGAAATTATTGATAAAATTTGAAATTTTATCTTAAAATTTCAAACTATGAACATTCCAACACGTTATAAGATGGTTTATATTACATTTTGGCTTTTACGTCTCCCTCTCTAGATTCTTATAAATGTTTTCCAAATTCAACTTTATAAGATGCTAAGAGTAGAGAAATTATTGATAAAATTTGAAATTTTATCTTAAAATTTCAAACTATGAACATTCCAACACGTTATAAGATGGTTTATATAACATTTTGGCTTTTACGTCTCCCTCTCTAGATTCTTATAAATGTTTTCCAAATTCAACTTTATAAGATGCTAAGAGTAGAGAAATTATTAATAAAATTTGAAATTTTATCTTAAAATTTCAAACTATGAACATTCCAACAAATCTGTTCGCCAAGAACCATTTAATCGTTCGGTGTTGTTTGAAAATCATGTATGTGAAATGCCTAATGAGAAATGAATATGAAAGTTATCTTCGCAGAAAATTTTCATATATTCAAAACGATTGATTGATTACTTGACGAATTTCATTATGAACCAGCGTAATGACCAGAGCACTGCACCGGTATCGCAGAGGTCATTGGTTCACATCCCATACAGGCCTGAATTTTCGGGTCTTATTTTCACTACTGCTACAGTAGTTTTCATTACTGCGAAGATCTCTTTTATATTCAAGCTCATATTAAAAGTAAACCAACAAGAGAAAATAAAAATCCCTCGTAGTCTGGTGTACTGAAGACCAAGTCGCGGCACACGTCATTGTGGCACTCCACGCACGTGAGGCACGAGAAAGGCGTGCCTGAGCAAACCCCATTAGAACAGCGATCGTTTATAGTGCACGCTATGCCGTCGGTGCATGGTAAAGTATCGTTGTTTGTCCAGGCGAACTTGTTGCTGTCGTTACAATCCTATCCAACAACAAAACACGATTCAGTAACATTAATCAGTTGAATCACGAAGAAGTTGTCTACCTTTGTTTAGCGGGCAAGCGAAACATTGAGGAGTTCATGGACTTAATCGCAACATAGAGAGGGTAATATTTTCCCAGTAACAGTTTTAGGGAGAATAGGCATTTTCAGGAGTTATTAGTGAAACTGTATTCTTTACTGTATAACGTCTGGCAGTCTTGACCTGTGTTGACCTTTTAGTGAAAAAAATGACAATTTAATCTTCCCTTGTGGACGTCATAAGTTTTCCTTGAAGCTTTTAGATTTTATCAAGATGTTATCCCACGCTAATAAATTTCATTTCTCTCCCTCTATCCGATGAACAATACGTATAAAAAGTTATACAGTAATAGAAATGTTACCTGACACTGATTGCTAGGGTTAACTGTACCATACGCGTGACAGTGGTTATTGATCTTACACTGCCTCAAGTCACATTGTGTACCCAGCTTGGTGTAGCAAGAATTACATTTGCATGTGTAACTGCCATGTGTGTTGGTGCAGTTATGTTGGCATGGATTGTTGATGCACTCATCAACGTCTGTTGAAATACAGTAAAAAGGAAATACGAAGATCTTCAATTCATGAGCGAAAACTTGCAAATTACTTGTATCTCCTAAAGAAATAGTAATGACAGTAATAATGATCAAACAATCAAATTGCTGAACATTACAACTTCCTATCACACTCGATATTAAAATTGTCAAAAAGCTGCTTGATTGTGAATCATTTAAAAACACCAGTTTTTATTTCATAAATTAAAAATGCGTTATTGACCAAGCGTGAGGTCAAGATGGCTGGATATTAGTCGAGGTCTCTTCTTCTTGCGTTTTCATGGACCGACGCTAAGTTAAGGTACATAGAGACGCAAAAAAGAAATGAACGATATATCAATAAAAACTAGACTCTCACTCTCTAGAAGCACTTGAGGATTCTAAATAAAGATAAAATATTTTTCAATAGGAATTGGTATTGGTCAAAGAGAAATATGGAAAAAATCAGACTGCCGGACGTTTAGTTATTCAAAGACCGTGTCCGGTAGTGTCCGAAGAAAATTTTGTAAGTGTCACGCTTGGATCTCTTTGTAGTCTGTGTTCAGGGTCGGCGAAACGGACAAAGTTCGAATGTTTTCATTCTCTAGAAGCGCTTGAGGATTGTAAATGAAAGTAGACTATTTTTTAAGGAAAATTGGTGAATTGTTTAATATGTTATCTACTGCGCTAGCTAATTAAGGCCACAATTTTCAATTAATTATTACTAATCGCATAACGTGATGACGTCATAAACGGAATTCACTGTATTACGACTTGCTAGTCAGAAGAACTGTGAGACACCACTGGATTTTGAACGCGACTACTCCAAGCGATGATTCAATAAAGGAGCTGTTTAAAACCGTGGACTGAGTTAATCTTCGACTGGCAAAATATTCAAAATCCACGGTGGTCTGCTACAAAGCGACAACTGGATAAGCGAAGATGGAAAACGCAGCTGAAATCGAGAAGGCTAAAAGCAAGCGTACAACAGCTAAAGGAAGATTCACAAGAAAGAAGAACTTCCTCACCAAGTCGATAGACAACAACCAAGGCGTAGAAATAGTTGAAACAAACTATGCGAAACTCGCGGAAGCGTACGATGAACTCGAAGGCAAACATGAAGCCTACATCGAGCTATTGCCAGACGATCAGTCTGAAGAAGCAGAAGTGTGGATGACAGAAGTCCAAGAGAAGTTTTTTATTTAATCAAATATGTGGAACAAATCACTGTGAAAGAAAGATCAACACGTGCGTACGCGGAGCGTCAAGAATACATTGATAAAGCACGAACAAGACAGAAAACAGCGCGCGCAGTTTTCGAAGCTTCATACAAAAGTATCTCGCACGCGCTGCAATCTAAAGAAATTCCCAATTTTGCATTGAGAGATTTACAAATGCAAATTGAAGAAGAATTTTTGGAATGCAAACGATCAAACGCAGAACTGCTACAATTATTAACTCAAGACTCAGCAGAAGCTGAAATAAATTGGATCGCTACAATCCAAACCTGTTATCATGAAATAAAGAAGAAAATAGCGCTAAGCTACACTAATGTGGAAGAAGCTAAAGAAACAAAGCGGGAGTCTACGCCTCAGCTTCCTTTCTACAACTAGAAAAAGTACGAATGCCTCACTTTGACGGAGAACTGCGCAAGTATCCGCAATTTAAAAGAGATTTCCAGAAGCAAGTTATGACTCAAATCCGAAAAGGTGACACAGCGTACGTCCTACGCTTTATAGAATTTGTAACCCTCATAGAGGATGGTTATCGTAACCTAAAAAAGGACTCGGCTTGGAAACAGAGATCACAACCACAAGTTCAGTCAGCGTAATTGAGAAAGCACTCCCGTCAGATATCAAACGGAAATGGTCCGAACGGGTAAGCTCTCGTGACAGTCTTGTTGATAAAAGCAACAAATTTCCAAGTCTTCTCGACTTTCTACAGAGTCAAAGGGATGCCATTGAATACGAAAGTGCTACACTCCGTGCAGGAAGCGGCAACCAATATCACAAGGGCGCAGCACATTACTCGGAGGGTATCACAGTTGGAAAAGACGGAAGTACCAAAGAACCTAGGCCTAAGTGTCTGATTCACGAGAATGGTAAGCACTGGACGTCAAATTGCCGACTTTATCAAGCTAAGACAGTTGACGAAAAAAGGGATTTTCTCAAAGAAAAGCAAGCATGCTGGGCTTGTCTTAAGCCTGGTCACAGGCAGCGGACTTGTAGGATAAAAAGAGATTGCGGCGTGAATGGCTGCTCGAGGAAACATCACCCATCAATTCACGAAAACGATGAAAGTACACCCCAGCAAGCTTCTGCCTCCGCCAATGTATGCAGCGACTCCAACGTCGATACATGTCTCCTCCAAGTACAGAGAGTAAAAACCAGGAAGGGGACAGCTAATGTAATGTGGGACAACGCAGCCTCACTTTGCTTCATAACCAACGCCAAAGCGAAACAAGAGAAACTCAGTGGAGTCAAAGTGAATCTTTCAATAGTGAAGATAGGAGGGCAGAACGAGGAAATCGAAACAATGAAATACAAGCTACCACTTTTGGACAAGCGAGGTCAAGCCGTGGAATTCGAAGTATATGGGATCAAAAAAATCACCTCTGATATCGAGCATGTAAACATAGAGAGCATCGCCCACCTATTTAGAAACGTTTCAAAGGATGAAATAGCGCGACCCGCCGGTCCAGTTGATGTGTTGATCGGTTATGAATACGCCGCCTTTCACCCGGAAAGGGAACAGAATAATGGGCATCTTGTACTACTGAAAAATCGTTTTGGAAGATGCCTTGGAGGAACTCACCTACTGCTTAGAGAAACGTGCATGACCCATAATCTTGGAAACGCGAGAGTACACTTTGTAGGCAAAGTCAATGTCGAAGATTTTTACACTATCGAGTCACTTGGTGTACAGTGCAAACCGAAGTGCGGGGGATGCAAGTGCGGAAAATGCTCCTTGGGCGCCAAAGATTATACCATACAGGAAGAAAGGGAACTGGAGTTAATTGAGCGGAATTTAAGATATATCGAGAACGGGAATTACAAAAGATTATGTCCTAAGATGCGAGAAGATGGTATATATGTGATTAGAGGACGAAGCAAGTTATGGATGGAGATGAGCTACAACAAGAGAGAAGTAATACTCCTTCCATACAATCACCCATTCTCACGTTTATTTACAGAGCAAATACACTTAAAAGGGCATCGTGGAATATTAACTACAGCCAGCAAAGTGCGTACCAGGTACTGGATCCCGAAACTGTTGAAACTTGTGCAATCAATCAAGTCCAAATGCGTCGTTTGTAGAAAACTTGATAAAAAAGTCAGTGAACAAGTAATGGGCAACCTTCCAACTAAAAGGCTGAAACCAGCCCCTCCATGGAGCAGTACAGGCATCGATTTGTTTGGACCTTACAAGATTCGCGATGAAGTAAAGAAAAGAACAACATCTAAGGCGTATGGAGTGATATTCAACTGTCTAGGGACAAGAGCAGTTTACTTGGATATAGCAGCAGACTATATTACAGAGAAATTCCTGATGGTCTTCAGACGATTCGTGTCACTACATGGTTACCACTAAGCTATTCTCAGATAACGGTACCCAACTCGTCGCTGCAAATAAAGAGCTTTCTAATATGACCAAGACTTGGGATTGGAACAAACTAAAAGGTTTTGGCATAACTGAGGGATTTGAGTGGATCTTTACATCCGCAGACGCACCCTGGCAGAACGGAGTCACAGAAGCTCTCATAAGATCTGTAAAACGAGCTATTAACGCTTCTATTGGCGATAGTACCTTAACATTCTCAGAGTTACAAACAGTACTTTACGAGGTCGCCAACTTACTGAATGAAAGACCAATAGGAAGGCACCCTGCGTCACCTGATGACGGTGCATATCTTTGCCCAAACGATCTTTTGCTTGGTAGAGCAACGGCACGAATACCAAGTGGCATGAACTTTGACGAGCGAGCGAGTAATAGAAAACGGTTTTCGTTCGTACAAACGATAACATCTTCTTTCTGGAAGAAGTGGACGCAAAATTACTTTCCCAGTTTGCTGATACGTCAAAAATGGCATACATCCCACCGTAACTTAAAAACTGGAGATATCGTTCTTATAGAGGACTCGAGCTTGTTCAGAGGTAAATGGAAGATCGGGAGAGTTTCTAATACATATCCAGGAACGGATGGGAGAGTCCGGAAAGTAGACGTCGAATACAAGAACATAACAAATGAGCCTGTAACTAAATATAAAGGAAAAGGCTATATAAGTGTACAGCGACCACTACAGCGCCTAATATGAATACTGCCTATTGATGAACAGTGACTGAACTCTTAAATTTACTTGTAAATCGTATACTTACTATACCTCATTTCAGATGGGGGAGTGTATTGTTTAATATGTTATCTACTGCGCTAGCTAATTAAGGCCACAATTTTCAATTAATCATTACTAATCGCATAACGTGATGACGTCATAAACGGAATTCACTGTATTACGACTTGCTAGTCAGAAGAACTGTGAGACACCACTGGATTTTGAACGCGACTACTCCAAGCGATTATTCAATAAAGGAGCTGTTTAAAACCGTGGACTGAGTTAACCTTCGACTGGCAAAATATTCTACCTATTCTTCGACTGGCAAAATAATTGGTATATTTCAAAGAGAAATATGAAGTTATTTGAGGACCGTGTCCGGTCGTGTCATTGAAAATTTTATAAGTGTCAAGCGCTTGGATAACGTTGTACTCTGTATACGGGGTTGGCGAAAAACATCAAGTTCGAAATTTTTGGCTGCCTAGAAGCGCTTGACGATTTTGAATTAAGGTAGAACATTTCGTATAAATATTTTGGATTTCGAAGAGAAATATGGAAAAATATTGGACTACCGGACGTTCAATTATTTTAAGACCGTGGCAGCCGCCGAACGTTTAGCTACTTCATTGTAGGAACGTCAGCGACACTAACAGTTTGTGTAAGATCTGGAAGATTACATTTATAACAATTACTCATAAAAAATCAAGTTCTGAAGCAGCAAAATGCTATACGGCCGAAGAGGTATACGAAAAACGGATTTATTAAGACAGATAGACTCCCGTTTTAGAAGCAATTATACACCACAAAGGATTAGCATATCGCTGATTATAAATTTGAATAGTCTAAACTAACTTCTTCAAGATGCCCACACCGAGACATTAGTCCATAGTTTCGCTGCCTGAATACGCAAAATTTTTCAGGATGGAGACTCACCTTTCTCGCAACATGTTCCTTCGTATCCCAATCGGCAACGACATCCGCCACTATTCGGGGTGCCGCCGTTATGGCAGTTACCCCTGTTACACGATCGCGTCACCACCAACTGATATGGACATTGTCCACCACACTGCGCGGAAAAAGTTTTCTGTCGGGTGCGATTCTGCGTGCCACTAGTTCCACAACGATGGGAGCAAGAACTCCAAACACTCCAGCTTCCAACCCGACAGTTTACCGGATTGCATGGTGCTCTTCGAATTCGTCTTCGTCTTCGCCTCCACGAGAAAGTCGAATTGATCTCAATGCACAAGAGCAGAAAGCAAATTGTCAAAATGCTGATTTTCATATCGCGTTTCTGTCAGTTGTTTGCTTAGTAATTTCTTTTACTTAGTTAGACCTTATAAAATCGTCTGGCACTACCGGAAACCACGGACATTTAGCGCCGGCGGTAAATCTGACCGGTTTATAAGCTGCGCATGCTTTAGAGTATGTAACAAGATGGCGGACGGAGAGAGCAACAAATGAAAACAGAATGATCATAAAGCGCTTTACGAATTCTTTCCAACGGATAATTATCAAGTAAATGATAAGGAACGATATCGGTCCAAATCTAAGATTTTTCAAGTCGAAAGACTGCTTTCGAAACGGAAAAGCGGCAATGGAAGTACTTACTCGACCGTTCCACTTCTTATTTATTTCCTCATAAGAGAAAGAGTACCTTATCAAGTGGAAAGGATGGCCCATGTCATCATGTACTTGGGACCCTGCACTCCATCTGTCTAAAGGGCTTATCTGGTGAGATGAATTATTACCGCAACAACATGATTTTTCAATTTATACTAAAATGTAAAAAAAAATTTAAAAAGTTGAAGTAAATATAGTGCCTTCAGAACAAGACAGGCTTTTTAGTTGGCTTCCAATATTTAAATTTTTTAAAAAATTTGTTTTTGTTCTAATAAATCTGTTTTCTGAAGCTCCTCTAGACTTTGTAATAAGCCTCCACAATCCTCAGAAAGTGAAATTGCTTCAGCATCTGGTGGCTTTTATTTGGCAGTCAAGTGAATTTAAAAATCAAATGCTGTCAAAGTGCAGCACACTTGCTCATTCAACATAAAGCAGGATGTCTGTTGATATTTTTTAACTCAAAGGAATAACATCAATGGACTCTAAATACACCATGCTCAGCTTAAAGGATTTTTACATGTTGTCTCTACCCTATCATTGGTGGTATATATGTGGATGCTCAGGGAAAGGCTATTGATTTTCCTTTAAAGATGAAAGCTTACGTTGGAAACTCACCAAAGCATTTCATTGTGAAAGTAGGGAAACTTATTCAAGCACCAACACTACCCCTTGAGGTGGTATCTCTCACAATTAATACTAAAACATGCAGTAAAGAATATTTACCAACCTAAATTTTAGCTATTTAATATTTTTAGTAAAGCCAACAAAGCATTGATAGTTGGAAGATAGAGTTACATGTAAAGGACATACAGTTTTTACATTTGGATGTATTTAAGACAGTACAACATGCTTGTCATCAATAATATTTTAAATCATGTTTTTATATGAAACTGAGTGTGCTTAGAATTGCTTTTAACTTTCTATTTTAATTAATTATTATTATTATTGATTTTTTTTATTTTAAAGAATATTGACCAACCTAACTTTTAGCTATTTAATATTTTTAGTAACACCAACGAAGCATTGATATTTGGTAGATAAAGATACATGTAAAGAAGGATATAAAATTGTTACATTTGGATGTATTTAAGACAGTACAATATGCCTGTCATCAATAACATTAAATCATGTTTTTATATGAAACTGAGTGTGCTTAGAATTGCTTTTAAGTTTCTATTTTTAATTGATTTTTATTTTCCCTGATTTTTTGCTATTGAAAGGTAGCGGAATTTAAATTGTTAAGCAAGTCAACGCAATATAGAAGTCAAGCCAAATAGAAGTTTGTGCAGCAGTGCCTTCCTATTGTCAGTGAAGAAGAGAAATAAGTTGGGTTTTTGTTCATTTTACTCAGTCCTTTTTCCCTCTTCATTTCTTTGCAAATCCCTCATTTCGTTTATCAGCTTTTGCTTTCCTGCCTCTAAAGCATTATTTTTTTTCTTCCAGTCTGAAAGCTCATCTTTTGTGAGATGAAGGTCCCTTTTCTCTCCCTTAATAGACACTAGTTCATTATGTAGAATGCTTAAAGTGAGACATTATGAATTAAACTGTTCTCTATTTTTTCCTTTAGTTTGTCTATATTTGCATGACACAACTCCTGCCTCTCTTTCTAGCCTGCCTTGGATAGGGTAGCCTGTCTCTCAGCTCTAAACCATGATCTGAAAACTGTGGCATTGAGAAAGTCAATGTAATCACATCTATCCTGAATATTTTCATGCCATATCTTTAATAATGGGTATGGTATATTTACTGTCAGAGCAATTTGAAATCTAGAAATCCCTTGCTGTTTTATTAATGACAAAGGTGGACCTGGGACAGAGATTTTCCACTCAGCTTCTCTGCATGTACCTTGAAATGACATCTGATATTTTTGTGATATATTTTGGGTTTCTTATATTTATGCGAAGGAAATCTGAAATCGAATTTTCAAATTAAATCTAGGCTTTCTGTAACGAGTCCCAGTTCTTCGATGTATGAGAACGCCCGTGACTGATGAATGGTTCAGTCAAACCTCTAGTTTTTTCAGTGGGTATACATTCTGTGCCTACATAAATGGCCTATATATAATTGAATAAACCAGGTAACAAAGCATATTTTGGGAGAAAGAAAATGGAAGCCCGTTGTGTATAAATTTTGGGCAAGACTACGGCGGTTTTTGAAGTTCCCTTGGAACTTATTTCCTGCATGGAAGAAAGCCGGAAAATACACTAAAAAAAACTGCAACAAAAGGAGAATGTTTTGCGAGGTCGAGGAACCATTGTTTTTTATAAGACGCCTAACCGTACGACCTTTGATTGAGGATACCTCAGACAAATCTAAGACACTTGAAGGAGTTACTCTAGAGCAAAAAACACCCTGTTTGATATGACAAGGAAGTCTCTTTGATTTATCTACTTATATTTTCGAATTTGTCGGATGTTCTGAAAAATAATGTGAGGTCGGGGAAACCGATGTAAGTAAGGTAAATATGCTCAATTAGGCGGGTGCACAATATGTGGTGTACAATACAGATTGGTCTGTTTTTCGTTTTCTCAGTGATTAACTTTGTTTTGCATGAGTAGCAATTTATGCTGAATGGCAAATGATACAAAACGTGCCAACCTCATTTTTTGCCATTTTTTGTGCCTTTGTCATTGTTACGTTTCTTTGGGGTGTCCGGAAAGCTAAGACTAAGACCCGGAACACTAAGACCCTGGTGTTTTTTTAGGGGAAATCATCAAACTTTAGCTTCCTTTACCTTTAGGTGGTAAAATGAATAAAATAAATGCACTCACACTTAAAAATAACAATTTAGCTAGCCTCTTCCAGACATTCAGACATATTAAACCGTTAAGGCGTTACGCGCGATAAAAAGCAGCCGTGACGGAACTTCAGACGTCAAATAACTTTTTTGGTGAAGTAATTATTTCAACACCTATTATCTCGAGTGCTTCTGGGTTATATAACTTTTGACACATCTCTAGACTTACATTTATGGCCGGCTAATAAAACCAATAATTTCCACCGGCAAAGAATTTCACTTATCTGATGGCCTTGCTGCCATTCGATTCCCAACCAAAGCCAGTTGTGTCCAAATGGCCATTAAATTATCATGAATAATATATTTCTACCAGTTTCGTATTGTTTACTGACGGAAACTTTGAGTAACTATAACTGGGTCACAATTCGCCGAAGCTGTGGAGTGAGTGAGCGTACAACAAAAGAAAAAAAAACAACTTAAAAAAATGGAAGCTGGTGCTATTTAAATACCTAACCATGAAAAGTAAAGCATTGGCACCAAGGCAACACGTGCTTCCGCCGACGAAATCATCAGACCGGATCGGAAATTGGGAAAGTTATCAGGACAATATGAAAGTGGGATATTGATCAAATGAAGCCTTTAAGTGCTACTGTGGTTCTTTCTTTATTCACTCCGAGCTTTCGCCGTTCTACGGCATCATCAGGGAGGACGATAAAATATCTGCGCTATGGTTTTAACGCATACCATTTGCAACCCATAGCGCAAATATTTTATCGTCCTCCCTGATGATGCCGTAGAACGGCGAAAGCTCGGAGTGAATAAAGAAAGAACCACAGTAGCACTTAAAGGCTTCATTTGATCAATATCCCACATCACTACGACATGCTACTAAAGGACACGTTCAAACGTTTAGACAATATGAAAGAATATTTGTTAGTAAGTAGCTTCAGAGTAATACGTTCTAGTGATAATATGGAGATAACAAAACGAAAAACGCAAAGCACCTTTTCGAAAAATACCGTTTTGCAAGGTAGACAAAGCACTGTTTCACTTCATTCGTTTTTTCGCAAACTTAAGTGCACAGTGTAAAGCCACACAGCGACAACCGGAAATAGTTTCGTTTGCCATACCGTAGCCCCTTCTCGCCGCGCTTTTTTGTTTTTATTTTTTTTCGCGCCCCGTCTTTCGCGCTGCGCCCTAACTATAAAATGAATGTCTGGAAGAGGCTAGCTAAATTGTTATTTTTTGAGTGTGAGTGCATTTATTTTATTCATTTTACCACTTAAAGGTAAGGGAAGCTGAAATTTGTTGATTTCCCCTTAAAAAATTTCTTAGTTTTCCATGTCTTAGTTTTCCGGGTCTTAGGTCTTAGGTCTTAGCTCTCCGCACACCCCGTTTCTTTGATAAGCTCTGTGTTGCTCGATTAAAATAGCTCATTAAAATTTTAATTAACTGTTTTTAACACATATTTTAGAACATTTTATCACGCCATTAGTTTTCATGCGTCCTACTGGCTAGATTTACACTATGCTAATTTACAGTGGCACCTCCAACGTTTAAAACCATAGCGCAAATATTTTATCGTCCTCCCTGATGATGCCGTAAAACGGCGAAAGCTCGGAGTGAATAAAGAAAGAACCACAGTAGCACTTAAAGGCTTCATTTGATCAATATCCTACATCATTACGACATGCTACTTAAGGACACGTTCAAACGTTCAGAAACTCAAGTAGAAAGAAATAAAATATTTCTATGGTTTAATAAAAATAATAACCATAAATCACATTTCCGAACTTATGAAAATGCAACTTGAATCGAGAAGCCGAAATGTTCTCACCTAGGGAACCCGCAGCGGGTTCATTTCAACACACGCTATGACCACGCGAAAGAGCACCAGAGGTAGCTATATTGGTAAGCCGCGTATT